CATCTGGGTGGTCACTTAGAATGACCTGGGACCCCAGGGACGGAACCCCAGAGAATGCAAAAGGGCCTCGGTCCAGGGTACCTTGGGTGCTGAGCTGCCACTTCAGTTTGCTTTGGCTTGGTCAGGGAGCCTGGTGTGCTATAAATAGATTAGGGAGTCTTTTATTGGGAAAGACCTGGAAATGGCTTCCTCCCTGTGGATGGTGTGGTTATCTGGGGTGATTTTCCCTGCTGCTGGTGAGGTCACTCAGCCAGAGCCCCGGGGGCTTTCTCCAGATGTCCACCTGGCCCTCCGGGCCCCCTTCCTGCCCCAGGCTCACAGTGGCTTTCTGTTTTGGGTCGGTCAGAGCTGGCTGAGACGAGGCGGTGGGCTGGGCTGAATCCTTCAGGCGTCTGCACTGTCTCTGATGGAGCCCTGGTGGAGGCTGGATAGAGAGATGCAATACTTACGGGGAGAAGGGACTGCAGCTCCTTGTGAGGGACCCAGGCCAGCGAGTGCAGGGCCTCCATCAGGACCAGCATCTAGAGCGGGCTTCTGACTACACGTCAGCATCTCCCTGTGATTTCAGAGCCTCCTCCCGCAGACCCCTGAGCTGCCTGATGCCACCCTGGCCCCTCTACTCTGTATTTAGGATTCCCAGTGGGGAGGCGAATGGACTCACAGTGCAGCTGCACCCCGCCCGCTCTTTGCTCTCGGCACATTCCCATTAGTTGCCAGAGGACTTTGCTGCGGTGGTTCCCTTCCTGGAGCGCTCGAGGCTGGAGGAGGAGGGACGGGGAGCCGTAGCTTCTCTGCTCCTTAGTAAGTGTCTTCAGTGTATCCCCTGCTGTGTATCCCCGTGTGATGGTGTTCTGCAGGCGGTAGCACACAGGAATGGATGAACGGGTGAGCGGACGGGAGGACGAGTCTGTGCATGAATTGGTACCCCCTGCTATCTCCCTGAGATAAGATGGCAGAGTCCTCACATCTGCTGCTGGGTTTTCTTTTTCTTTTCTTTTTTTAACAAGAGAACAAATTCACACTTTTATTTACAGTCATGCGTTGCTTAACAACCAAGATACATTCTGAGAAATGCATCATTAGGCGATTTCATTGTTGTGCAAACATCATACCTATACAGTATGATTTGTAATCATAATCATACTTACACAGACCTAGATGGTCTAGCCTACTACACATCTAGGCTCTATGGTAATAATCTTAGGGGACCACCATCATATATGCGGTCTGTCACTGACGGAAACATCGTTATGTGGTGCATGACTGTATTTACTTTTCAGTGAGTTTAAATCTTTGAGGGGCACAGCATCACACAGACTCAGTGGCCTTAGCAGGAAGATGGCTTTGGAATCTGGCAGGAACCATGCTGCTGTTTCCATGGGCACAGGTTCCCTCTCCCCACCTTCCTCTGGGTCTGTTCCATTTGCTGCCAGGAGTCACCGTGTTGTTCTTTGCTGTGTACGTATAAGCACATCTCTTGCCCAAATAGAATTCAGTTTCACCTTGGGCATAAACACCTTCAGGATTAAGAAGAGCTGTGGGTTTCCTCTGGTTCTGGGGGCCCTGCCTATAGCCAGCTAAAATGCCTTGGACCATGGCCTTCCAGACATATTTAGAAGTCCAGCTTCCAGCAGACTTCCACAAGCTCCAAGATGGTGGAAAGAGCTGCCGGGTCTTTTTTTGAAATCAGGTTGGTGGCATTTGCCTCCGAAGGAGTGGAAGCAACAGCACAACGCAGATAGTTCTCTGAGGACCTTTCCCACTTTCAGGAGAATGGGGCTGCCTGTTTATCCCTGGGGAGAGGAAGGGCACATCAGATGGGAGTCTACATTGTGCCATCCAGTGTCCATGCTTCCATTCGGCCATCTGTCTAGGCGTCCATTAAGTGAGGTGCTGTGTGTGAAAGGGGGAGCTAGCCACAGGTTGGGACCTCTGGGAGATAAGACGGATGTCAAGGTTAAGATCTATGCTGTCTGAGAGGTAGGGCAAAGAGCTGATTCCCTTGAAGGAGCTGGATGCAATGTGTGTGTCGGGGGTGGGGCTCTTAGGTCAGGTTCTCAGACAGGTTTATGTTCAGGAGCTTCAAGAGGGAGTGTGCTCCAGGGAGCAGCCCCCGGGGAAGGGAAGGAAGCAGCACTGCAGTGCAGTCACAGGGTCCCAGCCAGACCCTTGGGGAGCTCTGAGCTGATGGCTCTTTGGAATTGTTTGACTTGAGGCAAGAGAATTGGTGGGCCTTTGTACCCCCCACATTGACCAGCCATTGGATGTGCAGCACCCCCTATCCCACCACCCCAGGCATAACTTGGGCGAGGCAGGGACTCAGCTATGAACCTCTGCAGCTGGAGACACCTGGGTGGTACACTACAGCATTTACTCTAGAGAGTTCGGGGGTTTGACAACAGGGGAGAGAAGCAATCTGGGAAGGCTGCATGGTGGAAGAGGCATTTTAGTTGGGACTTGATGAATGAATAAGATTCTGACATCCAGGGATGGTGGCAGCAGGAGGTGGTAGGGGTGAGTGAACAACTATAGCAAAGGCATGTTCCGAGACAAGCAAGTGGAGTGAATGGGGCTGGAGTGATGTCAGTGGGAAGTCAGTCTGGAGAGACAGACAGGAGTGCTGTTCTGGAGGGCTTGCTGAGGGAAACAGGAGGTGTTGTGCTGTGCTGGAAAGGAGTCAGCAAGGGATTTTCACTGGTGAGCGAGCTGTGGCGAGAGTGGGGCTCCAGGGTGAGCAGTCCGCTAGTGTGTGTGGACTGGTTCCTAGTGAGCAGAGACAGGAGGTGGGGAGACCACTCAGGGGTGAGATGGAGAGGAGGAGAGGAGGAGGGAAGAGGTGGAGGGGCGCCTCCAGGCCCCGGGCACTGGTGAGATGTGAGTGCTGGGATGTGGAGAGGAGCTGGTGCAGCTGTGGAGGTTGCTCCCTGGAGCTCCAGGGGCCGGGTTGGAGAGGAGAGCCTGAACTCGACTCTGTGGGCTTGGGGGCAGCAGTGTGGCCTCCAGGGGGTGCCCATCAAGAGGCGGAAAGGCCTCTTCATAAAGGGGACTGAGGCCGTGTGGCGCGTCTGCTCCCTGAGGGAGCCTGCCTCACTGTTTTCTCACCTAGGTTCCACGCATTTCCACATCCAGCTGGCTCCTCTGTTTAACTCTGATGAGGCGCTTACTGTGTGCCTATGTCGCCCTAAGCACTTTATGTGTGTTCATCATTTAATGCTCTTATAACCCTATTTAGGTACCATTTTTATCCCCATTTTATAGTTGAGAAAAACAAAATACAGGGCTGGGTGACGTCCAAAGGTCCCTCAGCTGATGGGGGCCAGGCCTAGAGTGCCTTCCACTGCCTTGGGCTCCGGGCAGGCGGTGGTCTTCACGGTGGATGCTCCACGTCCTGGTGCTCTCAGCGCCAGCCCGCACCCCTCCTCCCTCGGGGAAGCCTCTGAGCCTGCTCTTCTGGTCACCCTTCCTGAAAGACCCGCTGCTCTGTCGTTCCTGGTCACATCCTCCCTGCTGCTTCCCTCACTGCTTCCTCTGTTCTGTTCTCTCTCCCTTTAGACACGAAGGGACCATATTACCACCCAACTCCTGAAACCATAAGCTCCTTAAACCCAAATGATGGGTTTTAAGACCACTGATCAAAGCGGAGGGCAGGAGTATTGGGTCCTGAAAGACCAGTTAGCCCAACCTCTTCATTCTGGATGAAGAATCAGAGGACCAGAGAGGTAGTTTGACATGCCCAGGGTTGCACAGCAGATTAGAGGCAGAGCTGAGGCAGAGAGCTGAGACTGAGGAGTCTCTTGACTCCTAATTGAGAGCAGCCATTGAAACGTTGTGCCTTTTTCTGTTTTTAATTTTTGAGACAATGTAATTTTCAGTAATAGCATTTTTGATGAAATAATGTCATATCCATATATTGGGGTAACTTTAAAAATAACTTGATGCTAAAAGCTTGTGGATGGGCATTTGGCATGAAGACAGCGACTGCCTTGGGTGGATGCTTTTATTGGTCTCATTTTACAGAGGAGGAAACTGAGGCTCCGAGGGGACCATTAGCTTGGCCAGGGTTAGCTGGCGCTCAGAGGCAGAGCTGGGATTCGGGCCGGGTAGTCTGGCCCTAGGCTTGCTGCTGTTAATAGGTCCTAACCACTGTACTATCTGGCCCCTTTAATGATTTTGGAAAGATATTCACAAAAATCAATACATGGAAAGACTACACAGTATGATTTTGTTTTGTTCTAAAGATGTACATATGCCTAGAAAACGAGTCGGCGTAGAGATACCACAGTGACCTCCGCACTGTAGGATTATGGGGGAGATCTTTTTCTTCTTTGTGTTTTTCTCCGTCATCAAATTGTATCTAGTGAGAAAGTATACTTTTTATCACCAGATAAAACGGTGAAATGAGTAGTGTTCAGGGGTGGTAATATAGCGGCACTATTAGCTTTATTTCTGGCTGGACCGTGTTTCTGGGCACCGAAGGAGGAAGTGGCCGGTCAGACGCAGCGGTTGTAATTCAAACAAGACCTGGAATTGTAGAACGAGGGGGGCCTTTGGAAATCCCCCCACTTGACAGAGGACAACGTCTCTGTGCAGAGTCCAGGCCGGGCTCCTTCCTCTGTGCTTTGGCATTTCAGGGGACAGTGGGCGTTCGGGGAGAAATGCCCGATTGGCAGCTGGGGTGCCATGACTAGAGACAGAAGTGGAGATGTGTGAGTTGGCAGCCTCAGGGGACAAGAGAGGGGCATGGGGGACGTTTGAGAGGATCCCAGCCAGAAGGCCGCGTCTTCCTGGTCCCAGCTGTGTGGGGAAGGGTCCCCGGCAGAGAGAAGCTCTGCCGTCACGGGAGGCGGGAAGGGAGGCTCCTGCTTCCAGGGTCGGGGAGGGAGGGGACCAGCCAGGCCTCTGTTTTCCCCGCTCTGACCGTCTAGTTCTGCCCTGTAACACTCTGAGCTTCTGCCTGTGAAATTCTCAAAGCAATTGTGTCTTTTTCTTTCTTTGACCAGAGACCACCTGGGAGCGGCCCAGCAGTTCTCCGGGGATTCCAGCCAGCCCTGGCCCTCACAGGAGCTCTCTGCCTCCAACAGGTACTGTGCACTCACTACTTCGGGGCACCCGGCATAGGCCACACGCCTGACTTCATCAGAAACGCCAAGACTCTGGATCCCGGGGTCTGACACCTGGCTGGGGATTTTATGGACCAGACCTGCGGAGGGGTCCTGTAGCCTGTTGCCCCCCAGGCTGGTGTCCCTCTGGCAGTGCCACCAGCAGCTCTGGTGGACTTCCCCTCACTCCCTCTCAGGTGCCTAGGGAGAGCAGGCTGCTGGGTGAGGTGAGGCGTCAGAGCTCCTACCTGTCTGCCAGTGCAGGGACCCCCAGCGAGGGCAGAACTGCTCCACACGGTTCCAGAAGGCATCGAGGAGTAGAAGTTAAAGGAGGCAGATTTTTACAGGGCAGCTTTCAAACAGAACATTCTGGAAAGGAAATGGGATTCCTTGTGAGGAAATGAGATCTCTGTCTGCAAAGGTAATCAAGTGCAGGTGGTCGAGGTAGATTTTCTGGTGGGAGGTTTGTTACTCTTAGGAGACACATCTAGTTCTGAGATCCCAGGAGGCAGGTTGCAGGACACACAGCTTCTGACTTCTCGTGGTTTAGGCCTTGTTTTAAATGTCACTTCCTCCAAGAAGCCTTCCCTGACCACTTAATTGAGAGTCCTCACCCATCACTCGGGATCCCAGCAGCGTGCCGTTTCATTGCCCTCGGAGTTCTTCTCCCAGTTAGTTGTCTTTCTCCTGCACTCGACTGTCAGCTCCCTAAGGGTGGGGACGGTGTCTCTCTCTCCTTTTCTTTCATGGAATCCTCAGTCCCCATACAGAGCCGGGCCTCGATGTTGAGTGAATTCACAGATGTCTCCACAATCATGTGGTGTGTGGGCCCCATTTGTTGGTTTTCGTCTTTAGACATCAACCTGGAGGCCAAGCCTGGAAGTCGTGGTTGGGGTTGCAGCCTGGAATTTAGACATTAATAGCTTTGAAAATGTGGCAGATGGTTGTAGCTGGACAGGGCGGGGAGGTAGGGGCAGCAGCGGCGGCATCCTCAGCTCATGTGGAGGGGAGGGGAGGGGAGAGCCTCCGTAACCTTCATGGACACAGTTTACCTAATGCATCACAGGGAACCAGAGGCAAAGCTAAGAATAGTCACAGGACTCTTGAACCCAGGATCTGGGGGAGGGAGGGTGGGCACGGTGAGAGTGGGCCCGACCCCCACGTGTAGTAATGGGGAGTCTTGAGATATTCTCTACCCGCTGATACATTCAGAAATCGAAGTACGATCGAAGTATATTATTTACGGATATGAAAATTGCCAGCTGAAGAACGCAGAGCCAAACTGGTGGGAAAATAGACCCTTGGAAGATCAGCTGAGATATGGGAGGGGGGATGGCTGGGTGTTTCCTACTGAGAGTTCTTCTAGGCTTTTAAAATGTTTTTACTGATGTTTTATTTATATTATTTTTAGTTAAATTTTTTAAAAAAGAAGGAGCCCCCTGTGGGACAGAGAAATGGGGCACTTAGTCCTGATTTCCCAGGACTGGGGTGAGGGCTTCATGCTCAGCCCAGGTCCCCAGGAGTGGGCCCGTTCAGCCTCCCTAGCTGCTGTGTGACAGTAGGCAGTTCCGGGCACACTGCCTTGTCTTTTGTGGTTGTTCTTGTGTTTTTTTCACAATAGAAATGCCAGCGTGAATAATGTGAGGTGTGGCCCTCTATCCTGGCTGGCTCCAGTGGAGTGGTCCCTGGAACAGGATGGGACAGCGACACAGCAGGGGGAGGCTTGGGCGTGTGGAGGTGACAGGTGAACCACCACACCTGCTGCCTGGGCTGGCCGGGGAACTTGCCCTTTGAGTCAGAGGGGTCACCTCTCCAAAGCTGGCTCTCCTTGGCACCATCCCCAGAAGCCTCCTGTCCCCTCTCCACTCTTGGTGGGGACTGTCCCCAAGAGGAGGGCTGGGAGGAGCTGGCTCAGGCCCCCTGGCCCAGAGGCCTCGCCGTGACAGATTCTTGCCTTCACCTGACAGGCACAGCAAGAGCCCTGTCCACCCTGCGCTGAGCTGGGTGCTGGGCTCTGAGGGGGCCGAGGCAGGAGGAAGACTGGTGGAGAGGGTGGACGAGTGGGGACCACCAGGGTGGCCAAGGCATTAGATGGAGTGTGTGGACACCGACTTTCCCTCCTCTGCCCCCACCCCAGGGGCCAGGGCACCCGTTTCCCACGTCCGTGGGATCCTAGGTCCACGTCAAAGACGTGGCCGAAAACATGAAATATGTAAGATATTCCTTGCATGTTCTTATGCAAGGAATTAAAGTAGGGCAGTGTGACGGACAGCATGACTGGGGAGTCAGGGACGGCCTCAGTGAGGAAGTGACGTTTAGGTCAGGCTTTAATGAAAATGAGAAGACGACTATGTGTGTGGGGTGGTGGTGTAGTGTTCTAGGCCAGGAAACAGCTAGTGCTAAGGCCCTGGGGCAGGAGTGACCTTAGCATGTTTGAGACCACAAAGCAAGCCAGTGTGGCTGGAAGGTGGGGGACAAGGAAGAGAGTGGTAGGCTATGGTGGGCAGGGGGTAGTCCGCAGGGGCAGAAACTATCCAGCTCCCCAGTCTGGAGGAAGGTGTTGAGATTTCATTTTGAGCATGATGGTTGGAGTGGCGGTAAGAGTGAAATGCAGTGGAGGTGTCTTGTCTTCATGAGAAGCTGCCTCCTTGAAGCGGCCAGGCAGCACTTGGCTCTGTCAAGGCTGTTCTTGCTTAGCAGTGGTGGGGTTGGGGGGAGTTACCTACAAGATGGGTGGGGGGTGAGGACAGTGTGGAAAACTCAACCGCATTTATTGACCACAACCATCCCATATGGTCGCTCCTGAAGAAGAGCATGGGACATCAGGGGAGAAAGAATGTCGGCGGGAATCACAAATTAACCCAGCCAAGCCGAGCTGAGGCAGCTTCCCCTTCGTGGAGACAGGGGCCGAAGAAGGCCCTGGGGCTGTTGTACTTTTGGGTTGTAGCTCCCTGAGCTTTGGGAGAGGGTTGGAGGGGCCACCACGGACAGGGCTGGTTCTTTCTTCTGAGTGTAGGTTTGTCGGATCCCAGAGGCACAGCAGCCAGGTTACCAGCTGGGGACAGAGATCTGGAAACATACCCAGGGACCCCCACAAATTGGGTTCCGCACTTTGAATGTTGGGTGCTAGTTAGGGTCAGCGCTGGGCAGGGACTTTCCCTACATGGCTTCCTCTGATGTCACCAGAGGTATGGGAGCTGTGTATATGCAGTAGCTTTAGCAGAGGTATTTAATGCCAGGCTTTTTGGGTGAGGACCGTGTAAGTCAAGTTTAAACCTGAACAGAATACCTAAGGATCTGTTCAGTAACTGTTGCAAATATTAAAAATCATCTTTGGGCTGGTGTAGTATGTAGTGTGGCAGTAATGATTTATAGAGAGAGAAATCGTAACAGTGAGATGGAAGGAAAATGTAAGTGAAAAATGAGCTTCTGGGAGCGTCATGTATGAGTCACTGGGTAGAATGAATGACAGTGTATTCTTTTACGTTTATATCCTCTCCCAGTATAGAGCAGTGCTGTCTGTAGAACTTTCTGCGATAATGGAAGTGTTCCATATCTACACTCTCCAATATGGTAGCCACCAGCCATATGTGGCTGACGGGTACTTGAAATGTGTCTGGTGTGCCTGAGGAACTGAATTTTTAATTTAACTTAATATTTTTTTTTATTTTGGAATAATTTTAGGGTTACAAAAAAATTGTAAAGACAATACAGAGAGTTTTTCTATACGCTTCACTCAGTTTCCGCTAATGTTAATGTCTTACGTAACTGTGGTACATTTGTCCAAACCAAGAAATTAATGTTGTACATTATTATTCACTAAACTAGATTTCATTGGATTTCATCTATTTTTCCAGGATTGTCCTTTTTCTATTCTAGGATCCAGTCCTGGATACCACATTGCATTCAGATTTTATTTAATTTGTTAAAATTTAAATAGCCACCTGTGGCTAGTGGCTACCCCATCACACCGGGCAGGCAGGTGTGGAGAGCGAATTCCTTTCTGAGCTTCTGGGCCTGGGACGTGCATTGAGCTTGCATTTGTGTTTCTCTTAAGGATGGAGAAAATCTGTCTTTTATTGAGTTACCCTGGGTGGGGAGGGGGTGTCGGGAAATCTGAGTTCAGGTTCTGGCTTCGCTGGGCCCGGGGGCTAGAGCCACTGAGGGATCATGCTTAGATAAACAGTTGGCTGCAGCAGCCCTGGGAAAGCCAGATCAAAGGGCAGTGAGTGAGTTCCATTGTAGATGGGGGGTGGGGGGGCCTGCCTTCCAGCCTGAGGAGCCAACCAGGAGTGCGTGCAGACAGCCATGCTTCCCCTGAAAAAGGGGCTCCAGAACCCAGATCTCACCTACACCCACACTTTCTTCTCCAGATCAGGAAACCCTGAGCAGCTGTCCTCTCCCTCGTAGGAGCAGAATGGGGCCCTTGCTCATTGCAGAATTAGCAAGTACACAGAGGAGCTTCCATGGCCCTCCACCAGACCTCGCCATTCACGTCAGGGAAGGCCATGGGACTTGCAGGTGTCTGTAGAAACTACATTCTTGTCAGCTGAGGCCCCAGGGAACCCCACCAAGGCCTGCTTAACCTTTGATGCCCTGGAGAATAGCCACGGGTTTTCAACCATTCACCATATAGACAAGTGTATTGTGAGTTCTATTTTGGGGAACACAGTTTACCTCTTATACAACCAGGGGAGACCACGAGGACCAGGTGGACAGACAGAAATTTCCAGGCCAGAAGGCTGTAAATATAAAACTGCCCCCTGAACAGACCAGGGTAGACGCTGCACCCTCCTGAGAAGGCGAGTATGATAGAAGGGCACCCTTCCAGGGCCTTCCAGGGAGTGGGGGTGGGGAGAGGCAGGGGTCGCGTCTGTTGTGCCTTCAGAGATGTGAGTGCCAGCTGGCTCTGGTGTTTGCTTCGGTTCGCCTGACTTCAAAACCTGCCTTCCCACAGCCACCGCTGTGCTTCCAAAGTGGATTCCATCATATTCCTGCTTTTCTGCCCCAAACAGGTTCTGTGTCCCTACGAGTGTAGGAATACCGCACGCGGTTGCCTTCTTTGAGATTCACAGAGCACATCACGTATTTTAAAAGGCCTCCTGTAAACAAACCAGTTTAAATCTGAATAATGGGGGCATTTGTCCCAAACTCCGGATTATAAGATCCCACCCTTTACCGTCACCGCTTAACACTTGTAACAAACATCAGCGGATCTGGGGTTGTGTGTCACAGGCCTGGGAAAACGTCACATTCTACCATGTTGAATATGTGATGGGAGGGAGGCGGGAGGGTGGTGGTGTGGGGGGAAGGACTTTAGGAACAAGGCCTTGGGGCTCCCAGGTTTCTTAACCTTGAGAGAAGAAGTTCCTGTGTTTACTCCGGAGAGAAGGGAGGTTAGCCAGACCTAAAGGAGGCAGATGGGGGTGTCCAGGGCTGATTTTCTTGTTTGGAAGAGTAAGTCTACTCTTTGAGGTTCCTTAGGGGACAGGCATGTGGACCGTGGGCCTTGGAGGATGGAACTTTTTATGGGGGGGACTGGAGCTGGGAAGTGGAAGCAGAGCCACTGGAAGGGCGGATTCTAGGCAGCAGATGTTGCTGGCTCTTCTCTGTTGCTTAGTCTCTCTCGACAACTCCTTCTATGCTCCATCTTTTCCCTTTTTCTCCACTCCTTCTTCCTCCAAGCCCTCCTCCTTCCTAACCAAATCTCTGTCCCCTCCTCTCGTTAGACAGCTCCCAAGCCATCTCTCTAACTACCCATGATGAGGAATAAAATGTGTATATGTGTGTGTTTATATTTCTATTTGAAGTTACTAAAGTTACTACATAGAGCTTTTTGTTCCCTTTTCTTAAAAACAGCTGAATTTGGCATTTTATGTTTTTTCTTGTATCCACACTGAATTATGTTTCTTACGACTATGAGTGGTCCTTGACCAATTTTATTTTATTTTTTTCCCCGGGAGGCTGGAGGCCTCCAAAGCACCCACTTCTGGCCCCATTTGTTTTGTATCTTACCCTCGGTAAGCTGGGAGCCCAGAGGATGGGAATGCCCATCAAGGACGCTCGTGGGTGAGCCGTAACTGTCCAGAGCTCCACTGCTCACTTTTCTGAATGTGCCTGGGACTGTTGGAGGGAAATGCAGCAAGACAGGATGTCGGAGGAGCACTGCTGGATGGGGAGAGATGGTTGAGTGGAAAATTATTTTTTCTTTCCCAGTAATTGTTTTGACATGAGCAGTAATTAGCCAACAGCTGACAGACCAGAACTGAAGCGAGAACAAGAGAATGGATTAGGGCAAAATGCCCCTGCATTAGACAGTTCCTGGCCGCCGTGAGCGTGGCGGGCTGTGAGCCTGCGGGAAGCTGGAGGCAGAAGAGAGAGCGCGGTGTGTTAAGGGTGCACTTCTGAGGTGCTATGAATGGAGTAAGTCGGGGTCAGAAGGGCAGCCTCTGCCCTCAAGGAGTTGGGGACAACCTTGGTTTGCAGGGACCAACACCATCAAAGGTAGCGACTGATTCCAAACTGAGGCCTTCTCAGGTAGGAACTTACATAGCTTGTTTTTGTAGTCAAACTGTACTGTGCTTCCATTTTTTGTCATTGTTGGTAGATTTTAGGATCAGGGTAATGTTGGCTTTGTATAATAAACTAGGAACCCTACCAGATGTTTCTATACTCTGGTGCCCTTCCTGCCTAGGTATTTCTTTGTTGAGAATTTGAACGAATTTGCCCATACAACCATCTGGGTCCGGTGCCTTTTGGAGGGAGGTCATTAATCAAAGGTTTTACTCATTTTGGTGTTTCTAGTGTCCTTTGAAACCATTTGATAATTTGAATCTTATGAAAGGTTTTGTATTTATTAGCATACAATTATGAATCATTTGCTCTTGCATTAAAAAAATGCACTACATTGTGTTTGTTTTCTTTCTAATTCCCAATACTGAGCATTTGTGTTCTGTCTCACTCTCAAATTAGACAGGCTGATCTGTCTTTTTTATTGCTGTGATTTTTTCCCTCCACCGCACACATAGAGAACCAGCCAGGGTTGCTGATGTTATCCTGTCTCCTAACTCATTAATTTCTATTGCCATATTTATATCCCTTTCTCATGTTTTCCTTTGGTTTATTTTATTGGCTTAAATGTTTTTTTTTTTTTTTTTGATTCTTAAGTTGAATGTTTAGTCCATTTATTTTTATTCCCTTGGCTTTGGTAATGAAATAATTAAGGCTATGGATTTTCCTTCAACTATAATTCAGGCCTTATCCCATTTGTTTTGATGTTTTTCCTCATTATTTTCTAAATATTGTGTAATTATGGTTTGAAATTCCTTTTTGACCTGAGATTATTTAAGAGGGCATTTTCTTAAATTTCTAAGTGTTTGGGATTTGGGGGGATGGGGACCTCGTATATTTGTTTTCTCATTATTAATATCTACTTTTATTGCTTTCTTGTCAAAGAATGTGGCTTGTGTTATTTGTGCCTTTTGGAATTTATTGATACTTTATTTGTGGCTTACATATGTCCCAATTTTTTTTTTAATGTTCCACGGCTTCTGGGGAAAAGATATCATCATTGTTTGTAGGATATGATGTTTCATATATTTGGTTCAATCAGCCTCTTAAATTGAATTACTGAGATCGTCCCCATCCTCGCTTTTGTCCACGAGTCAGTCGTGGACTGAAAGCAGCATGTTAAGGTTTCCACTGCTGTCTCTACATTCTCCAGCATTTCTGTTTTATCCCTTGCAGTGCTATGCCCCTTGATAAGTAAAATTTCTCAAATGTTATGCCTTCATTGTGGGTGCTATTTATCATCAGTCTCATTTCCTTCCTGGCGTAACTAGATCCTCCTCAGCCCCCGCAGCATTCTCTGATGCTCTCGGAATGCCCGTCCCCCCTCTGTACCTAGAGGATGTGTGGATAGTATGAGCATTTGACCAGCTGCCTGAGGGGTGCGAGTGTAGACCAGGACTGTGGCTGGCCACATGGGGTTAATTTGTTGTTTCTAGTTGCTTCCCTAAGCCCCTGCACTGGAGCTCTTTGCCCCGTTTCCTGTTGTCTTAGTGTGTTTGTGCCCACCCTTCTTCTAGAGCATCGGGCCAACCCTGCAGATCAGGGAGAAGCTGAGCTGCCCGCAGGAATCTGCTGAGTGTGGCTTTGCTGGCAGGTGGCCCTGGATTTCTCACTGCAAGCAGTGGAGAATGAGGGACATCCCCCAGCATGAAAAGGCCTCTACGTGGGGTGGCCTTCGTCACCCTGTTGCTTGTCTCCAGCACTTGCCACTCCAGATAAGTAGGTGTTAGTGACTTTCAGCCCTTCTCCCCTTCTCTCCCCGCCACTCTGCAGAGCTCTCTCAGCAAGAGCCATGAGCTGGACAGCAGTTTGTATGTCTTGCTCCATCCGACCTGCCCGGTATGTACGTTGTGGCCATTCCTCCAAGCCTGGGGCATAAGGAAGGCAGCTCTCTTGGTCTCCAGAGATCAAGCAGGTTTGGGGTTCAAGGTGACTGGATTCAGGAACAGAAGCAGTGACCTTCCCTCTCTCCAACCCTCCCCTCTTTCTGCATGAAGTACTTTCTAACTTACAGATCCCTTTTGCAAGTATTGTCTTATTGGATTTTCATACCAACAAAGTATGTTTGGGGACTCAGAAGAATTACCCCCGTTTTACAGATACAGAAGCTGAGGCTCCCTGAGAAGGAACCTAGGCTCCCTGAGAAGGAACCTAGGCTGCCTAAGCTCACATAACTACATCCATGAGAGCAGGCCGCCTCTGGGGCCTGAGATTGCACAGGCCACCATGTGTATTTGTGATGTCAGGAGCATGCAGCAGTGTTGGGGCCTCCAAATTGGCCACAATGGGAGTATTTATGCCACAGAAATTGGCAGATGCTGCAAACCAGGGCTCCCCCCATTCCCGGCATGGAGAGCAGTTTTATCGGCACACCTTAGGAGCATGAGTGAATGTCATAGGGGTAGAATTTTAGAGCCTTGAATTTTTTTTTTTTTTAACTTCAGAAAAACTGCGACTCAAGAAGGCTATCATATGATCAGTTGGCTATTAATTGGCAAAGTCAAATTTCGTGGAAACCAGGAAACCCAGTCCTCTTTCCATTATACCCACAGAGGGTGAGAGTGGAGAAAGTCCTCAGAGAGAAGTTCCTTTGGGGGGATTGCAGGAAAGTGGTGGCAGGGCCACCTGACTCTGTGGAGAGTGGACTGTTCTTTTTCTTTTGAAGCTTCAGTGCATGGTTGTGTATCCTAGTTGTTAGTTTAGTTCTCTGTGTGAGCCGCCGCCACAGTATGACAACTGACAGACGGGTGGCATGGTTCTCTGACCAGGAAATGAACCCGGGCTGCGGCAGTGAGAGCACTGAATCATAACCACTAGACCGCCAGGGCTTGCTCAAGACTGGACTCTTGACCAGCTCCAGTGACTGCAACTGATGCGGCATTTTTGGCAATGGCTGTTGGACTGTAATGACCTCGCCTCCTATTAAGCACATTTCTTTTCCTCTCTGGTTCAAAAGGAAACTTGGTCTGCTGTGAGTTCAGGAATTGGGTTCTGGGGATTAGAGAGATGCTCTCAACCTATTTCCAGCTCTGCAGATACTGGTGAGATCCCGAGAGATGGTCCCATTCGTGCCGGACGTCTCAGAAGCAAGCCCTGAGGTGGGAGAAGGGGCTGTGTTTGCAGAAAGCCGGAGGAGCCCGTCCACGGCCAATGTAGCGTCTGAGCAGTGTTTCTGTCCCCGCAGTGAATGGATACCACGCGTCAGGGACCCCAGCGCACCCTCTCGAGACTGCCCACATGAGTGTCCGAAAATCCACCGGTGACTCCCAGGTAAGGGGTCCTGATACGGGAGGTAGGGGCAGCTGTTCACGCAGGCCCAGGGAGAGGGGTCATTAAGATGGGGACATCACAGGGGTCCAGGTGGCTCCAGCCCAGTTCTGCCCTGAGTAGAAAGTGGTGGTATATCTGGGTCATTCCAGTGCGCTATGATTGGGGGAGGGGGCGATCGTCATTCGTTGGTTTTTCTAGAAGTTGAGGGCAGTTTGGAGTGGCTGATGGTGATGGGGTTGTAACTGTTGCTAGGGCAGAGGGCTCTATCCTGCTGTCTGGATTCCTGATACGTAGAGTCTAGATTTTCCATCACTTTAAGAATATGGGTGGGGCCAGGCCATTTTCTTTTTCTATGTGCCCCTTTCCTACCCCAACTTAACCCAGAATGGAATTTTGTAAAACATTTTATCATATTTAGTAATCTAGCATAGAGACAGCGATAGGATGGAAAGAAATGGGAGTATGTTTTCAGATTCCCAAACTGCTTTTGCATTTGTTATCTCAGTTGACACTTGTGCAAACGCCTGAGGTGGGTGTCAGTATTGTTCTCATATTACAGATGAGGTCACTGAGCCTCAGACCGGTTAAGTGGCTCCTGCAGGTTGACATGATGACTGAGTGGTCAGACTAGCCCTTGATGCCAAGCCCTGTGGTTCTAAGTTGCATTAAGCTTCGTCTAAGAAGCTGAGGACGAGTCTTATTTAGTCTACCCATAAATTATCAAGAAGATGTTCTTGATGAAGCTTCCAAATTCTGCCAACCCTTTCCAGGAATTAAAATGCCAGGCCCCAAGCGTGATGATAATGATGATACTGTTGCTGATGTTGATGATAATAGTAGCTGCTTGTTACCAACAACAGTGGGTACTGCGTGCCAGTCACTGAAAGAAAGACTTTGTGATCTGTTCCTACAGTCAGCTAAAATGTGGCACTTATCTTTAATGCAGGCAAGAGTGTGGATTTTCGGAAATGTAATTAACTTGTTCTCTTAGGAGGCTGAGTGTGGGCCTCAGGTTCAGGTCAGTTAAAACTCGAGGAAAGAATTTGGCCATGGGAGTGGGCCAAAGCTTCTTAACATTTGAATCACCGAGCCTCTGGTTAAAAGGCAGATTCTGATTCAAGGGGACTAGGGAGGGGCTGGAGATTATATATTTCCAACCAGCTCCCAGGTAATACGAATGCTGCTGGTGGGGGACCACGCTGGAGCAGCAAGCGTCTAGGCACAGTCAGTAGTGCACATGTGTGTGTGTCCCCTTCCCTTCCCTGCTCACAGCACGCATCACAGCCCTGGCCTCACGTGTTTCCTGCTGAGCCCCAAATAGCCTTCTCAACACAGCCGCCCTCAGTCTGTTTGATCTGCCACCTGACTTCGGAGCCTTTTCTGAAGACATCAGCCTGGGTTCTGCTGTGGTAATAACATAACTGGAAAAGCTGGTGCTGCGGATATCATCAGGAAGAATGTTGGAAACCCCCCCGATCATTTTTCCTTCCTTTCCTAATAGAACGTGGCTCCCTCCACCCCCTGAAATATTATGTAATGTTACTCAACCATTTAAAAACAAAATGTATACTGGTACAACCTTCTCAGAAGCCAGTTTGACAGTGTGTGCCGGAAGCCTTTGACCCAGGAATTTCCCTTCCAGCATCTGTTCTTGGAATATATTCAGGGATCCTGATTGATGCGTGAAGCTGTTCGTTCAAGCATTATTTACAGCACTTCAATGTTGGACCCAACCTCACTGTCCAGCAACAGGGGATGGGTAAAATGGATATTGGCACTGAACATCCATCCAGCCAATGATGTCATGCAGCCATTAAAAAGCCTTCTTCTGAGAAAAATTTAATGACCTGGGAAAATGCTCATAACATAATATTTAGTGGGAAAAGCAGAACAGAAACTGTGTATCCAATCAGTCTTATCTGGGAGGAGGAAATCTATTCATATGTGCAGAGAAATGACTGGAGGAAAGATAAACCAGAACATTGATGGTGGTTCAGTCTGCACCTAAGACCATGACTCTCAGTCAGGGGACATTAGGCGATGTCTGGAGACATTCTGGTTGTCTCCAGGGGGAGGGGGTGCTACTGGCCTCTAGTGGGTAGAGGCCAGGGATGTTGCTAACCATCCTACAATGCTCGGGACAGCCCCCATCAATAAAGAATTCTCCAGTTGGAAAAGATGAATGGTGCTGAGGTTGAGAAACCTTGGTTCTAAGACCATGAGTAATTTTTCTTTTCTTTACACTTTCCAGTATTTTACTAAAATTTACTAAATTTACTAAAATGAACACATTTTACTTTTGTAGCAGACAGATGCGATGAGCATTGTTAACACAAGAAGGTGGAAGCGAGGTTCTGGTGTCGGGGATGCAGGGAAGGTCAGCTCTGGAATCCAGCCTGGGCAGGCAGCAACCGCCTCAGGACCCACGGGGTTGAGTATATTCTTTCTGGATGATAATGTTGAGAGTTGAGGTCTCATCAAAGTAACAGAAATAAATGCTGCAGTCTGTGGAGAGAGCAGATATGCATCTGTTCACCAGTTCCCAGCACTGTGAGGTAGAATGCTATCCTTTTAGGCTGTGGAGGGATTTGTGAACCTGTGGAGCTGCCTTTCCACAGAGGTGCTGGAGGCCACTTATAGAAAGAGGTTGAGAAGGTCTGGTCTTTACAGAGAGTGCTACCAACAGATGGTCCCCAAGGTGTATACAGCACGCTTCAGTGGGCATAGTATTTACTCACACTGTCCCAGGCTGTCAGTTATAATTAATAACAATTATGACAATAATATTTGAAGAATGAATGAATGAATAGGTGGGTCTAGTGGCTTGCTCAGGGTTTGGTCAAAAAACCCTGTTGTGTTCTTTTTCTGCTACCTGCTAGCTGCCCCTCTTTAAGCAAGCTAATCAGGAAAGTTAGAATGTTGGTGGGAGAGGGGAGTGCATACCTGATCTTCAAGGAAACCAGGAGTGTGTCCCCACCATGCCCTGTCATAGGAGGACCGATGGCTGGGTGCTGGGGTGCCTGCCCTCTGCTTCTCCCAGCCCTGGAAGACCTGGACGGCTGGGCACAGGTGGTGGTGATCTGGTGCCACCCAGTGGAGATTTTCAAGTCTGCAGCCCTGGGGTGGGCTGAGTGGGTACTGGATAAATGGGGCCCTCTCGATTGGGGGGGCAGGGGAGGTTAGAGGCTGACAGTCTTGCCGGTCTTTGCAGAAGCACGTTCTAGCCTGTCCCCTGCCTGCCTTCCTTCCTGGGGCTGTGGTGGGAGCCTTTTCTGATCCCTGCACAGGTACTGAGAGAGCAAGGGACCTGCCCACCAGTGCCCAGGCCCTTTTGTGACCCACCTTTCAGTTGTTCTGGCTTCCCATGAACTTCCCTCAGGAAGACACAGGAGAGAGGAAAGGGCATGGGACTAAGGGCTTAGAGACTTTGGGGGCCTGTAGGAGAATGGAGTCTCAAGTGGAGAAAGAGGTGAGATGCTGGGAGCTCATTTACGTAATGGGGCCCCCCTCAATTCAATAATACATGTTCTATTGAGCATCTGCTCTTTGCCAGGCACTGGGTCACAGACACAGACAGCTCCTGCCTTGATGGGGGCTTATAGCTGGTGCTGGAGAAAGACATGGGATAAATGGTTACTTCGTCCCAGCGGTGATAAGGGCTGGAGGAAGTGTGCACTGCGAGGACCTCACTGGGTGGTGGTGGATGGTGGTGGAAAGGTCAGTGATAGACTCCATAACAGAAGATACTTAAGCTGAGACTGGGAAGAAGAGCAAGGGCTTGGCTTGGCAAAGAGGTAGGGGGTGGGATAGTATTCCAGGTGGAGGGGACACACGTGTGGATGCCTGGAGGCAGGAAGGAGAGCTGTGATGTCAGAGAACCCGTGGAGGCCGAGCGGGCTGTGGTTTATTAAATTAGCAGGGGTAGGGAGGGTGGAAGATGGGGCCGGCGGAGTCTGCACAGGCCTATTGTGAGGAGCTTGGGTTTTATTCTCATTGGGAAACCATTGAGAGGTTTCATACTGGATCCCACCTGCCGAGGGGGTGGGACCAGACTATTCACAGGGCAGGAGACAGGGTGGAGAAGACGTGCAGGGTGGGGCTTGCTGGATTTGTTGTGAATGACCCACTGTGGTCCCCCAAGCAGTGCCTTGTGTGTCACCACCCTCGGGCCGTCCTCACGGTGAGGCCAGGAAACCAGGCTGGGAGAGATTTAAAAAAAGGGAAGGAGAAAAACTTGCTAGAATCATAGGCCAAGGAAAGTTAAAAAAAACCCACTTTTACTCTGGACTTTTGCAAACGTTTAGAGAAGTAGAAGGAATGCTAAAATAAAGTACCATGGACCAGTCGCTTAACTTCAACAATTATTTGGCCGATCTCATTTCATTTATATTCCCATTCCCAACCCCTGACACCCCGCCCCCCACACCAAATGGATTATTTTAAAGAAAGTCCTTAACATATAATGGAATACTAGTCAGCCACAAAAAAGGCAAAATTGTGCCATTTGCGACAAGATGGATTGATCTTGAGGGTATTATGCTAAGCAAAATAAGTCAGATGGAGAAAGACAATTACCGTATGATTTCATGCATATGTGGAAGGTAAACAAACACAGTTACAGAGAACACATTGGTGGTTACTAGAGGGGAAGGAGGAGGGTGGAGGACGAAAGGGGTAAAGGGGCACATGTGTATGGTGACACATGGAAAGTAGACTTTTGGTCATGAACATGATGTAGTCTATACAGAAATATAATGATGTACACCTGAAATCTACATAATGTTATAAACCAATGTGACCTCAATAAAAATAATAATAATATCATCTAATATATATAATCCATATTCAGACTCCCCAGTTGTCCTCAGAATGCTGCTGTTCTCCCCAATCCGGGATCCATTCAAGTTTCACACGTGGATACATTGGTTGACATAAATCTTTGCTTTCTCTCTCTCTCTGTCTTTTGAACAGCTTTATTGAGATGTCATTCACATAGTGTACAATGCACCCATTTAAAATCTGCAACACAGTAGTCGTGGAGTTGTGCAACCACCATCACAATCAATTTTAGAACAATTTCATCACCCCAAAAAGAATCACTGTAAACTTTAGGCAACCACTCATCTGCTTTCTGTCTCTATATAGATTTGCCTGATCTGGACAGTTCATACAAATGGAGTCATACTGTATGTGGTCTTTTGTGTCTGGCTTCTTTCACTTAGCATAATGTTTGAAGGTCCATTAATGTTGTCATATGTGTTAGTACTTTATTTCTTTTTTGTGGCCAAATATTACTCCATTGTATGGATTTGCCATTTCATGTCAATTATCACTTTAGTCTCTTTTAGTCTAGACTGTATTCGGCACTCATTTGTTCTTTTGTCTTTCCTTATAGTGGCTTTTTTGGGGAAGAGTCCAGGTCAGCTGTCTTGTAGAATGACCTGCATTCTTGGTCCAGTTGTTTTCTTGTGCTTAGACTCAGGTTCAGCAGTTTTGGCAAGAATACCCCAGGGGCCTGTTGAGTGCTTCCCACTGGGGCGTCGGGAGCTGCACACTCCCAGCTTCTCACCTGCCGCTGATGCCGGCTTTGAGCTCTGGGTTATGTGGTGCCTACCAGATTTCTCCTTTGAGGGGGACGTTTCTTGTTTTGAATTTGTCCGTAATCTGTGGGGTAACAGGGTGAGACCATGCACATTTCACTCAGCACTTTGAGCATCTTTGATAATCATGGACTGAATTCGTTTTGACTTTGGGGTTTGCAAACAGTGATTTTCTAATTCCTTATACATTTTTTATTGGCTTTCTTCCATAAAGAAATGCTGCCCTCTCCCTCTCCTCACCTCTTGGTGTTAATCATTTGTAGTCATTATTCACGTTCATGCTCAAACTGTCCCAAATTTGGCTTGTGGGAGCCTCTTGAAGCTGGTGCCTGGGTCCTTTTGTTATGTCATTCTTTGAACACTTTCTTACCTCCCAGCACGATAAGATGTTCCAGGTCCACCTGGCACTTGGAATTAGCCATTTCTCCAAGGAGCCTGGGTTCCTTTTAGCAGGGAAGAGTGTTTAGAAACCAGCTGCTAGGGCCGGCCCCGTGGCTTAGCGGTTAAGTGCGCGCGCTCCGCTGCTGGCAGCCCGGGTTCGGATCCCGGGCGAGCACCGACGCACCGCTTCTCCGGCCATGCTGAGGCCGCGTCCCACATACAGCAACTAGAATGGATGTGCAACTACGACATACAACTATCTACTGGGGCTTTGAGGGAAAAATAAATAAATAAAATCTTTAAAAAAAAAAAAAAAAGAAACCAGCTGCTAGCTGGTAGGTGTTTCCACTGAGGCTGAGGTCTCTTTCCTTCTGGGCCCTTTCAGTGGAGTGCTATGGGGTGTGTGTGTGATGCATATGTATGTATATGACATATGTTTATGTATATGACATTGGAACACTAGGCACACGTCATCAGCAACAAACGCAGAGCCTGAGACTGCGTGGAAGGGCCTGTGATCCCCTGCCCGTCCCTGGCTGGATGTGCACAGCTGTAGGGCGGAGATGGGGAATGTGCTGACACCCACACTTGGAACGCCACCCTTAATGCCATTACTTGTACTCCTGTCCTGGCCCAGGTTACAGGGTGGGTGGTGACCTCTGGGTCCAGCTTCATTTTACAGAGCCTGGGACACAATGGTCCCCAAATCCACATTTGTGGATGATGGAGATCGTTTTTGTCCCCCGCAGGGACACCTGGAAAACAAGAGATTGTCCCAGGTCTCCAAGTGGAGAGATGGTGGAAGATAGAGAAAAGAGTTCTTCGGGCTTCGGCTCCAGTGTCCTCTGTTTATTTGCCTTGTGACCTTAGACAAGTTAGTGAGTTTCTACAAGCCTCGGTTTCATCATCTGTAAAATGGACTCGATGCTACTGAGCTTGCTGGGGTTGTGCGGATGTCCAGTGCCTAGCTTGGTGCTTGCCTCCGAAGCAAGCGCTCAGTGGCAGGAGCTCTTGCAGACCTTCCTCCCGCTGCTAGTTATCCTCTTCATCCTTTTCCTCATCACCATCCGTGTCAGCGCTGATACATAGACTCAAAGGCTGTTGCCAAGGCTGCTGGAGCACTGGTGGCCCTTCCTGGTAGGCTGGAGTGGGAGCACGGTGGTACTGTGTGTCCGTGGCAGGGGGACTCCTGCAAACTGCGGAATCCATCCCAAAGGCTCCCCTTCCCCTTCCCCCTCCCTGGCGTGTATTTGCTTGGCCAGTGCCTCTGCATGAATGAACCTGTGAGAGCTCTGCACCTGTCTCTTCTCCTCGGAGAGGGGCACCTGGGTTCCTGCCCTGCAGCCTCTGCCTACCTTTCTCTTGGACCGCCCAATTTTGGCAAGTGCCCTGGGGCAGAACTGATAGCTTAGGAGGGTCCAGGGTGGGTGAGCTGGATGAGTTGATGCATTATAAACATCTACAGAAGCTGTAGTTGGTCACAAGCTCGATGTTGCCCCAGAGCCTGTTGGGACTGCTAGGGCAGCTGCCGGAAGTAGGGAGCCTCGATGAAACGACAGGACGTAGATCAGCGTGCATCCAAGGGAGGTCCCCCCGAGACCTGCTGGATCAGAAGCTCTGGGAGGTGCAGCCGGGACTCAGTTTTGGGTAAATTCCTTGGTTAATTTTGACGCAATACAAAGCTTGAGGACTGTTGGTAGCAGACGTGAAACGGAGGCTCCGAGAAGTCGCATTACTTAGCAGAATGTCAAGGCTAGTGAGTTCATTTTCCTGTCTGTGAAATGGGTCATCTACTAGGTCCCTTTTAGCTAGACAGTCTGAGGATATCGGTTTCATTAGTTGACTTTACTTACCAGCTAAAGTAGGTCTGGATGGGAGCAAGGGAATGAGGTGACCATAGCAGGGACCCCATCGAGCTCCCTGTTTTGCCTGATGAGTAGATGGGTTCCTGAAGCAGGGGCCGACCCCTACCGCTGGACACTCATCCTGCCAGGTCGTCCAGGGCTGTGCTGGCCTGGGGATGCGGTTGCTGGTTCCCTGAGCTAGAGAAGTCCCTCTGTGCTTTTTCTGGGCCTTTCTCTGTAGAGTCCTGAAGGCCACTTCCTTACATTCCACTAGAGAAAGAACAAGACCCCGAGTGCCAGGACACACATACAGTGACCACCATGGTGCCTGAGGGGTGAGCCTGCTTCCCAGCTCATTGTGTGGCTCAGGACAGGAGTGGGCATCACACGTCCTGCTCAGCGACCCTGCTGAATCCCTAATGTAACAGCCGACAGTGGGACAATGGAGACCCAGAATTGATGCTCCCCTTTAGGGTCATAGGCTCTTAGGAACAATGTGTTTTCAGCTGGCAATCTTTAATTTTCCGTACCAGAGCCATCCTAGGACTGGGGCAAGCTGCTGAGGACCTGTGGGCTTGGAGGTTTTCTTGCTGGCAACAGGAAGACACAAAACGGCAATCCGAAGTCTGAATGAAAACTGAAACACGGCTGGGCTGAAAATCCCTCCCTGCTCTCGGGGTTGGGAGAGCAGCAAGTCACGGAGGTGGCCGAGAGCCCCCGTGCATATTGCACATATTTAGGGTTTGATATGTTGGACCCAGGGGATTCGGACTAGGATGTCATGTTTTGAATCCTCAGTGCCAGGAGGTGGTGGCCTGCAATGTGCCTTAACTCTCCTCTCCGGTGGATTCTGCAGGTTCAGGCAGCCGGCGGCACATAGAACCGCCTACCAGTAGAGGGCAGCTGACGGGTTAACTCCCCAGTCACAGACTGGGAGAAGAGGAGGCAGACCTGGTTTGGAGCAGTTCCCTTGGAGCCTGTGCTGAAGGCTTCCTCCAATTTGCCTTCCAGCCGTGAGCAGTGTGGGGTCAGGGGTGCTCCTGCCTGCCCTCTCCCGGAATATGGTGACGTAGGAGTTAACGGCAGCCTGAGCATCCCCAACTTCCCCAGCACGGGGCTTTTAACCGATCGATCCCTCCACCTTCAGGGAACCCGAATGAAAAAGGACGTCCAATATGGAGAACAGCTTTGACGATGTTTCTTGCCTCTCTCCCCAGAATCTGGGATCCTCGTCACCAGGCAAAAAGCAGAGCAAGGAGAACACCATCACGGTAAGTGGCTCCTGCGGAGCGCTCGCAGGTTGAGTGGCAAGCTGGGGCTTTTCAGCCACGGCTGGGCTGTTGCCATGGCAGTGTGGACCGCTGAGTGGAAGCGATGCCTAGCCTGGAATCGGGGAAGTTCCAAAGCTTGGATGTAGCCAAAGTTTCCCCCCGCCTCCCCCACCCCCTTCCTTCTGTCGATTCCACATTTCACTTGTTCTCGCCGGGTGAATGAGTGGAAGGGTGGTAGTTGGAATGAGGCAGAAGCCATTTTTGCAGGGCGGGCAGGGGAAGGTACAAGTGCAGGAGTGGGTTGAAGGGGGTGGACCATGCTCTGCGCAAGTGACGTGACGTGTAAATTACAGCCACGGCGGGGTTGCTTTTGTGCGGGGTAACTTCTGGAAGATGTCAAAGTTAAGAGTAAGAGAAAGCGCCCTAAGAATAGAGTTCCTGGGAGTTCCTGATGGGAAGCAGGCAGCCTCTGCCGAGAGTGGCCAAACCGCCTCCCAGGGCTCTTCCAAAAGCCCGCCAAGCCCCCACGTGGAGGCGAGGAGGAGCTCCCCTGCACCCCCATCAGCCCTGTGCTCGGGGAAAGCAGGCGCTGGACTTTAGTGCCTCCTCCATGTAGAGAAACAAGTTGTCCATCTGCTCGAACAGCTAAGAACTTGGAGACATGATAAGTGTGGTCCTAGGTTTGCTGTTTTGACACAGGGATAGCAGAGCTGGGCGTGGGGCATTCCTCTCTCAGGCTCCATCACACAGTTCTCAGCTGTTCTGACCACCCGCATGCAGGTGAAACCAAGAGTGGGTGCATTTCCCTGGCTCATGGAGGCTGAAAATTCTGCTTTGGAGGAAAAAGAGGGTCAGGCAAACAATAGCAACAGTCATAACGGCTGCCACCTTTGTGTGCATTTATTATGCAAAGTAGCATGCTGCATGGCCCATTTAATTCTCCACTTGCCGTATGAGGTGTAGGTGATGGGACGGATATAGTAGTATGGGGGTTATGAACCTGGACTCTGAAGCCAGAGTGTCAGTTCCAGCATCTACTAGCTGGGCCACAGCCTGGGGCAGGTCTCTCGGCCTCTGTGGGTCTCAGTGTCCACATCTGTGCAACGGGGAGATGGTGGACTCTGTGCCGCAGGGATGATGTAAGGACTAAATGAGTCCATGCACGGAAAGCACTTAGAACAGAGCCTGGCGTGCAGTGAGTGCTCGATACACACTGGTATTCTTGTCACCCTGTTTGCAGATGAGCAAACTGAGGCACAGAGCAGTACCCCGCCCAAGATCACACCACTGGGAAGCATCAGGATTCGAGACCTGTGCTCTTATCCACCAGCAGTGCCTGGGTGGAAGTTGCCTCCTGAGGGCAGGGCAGGGCGGCTCAGCCGTGTGGACCTGGGTCAGCCGCCGCTTCCTTATTACAGGAGCTGATGAGGCCAGGCCAGGTGTGGACAGCCCTGGGCCAGACTTCCCAAGGGCACAGTCCTCATCTTCAAATTGTCACAAAATGCCCAGAGTGTTGGGGCAAAGCAGAAACTCCCAAAAGTTCCCTGAAATAGGAGGAAAGAAGAAGAGTGCGAGAAGGGGATATATTAGAATTATAGAAGAAAAGTGAAAAAGAAATGAAAAGTGAAAAGCAGAGTGTTCTGCCTCGCGGAGCTGCCGGAGAGGCCTTTGGTGATGGTGCCAGGCTCCAGGGAGGGGCTGGAGTTACCACCGGCTGTGCCCTGTCTTTCAGCCGGAGCTCCAGCTCTACCCGAGTAGGCCGGGCACGGACATGGCCTGGGGTCTCCTTGGCCGGCACACCTTGTCCACGCCTGCTTCAGGGCCTTCCCTCCTCCTTCACGCTGACCTGAGTCAGTGCTTCTCACGAGCCAGCCTGCAGTGTAGTGGGCATCTGAAGCCTCTGGGGTACTTGTTTAAAACGCAGATTCCTCGATGGAATCCTAGACCTAAAATTGCTCTCTCTGGGGCCAGGCTGGAAAGTTTGCATTGTAACCAACACCCCCGGAGGTTTTAAATAGACACTCAAGCCTTGGGGAAGTTTTGCTGGGGAGGGACTGGCCAAAGGGCACAGAGGAAGTGAGGATGACCTGGGTCTGCTGGCTGCCAGCCCAGATGGCCCCACACATTTCCAGGCTGGAGACGGGCTGCAGACCTCTGTACCCCTGCTCTTTCCCTTCTGCATGGCACTGGCTCTCCCCATGCTCAGCCCCTTCCTCTGGGTGCTGATCCTCCAGAGCTCACAGTTTCCAAAAAGGAGATAGCAGGGCCGCTCAGAGAGGAGGGAAGGAAGAACAGCCCAGCTCCAGGAGGCTAGGGCACAGGCTAATCCCCCTTGGCGTGTGGGGATGGGGTGAGCAACTTCTCATGCTGTCTGACCTGCGGAGCAGAAATTTGGAGGCCTGGGCAGCAGAAGGTGGTGAGTCCAGGTCCCAGTCTGAGGCTTGATGGGGCCAAGGAGCAAGAATTGAGCTTGATTTGATGCTCTGGCTTCCCCACCCAGCCCAGAACACGTTCTGAAGGGCAGACACGTGGGCCACTTGACAGCAGTGAGGCTCAGCAGTCAAGTGGGAGGCTTGATTGGAGGTGACGGGCACTAATGGCAGCTCACAGCCCTCGGCACACACATGATGTATCAGAATCCGGAGGATTCCAGAAAAGATGACAACAAAGCCACCTGGCTACGCTCCTCTCCTAGAAAGAGGAATTTGGGGCCTCCTGTGGTCCTCGGCTTTGGCTTCCTGACGTGACCTTTCTGGGGCCCCGGGGCCCTGGGTGGAAGCTCGTGGGCTGGAGGTGAGCCCTTGGGGTCATTTGTTTTCTGCTTCCACAGACCCCAGCTCTGGCTTTTTCTCGGCCGCACCCTCCCAGATCAGCTTCCCTCCAGGAGGAAACAGGGCCTGCTTGTTTGTGAAACCATCTTCTTGTCTATGCTGCAGGCTGGTCAGATAGGTGGGCGAGGAGCCGCGGCCTCTGCCCTCCAGCATAGCCTCCGTGCTGGTCCAGGACCAGGGGCGGGGTCAGGGATGTGCTCAGGGCCTCCCCACGTCTGGCCCCCTGGGTGGGTCACACTTGCGTTCAGCGGCTCTCCTGCCACGGCCAGGCGCCTAAGTGGCTGCTGCTGCTGCCCCCCGGGACCCCCAGAGAGTTTCTGGGGGCAACCCTTGTGGTTCTGGCTGCCCCTGGGTAGGATGGCCCTGGCAGAACCTCAGCTGCTCAGTGGACACCCTGACTCTCGGGGACGGGGTGTGTTACTCTGCTTATCTGAGCGTTAGAATGGAGTTGGTGCCCGAGTGGAGATGCTGCTGGTTGAGGATGGCGATCTCAGGGGGAGCGAGGCTGGGAGTGGCTCCCAGAACTTCCCCCAAACAGTACACACTGGGAGGCATACCCCTCTCCTGCTCCCTGTTGAGCACTCCTTCCTCCTTGAGCCCCTGCCTTGGCTGGGGACATGGCATATCTATGCCTCAGTGCTGTGGAAAGGTAGTGTGACATAGGTTAAGTGCCTAGGCTCTGGAGCCGGATTGCCTGGCTTCAGACCCTGGCTCCATTATTGTATACAAGTTGTGTGATCTTACTTAAGTTACTTAACCTCTCTGTGCCTTAGTTTCCTCTTCTGTAAAATGGAGATAATAGATCCTGCTTTACAGGGTCGTTGTGAGGATTAAATGAGCTAATATGTGTAAAGCACTTACAACAGTGGCTGGCTCATTATTAGCTCTTAGCAAAGCGGAAGGTGGTTCCTTAGAACCCGCTCTGTGTTTGCCAGGTGGAGGATGGACTCAAGGCACTTGCTGTGCCCAGGAGGCCTTGGGAGGAGGATGAGCTCTGTCCTAGAGGAGCAGAGGTGGAAGGGATGGGAATCCACACGTGGAGGTTTCTCCCTTCTCTTCCCTCTCTGGACTTGGAGCCCTGCTGGGTGGAGCCCGTGGTCACCCCGGGGCTGCTTGTCTGTTTCCAGCCCTTCTGACCCAGGGCACTGAGCCTTGACTTTGAGGCCTAAGGTCATAGAAGCACAGGGCTGTGGTAAGAGTGGGGGCCCAGGAATTAGGAAGTGGGCTCCTGACCTTGCTCTGCACTTTTTAGCTGCGTGATAGGGGACAAGGGACCTTGCCTCTCCGTGCCTCAGTTTCCTCATCTGGCTGTGATCCTGCACTCCTAGGTTGTTGCAAATAAACATTTCAGCTCTAATTGCTTACTGGACATCAGCACACCCCACAGCTCACCGCCCCCTCCACTGCCTCCCTCTCCCTGGAATCGTCTGTTCTCCCCCCATCTGTTTCCCATCCCAGGGAATGGAAGCGCTCCTGTCCACCCTGGCCAGTCTGCTCAGGGCCTCTGACCTGAGCCGCACTATTCACCTTTCAAGTTGCATAGCTCTATTCTGGGGGGCTGTCCTGTGCGGTGCAGGATGTTTTCCAGCATCCCTGGCCTCCACCCACCAGATGCCAGTAGCAACCCTGCCCCCCCAGTTGTGACAACCCAAAATGTCCCCACATTGCCAGATGTCGGGGGGTGGGGTGGAGGGAGCAGGGTCACCCTGGTGGACAGTCACTGAGTTCACGTCATGGTGCTGTGAAGTCTGTCTGCAAAGTACCCCGTGTTCTCCTCCTCATCCTCTTTCCCGTGCTGCTCTGAGCCGCCATTGCGTCTCCTGTCACTGCGGAGCCTCCTCTGGTGGCCGCAGTCAGCATCCTCCCTCCAGTGCGTCCGCGCCGCAGGCTCACCTCGAGGGCAGCCCAATCACGTCACTCCCTGCCAGACGCTTCCGTGGCTCCCACGCCTGCAGGGACCCCCAGCCTCAGTGTTGTCTGCTCCCTGACTCAGCCCCAGCCACACTGAGCAGCGTGTTCCCCGACATGGGGTGCATCCTCAGACCCCTGGGCCTTTTCCTCTCCGCAACACTCTTCACCTGCCACCCCGTCTGCCTCTATCCTACTCTTACTACTAAATATCCCTCCTTCCGAGATTCCTCCGCCGAATCCCTGGCCCTTCCGGTAGCCCCGGCACCCCATGCTTACCCCAGCGCTAGATTTATCCCCAAGTATTGTAATTACTTATTTACTTGTTTGCCTTCCTCACGAGGCTGTAAAACCAGGAGGACGGAGATTATACCTTCTGTCTCTAGCCCCAAGTCATTGCACCGAGAAGCTGTACTGAGTACCCATGAGGTGCCCGCGCTGTGCCAGGTACCAGGGAAACAGGAAAAGGTGATCTTCCTCCCCTCCTGGGGCAGACTGTCTGGCAAGGAGGAGAGATGCTACATCAACAGTCATGGGAAATATCATTAGAAACGTATGTGTGCAAACTTCTCGAGAACCTAGCATGGTGCGTGGCCCGGAGGGGACGTTCGGCCAGTGTTTGCATGGAAAGTGGACGAGTTTTCTGTTGACCAGCGTCGGGGTTGAGGGCTTGAGTTCTGTCGTCAGCCCAGGCTGGATTCAAATACTTAACTTCTGTCATCCTCGGTTTCCTCATATAAAATGAGGCCAGTGTCGCCCAGCTCGTGGGGCTGCTGGGAAGAGGAAGTGAGAATGCATGCAACGCTCTGGGCAGGGTGCCCAAGGAAGGGCTCCCCAGGAATTCCAAGTCGTTACAACAGCCTCCCACGACGGGGCCGGCGAGGTGCAGTTCTCGAGATGCCCACCATGGGGTGCAGGGCCCTGTGAGGACTGAGGGAAATCCCTGTGGGGTGGTCGAGAGTGAGAAATCCCAAAACCGGAGTGGACAGAGGCGAGGACAGGCACTGATGTCCTCATAGCGTGGCAGAAGCCACACACGGGATGAGACCTTATCCTCCCCCATCCCCCTTTCCCAGCCCAGCCAGCTCTCCTTCAGTGGTTGTTACAGGACCGTTTGCAGGACCCCTCGCCTCCTAGACCCTAGACAGGGCCCTGGAGAGGACATTTACACCCACTTCTGAGTGCCTTCAACCTCCTAGTTCCATAATTCTTAATGCCCAATGTAATGTCATAGCTAATTTATCATTAAATACGATTGAAGTTTTCATGGACTACATTATTAAGCAAAATAGAGACGGACCATTGTCACCATTATTTGTTGAAATGAGGATAGCCAGAACACGAAAGGAGTGATGTGTGAAAGTTTGGAACCCAGCCCTTGTTTCCATGATGGTCACGAGTGAGACCCACGTGGCAGTGGGTCGTGGAAGCCGCGGAAAGAGCCTCATCTCCAGATACACCTTGGGATGTCGGCCCAAAAAGAGGGTTTGGGGAGACTGCTGCCTGATGCTGGACATTGAGAGGCTGGCCCTCCCCGCAAGCAGGCTCCTGAAGGCCAGTGACTCCTTGGGTGGCTGTGGGTGCAGCATTGGGAGAAAATGCCCCATCCCAGGGAATCCCTCAGACCTCCACCTTGACCTGGAGGAATTCAGGGCTGCCCATCTCCAGGGCTCTCTGGGTCATTCCTGCCCCTGATCCTTCCTACCGTGTCACGCTTCCCTCCAGAGCAGGAGTCTCCACCCTCCCATCAGCCAGATGTCAGTGTCCAGGAGGAGGGGGCTCCTCTCCTTGCCTGGCACTGCTCCCATCCTCTCCTCCCAGGACTGCAAGCCAAGCCTGTGGCCCTGGCAGCCACCCTCGAGCCCCTGAACCAGAGGTCACGGCTGGGGACCCACGAGCCTGACTCAGCTGGCAGAGGAGTTGGTTTACCTTACGCGGTGTTGTTGTTGATAGTATTCTTATTAACCTTGAGTTAATTCCCATATTTAAAAATTGAGAAACTTGACACAAAAATCCCAATTTTCAGCTTCTCTCGAGTCATATAACCTGACAACCTGGACTCCTCATTCTGGCTTAACCACAGTTGGCAGGAGCTGAGAGAAACCTGCCCCTTAGACGGATCTCCACAGCCCCCCACCCCTTCCCGAATCCAAGGCTGGTCACCCCCCACCTGAGCTGCAGTTCTGTGACACGTGGGACCTCACTTGTTTGCGTGGCTGCCTGGCGTTGGAGTGTGTGGCTTCTGTCCAAAACCTGGGGGTTTTCTGCACTGCTTGTGCCTTGCACTTGTGACGGCTCCCACGTGAGCAGAAGGTAGGGCTGCGATGAGGGGTTAAAGACTGACGGGGTTCCGGCTCTGCCTCCCCGAGGCTCCACACCTCCCACAAAGAGCACAGATTAGCTGGCTCCATAGGAGCAGATCAGGCTTGAAGCACCATCAGCAGGAACACTGGCAAAGCCACTTCTGCTGAGCTGGGAGAGCCACAGGCACCTCGGACATGCTCAGGCAGAAAAGTCTGAGACAGATCCCAGAGATGTCTGTACTGTGCTCTCTCGGGCTAGAGCCAGCCCCGGATGTGCACCATGGATTATCATTTTAATCTCTTTATTCATAGAATACATATCATGAGATACAATTCTCATTTGTAAGAGAGATACAAGGTAACCTCTCACCCTGACCCTTGGCCATGTACTTCCTTTCTCTGGAAGCAAACGATGTTACCAGCTGCAGAAGTATTCTATACGGTCACGAGTCGCTTAACGACGGGGATACATTCTGAGAAATGCGTCATTAGGCGATTTGGTCGTTGTGCAAACATCATAGAATGTACTTACACAAACCTAGATGGTGTAACCTGCTACATACCTCCTCTTTTTTTTACATTAATGGTAGCACACAGTGAATACTATTCTATATCTTGCTACCCACCCCTAACAGTATATTCTGGCACACCTTCCTTATCAATCCATGAGAACTTTCTCACTGTGTCTTTCACCATGAATACAAGTCCCACAGATGCCTGTCTGTCTCGTACTTTTTTAACTATCCCCTGTTGATGGACAGCGGAGTTGTGTTCCAGCCTTTTGCTACTACAAATAGTGATGTAGTGAAAAACGATGTCTGTACGTCACTGCTCATGTGCAAATATATCTGTAGGATAGACTCTTCAAAGTGCAGCTGCTGAGTGGAAGGCTCTAGATGTTTGTAGTTTTGCTAGATCCTGTTACACTGCCCTCCAGAGAGTTTGCACCGATTCAAACCCGTCTGGGGTGGGTGTACGTGCTGGTTGCCCCTCATTTGAAATGCTGGCTGCTGGGGTCTCCCAAGATCCAAGTGCGTGTTTGTCCTATCAAGCTGGCCCTGAAGGGAGGCCTCTTTAGTGCTGTTTTTCGGGAGCAAAGCTTCGCCCAGCCGTCCAGCGAAGTTGTTTTCTTTCTCGTTCTGTGCCCTACAGATAAACTGCGTGACGTTCCCTCACCCAGACACGATGCCGGAGCAGCAGCTGCTGAAACCAACCGAGTGGAGCTACTGTGACTATTTCTGGGTAAGTGGTCCCTCAGTTTCCCCCACGCTGCGGCTCTGAGGACCGGGAGTGGACACTCATGACGGGCAGGAGAGGCCTTGAGCTCAAAGCAGAGGGGCCTCTCCTATTGAAGCCCCTAAAGGGCCGGCACTCGATTTAGCATCTGAGGCAGGAACTTGAAGACTCTCTTAGAGTCCAGATTATTCCATAAATGTCAGAGAATCAACAGGGTTTTCATTCATGGCAATATGGAAAACCCCGCCAGATGCAGGTAAGCCGGAGGGTCCCTTTCTTTGCTGCTCAGTGAAGGCAGGAGACCAGAATCAACTTGAATAAGGAATCTGGGCTCCAGACCTGCCCTGTCACTCTTGTAAGTGACCTTGGACAAGTGCTTCACTTGTCCACATGGCTGCCTTCACCATTTCCATCAAAGTCACGAGAAGATTTTTCACAAGGATCTGTGGAAAGCTCTGGCTTTAATAGATCTGTGATTCCAGAATTTTTGCATATTGTTTACTGGGTATAGAGTTTCAGTTTTGCAAGATAAAAAAAGTTCTGGAGTTGGATGGTGGCAATGGTTACACAACAATGCGAATGTACTTAATGCCACAGAACTGTATGCTTAAAAATGGTTGATGGTAAATTTTATGTTATGTATATTTTTCCACAATTAAATAAGTATCTTTTGACAAATGCGAAGTTCTACACCTCAGAAACTCTGGGAATAGTCCTGGACATTTGCTTTTTTCTGTTTGTTTGTTTGTTTGTTTGTTTGAGGAAGATTGGCCCTGAGCTAACATCTGTTGCCAATCTTCCTCCTTTTTGCCTTTTTTCCTTCCCAAAGCCCAAGTACATAGTTCTATGTCATAGTTGTACATCCTTCCTGTTGCTCTATGTGGGACACCACCTCAGCATGGCTTGATGAGCGGTGCGTAGGTCTGCGCCCGGAATCCGAACTGGCAAACCCTGGGCTGCCGAAGCAGAGCGTGTGAACTTAACTGCTACGCCACGAGGCTGGCCCTAATATTTGCATTTTAATGTCAACAGTGACTTTCAAAATGAGATCACCCGTTCTGGAATCAGATAGTAGTGATGGTTGCACAACCTTGTGGATATATTAAAAACCACTGAATAGTACAATTAACAAAAAAAAACTTGGGGCCGGCCCCATGGCGTAGTGGTTAAATTCTGTGGGCTCCACTTTGGTGGCCCGGGTGCGCAGGTTTGGATCCCGGGCGCAGACCTATACCACTCATCAGCCATGCTATGGTGGCGAGCCACGTATAAAGTGGAGGAGGATTGGTACAGATGTTAACTCAGGGCTAATCTTCCTCAAGCAAAAGATAAAAAAAAGATTGGCAACAGATGTTAGCTCAGGGCTAATCTTCCTCAGGAAAAAAAAAACTTGCAAAGACCCCGAGGAACAATAAATAAACAAAATAAAAACTTTTTTTTCACCACCGTGCAGAATGGATTATCGGCCCTTTTTTAGATTTGCTAACCAAGTACTGACAAAAATGCTTCTTTCTTTCTACCAAATCACTTGTGCCTTAGAAGATGTCCAGTGATTCCTGTTGCCCCTGTAGGGGCAATTCCTGTTGCCCCAGCTGTGTCTCTTCCAGATCTTCTGCGATCTGGCAGAGGCAGCAAACACTGTAAAAAGCACTCTGGCTTTGGTGTCCCACAGACCCGGGGGAGGCGGTGAGCTCAGAGGAGAGGGTGAGCAGGGATCAGAGTGTGCAGGACTTCACAGACCCCGTAAGCACGTTGGGTTTTGTTCTGTTTGCAGCAGGAAGATGTTGGAGCGTTTTAAGCAGAAATATGCTGGGATCTGGTTTGTGTGTGTTACACAGGGAGGACGGTGAGCAGGCAGGAGAGGCAGTAGCAGGGGGCTGTGGGAGACCAGGAAGGGTGGTGGCAGCTTCAGAGATGGAGAGAAGTAGCTGGGTTTGGAGACGTCATCCCTAAAGAGGGGCACAGGACGTGGAGCTTTCAGGGGAGAGTGGCTCGAGCCCTGGGGATGGGCACCCTGGGAGCTTGAGGTCAGCGTGTGGGGTATCATGTGGGGGTGTCAGGGAGCCTTGGGGAGCCGAGGGGAGCATGGGATCCTGAGCTGGTCAACAGCATCCAAGAGAGCGACACTTGTAAGTTCTCGTCTTAATTCAAGCTCTCCTGGGACTCGGATACTTCCTCTAGCGTTTTATCTCCCTGGCCATCAAGACCTTTTCCGCTAATGGAAATCTCTCTGCTGACACAGTCATTAAAGCCCATTTCTTCTGGCTGGTTTTCCCTGGTGTGGACGAATCGCTTGGCATATCCATCCCATGTGGGAGGCAGATTGGGGCTCAGTATTTTGGCTAATTTTTCTTTTGCTTTTTTATCAAGACGTAGTAGTCATATGATGAAATGAACAAATGGTAAATGTACTTGGAGAAACTTCAAAATGGCCAGAGCAGCCCCACTGTGACATGGTGCGCCCCGTGTGGTGGTGATCCCCCTGTCACGAGAGGTATTACAGTGTGGCTCAGAGGGCCTTGGGTCAGGGCAGCCTAGGAAGGAATATCACGTTGGGAGGGAACGGGGATGTGTCCATAAAACCTTTCATCTACTTGACGATGGAAAGTGGGGTTCTCTCCAGGCATCACCAGCCTGTTTCCATTCCACTCTCCTAAAATGTCTGTTCCGGTTGGGATCTTAGAGATGCAACCCACTCCTGTGTCAAGGGGTGGGGGGCAGGGGAGACAAAGCTAAGGATTGGAAAGACCTGACCGTGTAACCCACTGGCTGAGCGGAGACGAGAACCTGGATCTTTCTGGATCCTGGGACAGGGTTCTCATGGATGCACCTCTCAGTGATGTCAAAGGACAGATTTTTAACTCCTTTCTTGAATTATCGAAGCATTTGTCTCTGATTCCTGGTGGGAAAGGCCATAACAGAGGAGGACAGTGTGGGCGTGGTGCCGGCCCGGCGCTGAGGAGGCTCCGAGAGTTGTTCTCCAGCAGCCACGCTGTGCGGGCAGATGCCGGGCGAATGTCCTGCAGGGAAGGCCGTGTTAGGGGGTGCCGGGCAGGAGGGGAGCAGGAAAGAGGCATTCAGGCGTCCTTGAGCAAGTGCAGGCAAAACAAAGCAAAAAGCATTTAATTTTGAAATTTTAAGAGTATTTCCTTGCAAAATGGATTGGATGCTAAGTTCCCATTTCATTGACTTGGCCATCTTCCCTGAGTTCTGACTTTTATTTAAAAGTTACTAATAACAGATCCCATTCATTGAGTACTTAGTGTACACTGAGTGCTGTGCTAAGCTGTTTCCATAAGTCGAGTATCCAGAGATGACCATATAAGGCCGTGCCATTATTTCCCCAGTTCTCCAGATGAAGCAGCTCAGGCTTGGAGTGAGCGACGATCTTGCCTGAGGTCGCCAGCTGGGGTGTCACTCCGGGCAGCCTGCCCTTTTCCACTCTGGCTTCCCTTCAAACCAGTTTCTCCCCAGAAGCCACTGATCTTTTATGAATGTGCGCTGGAAGATGTCACTGCCCGGCCAGTGCAAGAGGCTGACAGGGGAAGAGATGGCTTAGGGTTAGGGACACCTGCCCCCAAGGTCGCAGACTGTCCCAGCTTCGAGTCTTGACGCAAGACTCCCGAGGGTCCAGCCAGCCTCAGCAGCCGTCTGGTGAGAGTAATAGGCTGCCGGGCATCAGGGCCTGTGCCCTCGGCCTCTCGCCCTTCTTCCTCTCCTTCCCCAGGTTGGGAGGTTGAGGGGCATGAGGTGGGGTGGCAGCAGCTGTGAGGGTGTAAGCATCAGGGAGCACAGGGAGCGGGGCACAGGAGAGACACGAGTTGGGGCAGCGGAGTCTGCCGCTCCCGTCCTCCCTCTCTGGCTGAAGTCGGGGCTGCCAGGTGCATCTGGGGTCTGTCTGCCCTACATTCCATTCCTCCTGGCTCCAGACACCAATGTCGCCTAAACTCGCCTGCCTCTGTTTCCTGTCTAGGCTGATAAGAAGGACCCCCAAGGCAACGGCACGGTGGCTGGGTTCGAACTGCTGCTTCAGAAACAACTGAAGGGCAAACAGATGCAGAAGGAAATGTCAGAATTCATCCGGGAAAGGTGAGACCTGGGCCCTCCCAGCTTGGGGACTGGTGACAGCGCCCACCTGGGCCCCTTAGCCTGAGGGAGTGAGCCACAGGGATGAGCACTGCACACCCAGCACTGGGCTTGGTTAGCACTAAGGGGAACATAAGGCTGGAGTAACAAACTCAGGGCCTCAGGACAGACCTGGCCAGCAAATGTGTTGCTTTGGCCTGTGTCATATTTTTAAAGATTTGAACCAACATTTTTGTTTAAATTGGTAGATTTTACATTAAAATCTGGATATCCAGCATCTCTTGAGAAAGCTGAAAGTCTGGCAGCAATGGCTCCGCATCCATCCCTCATGCAACAATTGGCTGGAGCTGAGTAGCAGCTGCCCCTGTGGAGGGAACATCTGTTTCTAGTTTGCCACAGTCCCTACCACTCCCTACTGTATCCCCACACAGACTGCTTGGCTCCTTTCCTTACCTACATGGCCCTCATTTGAAGCACTGTACCTTATCATAACAAAAAAGGAGAAAGTTACCTTTCAATTCATCTTTGGGCCAAAACTGTGTCCCAGGTGTGGTATATAGAAACCCCCCACCCTCCCATCCCTGCCTTCAGAGAGATCAGCCTAATGGGAGAGTCAGGTGAGGTCATTAAGTGCAGGGATTTTGATAGTGGTTTGTATGAAAAGTGGTTTCCCTGAACATAGATGAGAAAACAGTAAATTCAGCCTGATAGAAATAAGAGAAGCTACAAAGAGAAGTCCCTTCTCCGTCTCTCTTCTCCTCTCAGTCTCTCCAAGTTCTGAGACCCTATTAAGCACACACTCACATACCACACGCCTGCATACCTCCTATGTGCACATACTCCCCCAACACGTGTACACACACATGTACACACAGCTTCCCATCTGGAGTCGCCAGGGTGCACTGGAAATATTTATGGTAAATGGCAATATATTTTTAAAATATTTCTTTTTTAATTATAACAACAATAATCAAGTAATAATTCTTTGGCATCTTAAAGCACCGCTTTTCCTTAGGAGGCCCATTTTCTATTTGTATAATCAACTCTTTATTTTATGACCCATTAAACTGGTGGGAAATTGAGAGGTTGCATAGCTCAGGTGCAAGAAAACAGTCATTAAAACAGGGGCACAGGCAACTGGTTGTTAAAGCCGAAGTCGGAACACTCTTGCGGTTTATCCTTTCACGAAAACATTATGTTGGCAAATAAAGAGAATCTGCCGTTTGAGGACTCTGGTCTTCCCAGAGAAATGTGGACGCCGGCACCTCTTCTCAGCCCCGCTGGGGTCTCGCAGGGAGGGCCTTGCAGAGCCAAGAGCTGAGGCGCAGAGGTGGGAGTGTGCCGGGCCAGGGGCGGACGTCTGGGGGTTTGCCGTGGCCTCAGCCGTGGAACGCCAGGCAGGGGTGGAGGTGATGCAGACGCTGGCTGTGGAGGTGCCGCCCGGGAGCAGACGGCCTCATGCCTGGAGCACGCGATTGGCATTGAGCCTTTGGAGGTTTGAAGCTGAGAGTGCGACATGCTTAGATCTGCTCTCTAGAGAGATCTCTTGGCTGCAGGCTGGCCGTCCCTGTCGTCCTGGGGAGGATGGGACTGAATAAGGCAGAGTTAGTGGTGAGGAAGCCACAGAGGCAGGAGAGAGGCTTGAGAGGACCTGGAGATTGGCCGGGGGGATGGTGAGAGCAAAGCAGAGGGACGAAGACCGAGACTGTGGGTGTCTCCGCCAGATCGTGCAATAATGATTACTCAGAGCGCTGCCGCGGGGCTTGGTCCAGCCGCCCTCTACATCAGCGCACCCTTCGGGCCTCCGCTTCGGTGCGGCCAGGAAGCAAAGGCTGCAGCCTCAGGAGCGTCTCTGGGGCCTTGCTATTTGCCGAGTGACGGACCAGAGGCGCTCGGAGGCCCCAGCCCTCTATCTGGCTCTTGTTGTCACAAGCATATCTCCTCCATGTCCCGCATGGCCCGGAGCATGGCTTAGACAGCAAACAGTACCTTTGACAACATGCTTTACATGGATGTGCCGGATAACAAAGAACGCTCTCCGGAGAGCTGCCTTGAAAGTGTGTCAAGGGCCTGCCTGCTGGAAGCGACATCCAAGACAACTTCCCTCTCCCAGGAAGTGGAATCAGCTGCAGCTCGGGGCACTGCCTGGTTTCCATGGAAATGCTTGTGCCCTGCAGGCTTGGCATTTAGAGGCACTGGGGGCTGGGAGACAGGAGGGAGAAGTTCAGTTCCTGCTTCCGAGGGGCCGACGCCACCTTGGAGGGTCTAAACCCAGAGCTCAGGGGCTGGGAGGGAGAGGGGGACAGCACTGGGCATCCCTGTGGTCCGTCACGAGTTACATTCATCATGTGTCAGCGCTGTGCCCAGAGTTGTGCGAATGACAGCTCCTCCTCTTCACAGCCTGGGAGACAGGTGGGAATGTCCCATTTTGCAAATGAGGAGACAGAGTTTCAGACAATTTCGTTCATTCATTCATTCAACAAATATTTATTAAGCACCTCCTGTGGGTCAGGTGGACAGACAATAGCCATGTACTCTCAGAGCCTGTGGTTTAGTGGGTTCCTTTACCGGTTAATAAGCGGCAGGGCTGCAGGTCAGACCCATTGTCTAGAACTAGGGAGCTGACTTGTCGGGTTCTCTCCCTTTGCAGGATAAAGATTGAAGAGGAATATGCGAAGAACTTAGCTAAGCTCTCTCAGAACTCCTTGGCTGCACAGGAGGAGGGGTGAGTGGGGAGGACGGTGATGGGGGTGGGGAGGAAGAGGGGACACTCAGGAAGGGGGGTCCCTTTTCACCCATCACTGCTCATTGGCACGGTCCCATTTGGATGGGGAAGTCTCGGAAGGCCTGGCTCAAGCTGGGCACCCATGACTCCAGGTGAGGGCGTCCATGCTCAGGGTGGGCACTTCCACATTGTCTTCTCTCCAGCAGCCAAGGGCCTCCTGCCAGATGCTGGAGTATGTCAGGACCCGCTCTGGCCTGACCCCTGGTAGCTGGGCACCCCCAGATGCCCCCCTCTGCTCCCCTTTCTCTGAGGATGTGCTGGTAGGAAACTGGGTGTGAGAGGATTCCGCACCTGGCCCCTTGTTTAGAATTATCTCCCATGAGCCTGAGGCCCAGGCTCCCCTCCCCCTCCCGCTGTGACAGTCCAGACTTCCTTGGGTGGGACCTGGGCTGGGGGAGGCTCAGCCTCACCCTCCCAGCTACAGAAGGATCCCTAGTGGGAGGAAGACTGTAGCCTTCCCTGCTCCATCTGTTAACAACATTCATCCTACTGGTGGGAATGTAAAGTGGTGCAGCCACTGTGGAAAACAGTTTGGCAATGTCTCAAAAAACTAAACATAGGATTACCATATGACCCAGCAATTCCACTCCTAGGTTTATACCCAAAAGAATTGAAAACAGATACTCAAACAAATGCATGTACACACATGTTCATAGCAGCATGATTCACAGTAGCCAAAAGGTGGAAACAATCGAAATATCCATCAAGGGATGAATGGATAAACAAATTGTGGTGTATCCACATTGGATGTGCATGGATGCGTGATGGAATATTATTCAGCCATAGAAAGGAATGAAGTACTCCCATGCTGCTCTGTGGATGAACCTCAGAAACGTTACACTAAGTGAGAGAAGCCAGACACAAAGGTCACATATTGTGTGATTCCATTTATATGAAACGTTCAGGATAGGCAAATCCATAGAGACTGAATGAAGATCGGCAGTTGCCAGAAGTTGAGGGAAAAGTGGAATGGAGAGTAACTGCTTAATGGGTATGAGGTTTCCTTTGGGGTGTGTATCTGTCTGCCAGGGCTGCTGTAACAAAATGCCATAAACTGGGTGGCTTAAACAACAGAACTTTAAGTTATCATAGTTCTGGAGGCTGGAAGTCCAAGATCAAGGTGCCAGCAGGGTTGGTGTCTGGTGAGTCCTCTCCTCTTGCATTGCAGGCAGCCGCCTTCTCACAGTGGCCTTTCCTCAGTGAGCAGAGAAAGCCACCTCTTCAGTGTCTCTTATAAGGACACAAATCCTATCCGAGGGGGCCGGCCCCGTGGCTTAGCTGTTGGGTGTGCGCGCTCTGCTGCTGGCGGCCTGGGTTCGGATCCCGGGCGTGCACTGATGCACCGCTTGTCGGGCCATGCTGAGGCAGCGTCCCATATACAGCAACTAGAGGGATGTGCAACTGTGACATACAACTATCTGCTGGGGCTTTGGGGAGAAAAAGGGAAGAAAAGGAGGAAGATTGGCGATAGATGTTAGCTCAGGGCCAGTCTTCCTCAGCAAAAAGAGGAGGATTGGCATGGATGTTAGCTCAGGGCTGATCTTCCTCACAAAAAAAAAAATCCTATCCGATCGGGACTCCACCCCTATGACCTCATTTAACCTTAACTATTTCCTTAGAGGTCCCATCTCCAAATACAGCCACACTGGGTGGGGTGGGGGGTGGTTAGGGCTTCAACATATGAAGTTGGGGGGGACACAAACATTTGGTCCATAGCAGGTGATAAAAATGTTTCAGAACTAGACAGAGGTGGTGGTCGCACAACATGGTGAATGTACTAAATGCCAGTGGATTGTCCTCATTAAAATGGTTAGTTTTATGTTATGTGAATTTCACCTCAGTAATAAAAATGAATGAAGACGCAGGAGGTTAGAGTTGAAAGGTCCACCAAGGGCCAGCAGCATCCAGTGCAGTCTCTGTGTGAATCCCTCCCCTCCAAGGGGACGTGGCCCCCGAGGAAGGAAGACCTTCTGTCCTGGGATGGTGGTGGCTGTCAGAGTGCTGTGATGCTGAACACGTCCAAATCTGCCTGCATGGCTTGAAATCCTTCAGGGGCGGGTGTGGCTTCGATTAAGGCCTCTGCATGGGCTCACTGTGCAGCCAAGAGGCCGCCTCCCAATCGTTTCACCAACCCAGCCGGCCATAGGCCACAGGGCAGCCCTGCAGGGCCCGTGCCTCTTCCATGGACATAAATGAGGTTGGCTCAGGCCCCTCTCTGCCCGTGCGCTGGGCCTGAGACGGGGGCAGGAAGGGGGAGCGTGGGAGTGTCACCTTCTGGCCTGCCAAGGGGGCTTTCCTAAGGATCCCCATGCCCTGCAACCACCTTGCTGCTCCCGAGTCTTCCGGCTTCCACCTCCTCGGCCTGGGCGGCTGCCAGGGACACTCCATCCTGCCAACACGCCCGGCATATCCTCCCAGCTGTACGAGTCAGGGCTGCACCAACACACTGGACACACACGCACCTGCAAACACGGGGCCACCCAGCACATGCTCATGTACGTGCATGGACGCCGCTCACCTACAACGTGGCCGTGAGCAGACGTGTGCTCACACTAACCCCACGCACGCACTCCTTCCAGCGGACACCGTTGGTGTGGGGGTTGAACACGTGGCTTCCCTCCTCACAATGTGCGGCAACGCTGTTTTGCATTTACACACAGCTTTGGACATTAGCCCAGTCCACCTTGAAACTTTCCAAGTGTGGCGCTGGAGCCTAGAAATTGGGGGCGGTCTAGGAGGAATCTGATGGGGGGCCTTGAGTTGGCTCTTGCACCTTGAGCTCTGTGTCCAAAATAGATTCCAGAGGATATGTGTACACTGGTAAATAAACAGAGTCAGGTTATTTATTCTGCCTTCAGTTTTTCTCTCCTGTGTGGAAAGGAAGTGGGATTTTGGTCTTTCTTGGTTGGTAATTGTGACAGTAACACGCATTTTGATTTGGCATGCCTCAGGCTGCATTGGAACAGAAATATCTCTTAGGTTATATTTTCTTCATTAACCTCTTGTTAGATAAAAAATCTCTCTTCTAATGAGAGAATTTCTAAATTGCGTTTTTCTCAATTGTGAAGCAGCTCCAAGGGGCCTGGAATCCTGGGGTCGGGGGGTGGTGTCCACGGGGGTGTCTTAGCTCAGACAGGCCCATCCAAGTGTTTGGAGTGACATTCCCCACCTGTGAATGCCCAGCCTGGAGGTGGGGCCGAGGACACTGTCTTGAGCGTGAAACTGCTTCCTCCTCTCCTCCCAGTAGCCCTCAGATGACATCTCAGGCTGCTACAGCTGGCGCTGGGCCAGTTCCTGTCCTGCAAACTCTCAGCACCACCCAAGGCTTTCTGGCTTCTGGGCTCTTGTTTGTACGCTGCGCAGGCTTGTGTAGCTCAGCTGCAGGAGCACATCCCTCTCCATCACCCTTTAACTAAGTCCACACTTCTCCTGGGACTGCTTCTGTAAGCTTCGGATAGTGTTGGTGTTCACTTCAGATCTGTGATCCATCTTGAGATAATCTGTGTGAATGGCGGGAGGTCAGGGTCCAGATCCCTTTTTTCCCTATTGGTATACAGTTGGCTCCACACCATTCGTTGAAAAGACCATCTGTTCCCCATTGGGATACTTGCCACCTTTGTTGCACATCAGTTGCCCAATCGCACATCAATCAATCACAAACTCACATCTGGGTGAGTCTGTTTCTGGACCTAGTATTGTTCCCCTGTCTCCGTGACTATCACGACTGCCTCCACCTCCACCTCTCCCCACCCTGGACCTCCCACCCATCTGCTGAATCAGGTGAGGAGCCAGGCCACCCAGAGTTACGCCTGCACAGCTTCCGGGAGCTTTGGCCCTTCAGGCCAAGACCAATGTCAACAGCTTGGATTGCCCTGTTTCTCACTCCGTCTCCTCGGGTGGGCACCTCAGCCGGGATCACCCAAGGGGACCTTTCTTTGCTGCCTGACTCTTAGATAAAATCAGTCGTTTCCCCTGAACTCCCACCTCAGCCTGAGCCAACACTGCAACCAGAGAGGCCAGGACTGTGATCAGAGGGATCCGTTCTGTTCTGTTGGGTAATTCTCAGCTGCTGGCTGCTGCGCTTGAAACCCAGAAGCCTCGCAGCGTGCTGTCTTTTCATCAGCTTTTGCCGCTCAAGTTTAATTAATTCTCTGGGGGAAGTGGCTTCTTGATGAAGTTAAGTCAGCTGAACATTCAGCCTGGGTTTACTGGCTGGGTGGAGAGGTCTCGAGCAAGGACACAGGAGTGTCATTTGGAGGGTTGGCGAGGTTAAAGAGTTGCAAATGATGGGGAGCGTAGCATGGATTTCTACATTCGAAAGTCTTAGGGACTTCAGGAGATTGCTTCTCTTGGAAACACCTCCTTGGAGTGGAGAAGTGATTTAGCTTAGAGGACTCAGCCATTCTGTAGTGGGCTGTGGGCTGTACTGGGGCTCACCCTCCAGGATCAGTACTAGCGGGAGCCACGCTCCTGAGGATGGTGATGGAGAGCCTTCTCTGCTGTGTGGGCGTCCCTCAGAGGCCCCTAGACTCAGGTGGCCCATCTTTGCCCCTCTTGGAAGTCAGACCACTGGAGGTTTACCTGTGAGCAGGGCTCTGTGGTACCTTCTGTGTGAGAAGAGCTTCTCCCTGAAAAGGCATCTGTTCTTTCTTGATTTACCGGCAGGTGTTGCACTGCTCATCAGCAAACAGGGAGGGGCGATGAGAAGGGCTGGGGACAGTAATGGGCCAGGTATCAAGGCCCTCACTGTGGCTGCACCCCACTTCCTCTCACATCTCCCCCAGTTCTCCGGATATTTCCCCAGCCACTTGACTGTCTGCTAGTCTGTTCTCTCAGCTCCAGAGATCCTCAGCTCGGTTGGGATGGCTCGTCTCACCCCATAGGTTGAAGTGTGTTACTCACATCTGTTTTGTGCCTGGCCTCTGCCTCATCCAAGTTCACGGTCTTGGGTGTTATATGCTCCCCAAGACTCAGAGTCGAGACCCACCGTCCTGCCTCAGGAAGGGCTGAGGTCTCTGCCCTGAGGTCAGTGCAGCCCTCTTCGAGTCTCATGGTCTCCTTCTGTTGCAGCTCCCTGGGAGAAGCGTGGGCACAGGTGAAGAAGAGCCTTGCAGACGAGGCAGAAGTTCACCTCAAGTTCTCAGCCAAGGTAACCCCTCCCCGCGGCCTCTCTGGATTGATCTTACACCGCGGTGTGCTGTTGGACATTTAACAACTCTCTTCAGTGTGTCGTGTAGGCCAGTTTCTGTGGTGTAAATTTCAAGCATCAGGAAGAGATACACAATAGCGCACCATTGTATAGTGTTTGCACCACACAAAAGCATCAGTAACATAAATATCTACCAAAACATGGGTAATAGGAAAATGTAGTGAGGAAGTGGTAAGTGCTGAGTGTTTATTACCTTTGTTTTTAATATCACTTGTTAATTTTAAGTTGAGATCATTTAATGTTTAATACTGGCTGTCTTTAGCAACCAACTCACAAAATTCCTACAAATTTAACATTTGGCTCCGCTGAGCCAGGGCAAGCCACCCCAGCATAGCTCTGGGAGGGGAGGGTGGCCCCCTCAGTTCCTCAGGTGAACCCCACTCTTGCTTTGCTGGGCTTTCAAAGGGACGTACTGGCCTTTTCTACTTCTTCTTGGGGTCGAGAGACTAGACTAGGCCAAAGGGAGAATTGTTTGGTTTGGTTTGGTTTGTTGTTGTTGCACAGTCTCGGACTAGGTAACTGACCCTTCTTTCGTTTGGTTCTGAAGACTAGCTCCCTGACCTTGAGGACAGCGATGCTTCAGTCCTGTCCACTCTGCCCTCAGTACTCAGGGTGGTGCCTGGTACACAGTAGATGCTCAATTAATGTTTTCTGAAGTAATGAATGAGCGAGGCCCTCTGACTGTCTCCTTCTGACCGCCCCCCCCCCCCAGTCCTAGTTTCTCTCAAGATTTCTCCATATTTTCAAACAACCTTCTCTTCCCCACTCCCTGGCCCATATCTCCAAACTGCCTCTCAGGCTGTCAGCTACTTTTTGGGGGAACACTAAAGCAAGTGTCTGAGTGAGATAATTCACACGAAAGTATGCCTGACTGGCTGGGCTACCCACCAGCATGCCTGCCTTTTAAAGGAAGAGAGACCTTTGAGAGTGGCACCATTCCCAGTGACCTTTGCCTCCTGGGGTCCACACTCTGCCCTCTGCCCTCCCACTATCACTAGTCAGACATGGCAGCCTGAGAGGGCACTTGCACAAAGTGCTTAAACTCTCTGAGCCGCCATTTTAGTATTGGGGGGCACACTACCTCCTTTACTGCTTGAAGGTAGCATCCATCCCCCAAAGATGGCTGCTCCTTCCAGGGGTGTCCACATTCAGCACTCACAGGTCCTATCTCTTTTCTAGTGCTTTTCCCACAGTAACTGCAGTTCTGGGCTTTGGGGTCCCCGTGGGATGTGCGCTGGTGGAGGACAGGAATCTGGCTTCGTACCCAGGTCTCCCCACCCCGCCCCATGATGGTTCTCTGCATACCGAGGGCAGAATGAATGACTCAAATGGCTGAGACACGTGAAGCAGCTTTATAAAGAGCTGGGCCGGAAGAAAAAACAGTGCTATTACCGGCTCCCTGCTTCTAGAGAACGTTAGTCCCCAAGAGCGAGAGACACCTAGGTGTGAGTGAGAATTCCTGGCCTATGATGGCACATTAACCTCATACACCAAGCACTTCACAAGAGAAGTGCCACTGGAGCACTGGGAGAGAAGGGAGCTCCGTGAATTGGTCTCTTTGCCGCCTTGCATACAAAGCAGCAAGTTATTTTTAATTTTCAGGTCATGGGTGGCGTTCCCTCTAGGTCTCCCTTCTGTCCTAGGCCCCAGCCGCGCGTTCTCTGCGTGGCAGAAACCTCCATTGACTGGTGAGGTGACTGGGAAGGCTGCCGTTGTGAGGGGGTGGGGCTGGGAGCCAGATCTGCGAGCTTCTGAAAGGGCGCCTGCTGGATGCTGGGAATCCTGGTGGCATTTCCTCCCCATCAGGAGGACCCCTGGTTCTCGGTTGTTTACAGAGTACGCAATAGGTGACAACATGCTCTCCGATGCGCTGTTTCCCTTTTACTACTGTTAACTTGCACCAAGGCTTCTGACACCAGATGTGTGGGGTTTTCCCACGCCAACTGTTCTCTGACGCCTGCTGGGTGTCCTACAATTGAATTCCATTCTGACAGGAACTACTTGGAAATAGCATCGGATCCCACAGATTAAGGACTCAGTCCCACAAGACTGCCCCCACTTCAGATGCCAGTTGCAATTAGTGGGTCTCCAGGTTACCCTCACTTCTGTCTGACTGCAAATCAAGGGTTCCACGCCCCCCTTCTCGGGTTTGATAATTTGCTAGAGTGGCTCACAGAACTCAGGGAAACATTTAACTTATGTTTACTGGTTTATTATAAAGGACATGATAAAGGATACAGATGAATAGTCAGATGAAGAGGTACATATGGCGAGGTCCAGAAGGGTCCTGAGCATGGGAGCTTCGGTCCCCATGGAGTTGGGGTACACCATCCTCCGAGATGTGGATGTGTTCACCAACCCAGAAGCTCTCTGATTCCTGTAATTTACAGATTTTTATGGAGATTTCATCACATAGACATGATCAATTATTAACTCAATGTCCAGGGCTTCCTTCCTCCCCAGAGCTTCTAATCATGGCTTGGTCTTTCTGGTGACCAGCCCCATCCTGAAGCTGTCCAGGAGCCCACCCAGAGTCACCTCATTAGAAAAAAAGATGCTCCTATCACCCAAGAAATTCCAAGGGATTCAGGAGCTCTGTGTCAGGGACCAGAGTCCGAGACAAAATTAGAACAAAAGATGCTCCCAGCACCTTTATCAGTTAGGAAATTACAATGTTTTAGGAGCTCTGGCCAGGAGCTGAGGACGAAGACCAAAATAGATATTTGTTATATCACAGCCTACAGTGATGTCAGTGTTGCAGATGCTTACGTACAGGATATAACTCATCCTCCTCGATTTTATCAGCCACCGTGCAAGACAGCATCTCCATTTCACAAGTGAGAAGGGACAGAGAGGTCAAATCACAGCCCATGGTTACACAGCCAAGTGGGCTCAGCTACTGAGGAAGCAAAGGAGAGGACTGAGCGAATTGGAGACTTGACCCCCAGACCTTTTCTCCCGGCAGACCAGTGGCATTTAAAACACAGAACCCCGGGGCCAGCCTCATGGCGTAGCGGTTAAGTGCACGCGCTCCGCTGCTGGCGGCCTGGGTTCGGATCCTGGGCACACACCGAGGCACCGCTTGTCAGGCCATGCTGTGGCGGCGTCCCACATAAAGTGGAGGAACGTGGGCATGGATGTTAGCCCAGGACCAGGCTTCCTCAGCAAAACGGGGAGGATTGGCATGGATGTTAGCTCAGGGCTGATCTTGCTCACAAAACAAAACACAGAACCTCGTTCTGAGGAGCACTCTGCCCTCTCTCCAGGGCTGTCCAGGGTGGTGCAGGCTGGCCTTCCGAATGCCCACGACGTTTTAAGTCAGGTGCTGATGAGGTAGGGCTGACTTCATCATTCAGCTGATGGGAGGTGTATGAAGAATGTTTACACAAAACAGATTTTTTTCTGAGAACCTCTGCTGCTTCCCGCCTGTCAGTCAGGGTTGGTGGCCTCAGGCAATTGTCATGGCAGCCCAGTGGTTGTATGGCGATTCCTCGAAATGAAAGAGGCTCCAAGGATTTGTCTGCCGTGGATAATATGGCTCCATATGCGCAAAACCCATTTTAATGTCTGCTCCGAAAGGCTCATTGAAATTCTGCTCTGAACGTTCTGTGTCGGGGGCAAGAGCTCTTTAAGAAATACAATTTTGTTATGGCAATCTTTCAGGCTTTTCTGGTCTACTAGCTCAAGCCATTGTTAATAGCATCAGGCCATTAAAGAAATACTATTGCTCTGTACAAAGAAAGTTATACCTGGCCCCAGCTGCAGGAGGGAGAACAGAGAAGTCCCTTCTGATGGGAGAAAATCTCATCATGCAGTAGAGGCCATGCATTCAGTCAGAAGACTTTAGGGGGAAGTGGGAGTCAGGAGACTTGCATTTTACGTCAAGGCTGTCACTAACCAGCTTTGTGACCTTCGAGAAGTCACTTAGCATCTCTGAGCTTCCATTTTTTCATGTGTGAGATGAAGAGTTTGGACCAGATCAGTGACTTTAAACTTATTTGTGACCCAGAGTAACACATTTTACATGGGCACCCAGAGGTATCCACACCCAAATACCCACATGCAGATACTCAAGCATGGACACAGCTGAAACACACATTTCACGAAACAGTACTTATCCTTCTGCCTAAAATGCACTCTGTGTTTTCTATCCATGTCTGGTCTGTTCTCATCAAAAAGCTGGTCTTCACCCACTAAGCTGATTTCACAACTCTTAGCAACCCACCATCTGAAGAACACTGGACCCGATAGTCTCTGAAATTCCTTCCAACTAGAGATTTCTCCTATTCTCTTCAGCTGTGTAAGATGCAAGTAGGAGGAGACAAGAGTGCAGGAGTTCTAGAAAGGCTCCAATTATCTGTCCCATCCAAGACGGGCCTGCTCGAGAGTTCATGAGGACAAGTTCCAGGAAGGGCTTCTGACTCTCAGTTAAACAAAGATGCTTCAGAGTTAAGAATGAGTATAAAAAGACACCAGCTGACTTTTTTGTAGAAAAAATTATGTCTTTTAGAAGTACGTAAAGTATAGAGGGAGAATGCAGGGATCTTCATCTATGCATTGAATCGCCTCTGACAGCTGGTACCATGATGTTTCCAGAATGTCAGTTGGAATTTGGGGAGAGCATTTTGATGCACTGGCAGGTTGTTGGGCTCTTCACCAGACCACAAAGCCTGGGTCCGGGGCCCAGGAATCCTGAATGTTCAAAAGCCCCTCCAGGTCACTCCAGGGCACATTGAAGTCTGGAAATCACTGACTTTCCAGGCCCTCAGAAAGAGACCCCAGAGTTACTGAGTCAACAGGCTGAGTAAGCCTCATAGACCCCCAATCAGGGGCAGGTTCCCATGGCAGCTAAACTATGCAACTCCTCCTCCCTCCTCCTCCACAAACGCCTAATCTCTGTGGGAAAGGGGTTTTCATATTCTTGGCAGCTCTCAAGTTTGCAGCATCTTACAAACTGCCACCAGATGGGGATATTTTCCTATACAAGGAAACTCCCAGGGCTCAAAAAAATAATAGCAGACATTTACAACTGACATGAGGGGGAAAGCAGCATTTGGATGACCCACTCTCTGTTAGTCTTTGAAGATCATCCAACAGCAAAGCCATCATCTGTCACACAGGGCATTGGGCACTGAAGATTGTGTCATCTTCCAAGTAGTGAAGGGGCACGCACTCCACACCAGCTCCAGCCAGATGCTGTGGACACAGCAGTGGCCAAGCCAGCATGGCCCCTGCCCTGTTAGAGCTCACAGTCGTCTGTCATTGGTGGTTTGGAACTAGGAAGGCCTAAGTCCTGAAGGTCTCCAGAGAAAGAGATAATGTAGCAAGAGCCCGGTGAGGAGGAAGAGGAGAGAAAGCACAGAATCCCAGAGCTGGGATGTCACTGTCCAGGGAAGTTCAAATATGATTCCCAGATGCACTTCAGGACACGAGGAGGCCGAGGGACCTTGGAAGGCCGTGTTGGTGGGGTCCAGGAAGGCCAAGTCGGTGGCCGTAGGAGGCTGAGTTAGGTGGGGATGGGGGCTCTGAGAGGCTTGGTCAGCAGGACTGCAGGCCGCTCACCTGGCTTTGACCACAGCAGATCCACAGTTATCTGTTTTCTTATCAAGTACATCTTGTGTTCACACTCTCCCCAAAAAAGTATTAGGTGAAAGTTCTCCTTCAAAAGGGAGTAGAGTGGGAAAGAGGGAAGGAATAAAAGAGAAGCGAAAAGCTGAAAAACTTGATGTCTGCCAGCTCCTCTCAGGGCATAGACTGCATCTCCAGCCCTTGGAGTCCGAAGCAGTTCCCCCTGGGGGGTGGGGCGCCTGTCTCCATGCGGACAGTGAGGTGAGGTCGTCCCCCCCCCCCCCCCCGTGCGGCTCAGGAGAGGGGCCCTGTGAGTTCCCACCGTGGATTCCTCGAGCTTTGGACCACGTCCAGACCATCTCTGTAGTGTCAGCACCTGGTACATAGCAGATGGTCAGTAAATAGAACTGACCTGAGATCGCCCAATTAAATGGCATCCACGTGGCTGTCACTGTGCTAAGTGCTGAGGACGCAGAGATGGTGGCTTGATTTCTGCTGCCAGAAAGCTCCCAGTTTGGAAAGTAAGGGAGATGGACACCCGAGAAAAGTCCTACAAGAAGCTATGGGAGCTGAGAGCAGGAGGGAGGTAGCCGGCAAGGCCGGACTCCAACCTTTCCATCCACCAGTGTGGACGCTGAGGCCTTGCCAGCTAAGGTGACTTCCTAAATGGCGACCTGATAAGCAGCCACTTGTCTCTAACCTTCCTGTCGGGAGGTGAGGCGCCAGGCCACTGTCCCAGGCTCCATCTCACCTGCAGGGGTGGAGGAAAGCGCCCCCCCCTCCTTCCTCCCCTTGCTTGCAGCTGATGCCCTGGGTCCTGAGTATGTCCCGCTCTCTTCTACAGCTTCACAGTGAGGTAGAGAAGCCCCTAATGAACTTCCGGGAGAACTTCAAGAAAGACATGAAGAAGTGCGACCACCACATCACTGACCTCCGTAAGCAGCTCGCCAGCCGCTACGCTGCAGTGGAGAAGGTGAGGGGCCCAGGACTCTGGGCCGGGGGGGGAGGTGGGGGCCTAATGCAGCAGGGTGGGCTGGGAACCAGCAGGGGCTCCGAATGACAGGGCCAAGGCATTTGTCCCCGCTGTGGCAGGGTGGGTGGTGGGGAACACAAACCTTGAGCCCAAGCCCGAGACCCCCCGACCACCCCAGGCCAAAGGGTGGGTACGAGCTGCTTCCTCGTGGTGCTCAGATCACTGCCCAGAGGGCCGATGGGAGCAGGAGAGGCTGCACCTACCCTGGGAGATACGGTGGGGCCCCACAGGGCATGTGAGACAAGCTACACCCTGCTTTTGTGGGATGTGGAGCGTGGACGTGCTCCTGGCCCACACCCTTTGGGCCTCATCTGACAAATTCCGTCTTGACTGAATCTTCCTCCCCAGAGGCCACAGTGTGCTGACCTCGGAGGTCTGACCCCGGTGGGAGCTGCTGATGGCCAGCCCTGGAGGGAAGAGAGCTCTCCCTGGGGCTGACTCCAGTGCTGTAGGGAGGGGTGTGGGACAAGGGGACACCCTAGACGCTGCCAGCTGCCATCACCAAAGGGCCTGTCCTGTACCAGAATCGGGTGGCTGGTGCTGCTTTCTGCTAGGGACTGCTGGGAGGTGATGTAGATGAGCTTTGTGGTCCCTTCCACCCCAGAGAGGCTGTGGTTTTAGGACTGTCTGGGTCCCCAGTACATGTGCATGCTCCAATGAAAGTGTGGTCTGAGAGGCTTGCTCTAGGCCGAGTCGGGATACCAATGAAAGACAGGCGTGAGAAGATGTGTTGCAGCCTCTGCACGGTCACTAACTGGCTGAGTGATGCTGGTCTAGCTGCTTGGCCTCTCAGAGCCACTGGGGCGTCACCCACAAAAGCAGAGAAAAGAAAAGACTCTTCCTAGAAAAGGGGAGGCCAGGCCAAATGACCCATGGGACCCTCCTGGCCCTGAGCCCTGTAAACAGCTTCTCCACGTCCTTGGACCCCAGGCCCGGAAAGCCCTCACAGAGCGGCAGAGAGACCTGGAGATGAAGACCCAGCAGCTGGAGATCAAGCTGAGCAACAAGACAGAGGAGGACATCAAGAAGGCACGGAGAAAGTCCACACAGGCTGGTGAGTGCGGGGCCATTGTCAGCTGCCTCTCACTGTCCTCACCTGGTCACGGAGGCATAGAGAGGAGAGGGCTGGGAGATGGGTACCCGGGAAGGTGCATCCAACGGGGTGAGGCTGGGAGGTAGGGGCTGTGGAGTGGGGAACAGGCCAGGCTGTTTCCAGGCCGTGGCCGGAGACTGGACTCGTTGCGCTCTCCCCAACAAGGGCTCTTCCTTGCCTATGCCCTGGCTCTCTGACCAGGAGGTGGACCAACTCCTCCATGCACCCAGGACTCGGGTCCCGTCCCTGCATGGAGCCCATAGGAGAAGCGCGGACGCCACCCACCCACTCGCGCTGCCCCCCCCTCCCCAGGGAGTGGCGTTCCAAAGGTTCACCCGTGGTGGTGGGCTGCTGCCCCGGCGTCAGAGGCCGACATTTTGTTTAATGAAATAACCGCATTTCAGGTTCTCGCTGAAAGAGTCCCCCGGTGAGCTGGTTTCTGCTTCCACCTAGTGGTAACAATTAACTAATGCACAAGGAAGGGGGACCAGTAAATGCTTATTAAATATCTTCAAAAAGCCCGAGTTTCACTGCATGCAAGGACAATGCATATTGCTTTCTGGGATTAAAATGTGTGCTGTAGGATTAGGTTTTGGATTAGATGATCTCTAGGTCCCTTTCAGCTCAATTTCTGGTGAACCTGGTATAATTAATTCATTATAGAATGAAGCAGCTACCTTGTGCACATTTTGAAATAAGGTGGTGTAAAAATGTAAAAAACAAAATAATGTAATATAAATGTAACATTTTATAGAAAATCTTATAATGCACAGTAATAAATTATTGGATCTGGAAATAGAAGGCATAATATACTTATTGGGAGTAGGAAGGAGAACCCAGGGAGGGGAGAGGCATATTTAAATTAGATTAATTTATTAAATTATTAAAAAATTAAAGATTTATTTATTTATTTATTTATTTTTCCCCAAAACCCCAGTAGATAGTTGTGTGTGATAGCTGCACATCCTTCTAGTTGCTGTATGTGGGACGCGGCCTCAGCATGGCCAGAGAAGCAGCGCGTCGGTGCGAGCCCGGGATCCGAACCCGGGTCGCCAGCAGTGGAATATAAATGTAACATTTTATAGAAAATCTTATAATGCACAGTAATAAATTATTGGATCTGGAAATAGAAGGCATAATATACTTATTGGGAGTAGGAAGGAGAACCCAGGGAGGGGAGAGGCATATTTAAATTAGATTAATTTATTAAATTATTAAAAAATAAAATTATATTGCAAAAACAGTATTGCTTCTTGGCAAATTTTTAATCAGTGCATGAGAATATAAAGTCTTATTCACCAGATATAATCACCGTCAACACTTCCTAGTGTTTTAATTTTTAAAACCGTTTTTTAATATCTCTAATTAAATTTATACACATTAGATCATATTATACTCTACGTTCTGAATTTGTATTCTAACTGCTACATCTTAGAGATCGCTCTGTTCCATCAACTATACTTTGATTTACCCATCCATTCATGGACATCAGAATTTTTAAGTGGTTGAATAGCGTCCCAGCCTATGATTGTATCCAAATTTACTTCATCATTCTCCTAATTGATTTTTGTAGGACTCTCAGATTATTTCAGAGTGTTTGCCAATGCCAGCGACGCTGTTATTGTAAATGTATCTCGTATGTGAGACTAAATCTGCATATAGAGAGAGATGTGGCCTGCTGGGTCAGAGGGTTAGATTCACTTGATGGTATTTCCAAATTGCTTCCAGAGAGTGTGCCCGCCCAAAGTGTCTATGAATGCCCCTATTCCCTAAACTCTTGTCAGTGCTGTGTGTTATCAAATTTTGACATTATAGCTGTCTAGGGAAAAATATTTTGTTGTTAATTTAATTTGCATTTCTTTTTGAGTGAAGTTGAGCATTTTAAAAATAGACTTGTAAGTCATCTGTGATGTTTTTTCTGTGAACTGATTAATTCTCCATTTTCTTGTCGAGTAGCTGGTCTTGTTCTTATTGATTGATTGACAGGGATTATTTATATGTTACGAAAATTAACCTTTTGTCATTTGAATTGCAAATATTTTTCCTAGGTTCTCATTTATCTTTTAATTATGTTCTTTGTGTTTTTCCTTTTATTTTTCTTTTGGCTTGTTTTCTTGTTATTTTTTCATTCAATGGTCTTTTCCCTTATGAGTTTAAGGCAGAACTTTCTAAGACTTAGAAAGACTTTCCCTTTTTCAAGATTCTTTTTTTTAATCACTTTTTTTCTTACTTTCTTTTGGCTTCAGGTATTTTTTAGATATTTGACCCACCAAACCTTTATTTTTTCTCACACCATTGCTTTAGCCATATTCCACAAGTTCTGATGTGCAGTGTTTTCATTTCTCCCATATTCTAGATATTTTGCTATTTGTGTTTTGATTTCATCTTTGAGCCAAATTTAAAAGGAAATCTTGAAGTTTTCACGAGCCAGGGTTCTGTTTCTGTTGTTTTCTAGTCTTGCTATTTGTTTCTGGTTTTGTTGTGTTGTCATTAGATAACACAGTCTCTCGTCCCTAGAGTTTGGAATTGTTTTGTGCTGACAGAGGCTAGTCCTCAGACCTAACTGTAAAAAGTACTACCTTTTTTGAGCCCTCTCTGTGTGCCAGACACCAGGCTGTGTGCCTTCTAGCATTCTCTCTTTAATCTCACAGTCCTGCCACAGGGAGGTATTCTTATACCCCTTTACGAATGAGGAAACTGATGACAAACAGGGCGAGGAACTTTCCCAAGCCCCGCAGTTATGGAGCGTGTGGCACAGAATTCCATCTTCGTCTTGTTCCAAAGACTCTGCTTGTCGCCATTTTGCTGGACGGCCTGTTACCCAGAAAATGCCAGCTCTTCCCTTCTCTGGTCCCTTTTCTTCTTCTCCCTCATCTTTTCCAAGGCTACTGGAAGAGTGGACATCTGGGTCCTCAGGGGGCTTGTCTTCATTTTGTCATCCTCATCATCGTCACGTAGCTCATGTTAATGTTGTGCTGACTCCGTGCCGGTGTCCATTCTAAGCGCTTCATATATATTGACTTATTTCATCTTTACCATGACTCTGTGAAGGTACCATTATTGTCCCCATTTTACAGATGAGGAAACTGAGGCACAGGCAGGTTAAGTGATTACATGGCTGGTAAACAATGGAGCTGGTATGACAGCCCAGATACTCTGGTTCCAGAATCCATGTCCTTAACCTCTACTGGATCCGATTTCAAACACTTGGGCTGCATAGAGAGAAGACACACTCTTCCCTCACCTAGCCTGATGTTCCCAAAGCATGTTCTCAAAATCATGATTGACAAATAGGGCTTTGGGAATTCTATATTGTATGTTTACAGGGTGACATGCTGACCCCATGCCTGGTCAGGACCAGGCTCTTGGTGGGAATGCGTTTGTGATGAGGTATCCACGTTCTTTCTTCCAGTTCAGTCCTTCTTGAAATCAAGGGCCTAGTCATTGGTCTTGGACCAAGAGCTAAATGCACAACGCCCTTGATTTGGGTTCTGTTTCTCAAGGCTCATCTCCCAGCCAGTGGAGGGGGATAACTGAGCTGGGCCCTGGGTCAGGGGGACGTAACTCTCCCCATTTTCTTTCACTTTCCTATCAGAAAACACGTGAGTAAGGTGATGTTGTCATAGGAATGACTTTGAATCTACTTGAATTGCTAGATTTAAAGATCACTTAGCATTGGTTAGCTCATGCGTCTTTCCCATCATGAGCAAAGACCGTGATGCTTTCCTCTCTGGAACCCTGATGATCAGGAAACTGTGTTTAGACCAAGCCGTGCCCTCGAGTGGGGCTTCTCCAACTGTGATGTGCACGTGGGTCACCTGAGGATCTTGTGAAAATGCTGTTTCTGATTCACTGGGTCTCGGGCATGTCCTGAGGTGTGTGTTTCTAGCAAGCTCCCAGGGCATACTGCTGCTGCTGGTGCAGCAACTGTGTTTTGTGTAAAAAGTTTCTTGGACCTTAGTAACGTTTGCAATTACTTTACAGTTTGTTTTCTTTCTAATTACAAAATACTTCAAACATACATAAGATTACAGAAAATAATATAGTGGCCATCAAGATTGAATAGTTATGTTTGTTTCAGATCTCTCTCTTACAAAACAAAATGCTATAGAAAGCTCATTCCCTCCCACCCATCCTTTCTCAGTTGCCCAAGGTCACCGCTATTCTGGAATTGGTGTGTAGTGCTCCAGTGCCTGTTTTCATACCATTACTGCACACGAATGAGCCGTAAACCATCAGACACATTATTTTGTATTTCAGAATGACATCCTGCTGCACATACGTGCACGCGTGCGCGCACACACACACGCACGGACGTGATTTGCAAACTTCTCTTCTTTAGTACCAAGTTGCTTGTGACACGGTTTCACCAAGCAGGACTCTCCAATGTGAAATGAAACTGCCATCTTTAGAGGGGGCAGCATTTCCTGGCCTTGTGATAGGGCTGGGGGTCCTAGGAGTAGCCCCCACCCCCCCACACACTTAATGAGAAACCCCCATCCTGAATTCTTGGTGTCCAGGGTCACTTTCAGATGGACAATCTAAAGCTGGTTTCTCATGGTGCTGGGTTGCCCCCTTCCTCTGCTCTGTCCCCCACCCACCACCACTTTCCCATGGCCTCCATGGCCCCAGGGAGAGGAGAGGGCATGGCTGTGGGACGCAGGTGGGAGAAGGCAGCCATGGCAAGGACAGGATGGAGCATGATGGTGGCGTTGGCCTTTTCCAGGAGATGACCTCATGCGCTGTGTGGACCTCTACAACCAGGCCCAGTCCAAGTGGTTTGAAGAGATGGTGACCACCACATTGGTGAGTGACCGGAGATGTGTAAGCATGTCCATACAGAGACTGGCACTCAGGAAGCCCTGGGTGGAAGCTGGCGGGAAGGAGGATGATTAGTGGAAGGGACCATAGAGATGGTCATTAGATCTGCTCCAGTGTTGGAGTCAAGACCTCAACTCTGGGCCAGTCTGTGTGGATTCAGATCCTTGCTCTGGCTCTTCCTAGCTGTGTGAGCATGGGCAAGGGTCAGGTCTTGCTATGTCCTCCTTGGCTGTCCCCTGAGGGGTCAGGGTCAACTGAGGATGCCCCAAACCAAGTAGACAGTGGGCCTTTCAGGGAAAATAACTAAGTTGTAGGAAGCATGACCCTCCCCACCCCCAGAAGAGTTGTGCGTCCTTAATAGGAGATCCACGCAAGGCGTATAAATGGGTGAGGCTGGGGGAGCTGGGGAATAGGCATCAGACCCTATTTTTTGCCTTCCTGAGTATTTGTTGTGAAGGGGCATCATCTCCTTATCTGTCAGCACCCAACTGAGTGGCACAGTGAAGGGGTTGGCACTTGGGCCGCTGGGCCAGATGAGAAAGAAGACATCATGCCAGAACTGTCCCCTGCCCAAAGCCACCCACGTCCGTCTGGCATAGGACTAACCGTCTGCCCTCCCCAGGCGTCAGCCCACCAGAGCAGATTAGAGGCCTCCCCAGGGGCAGTGACCTAGTTTTCCTCCTGGTTAATCTCCTAATTAAGCCCCCTGCTTTACCCCGCTCCCTGCTTAATCACCTAGGCAGTGACCTAGTTGTGCACAGAATGACAGCCCGATCCCCTAAATTCCAAAGATGCAGAACAACCTAGAAACCAAAGGAGAGACCCTTTCCTCTCTTCCTTTGACAGTGGCCACCCCACTCCCAGCACCCCTGCCTCCCCTGGCCTGGTCTCTGGTCCGTCCCTCAGCGCTAGGGGTGGACAGAGGAGACCAGGTTGCTCAGCAGAGGCCCAGGGACAAAGCCCCAGAAGCTTGAGGCCCAGAAGCTCCTGCACATGCCCCATTTCTCCACCCGGTCAAGGGACTGGGGCTGGGGCTGCACAGGTGCAGAGTCATGATTAAGAGCGTAACAGACCCTGGTTCAAATCCCGCTCCTCCCATAATTCCATGTTGCTTCAGGCAAGTGACATTACCTCTCTAGGTGTTAGTTCCCTTGTTCGGAAAATGCAGATAAGAACAGAACCTACCTCTAAAAATTACCATGTGGACAGTTAAGTAATGCATGTAAAGCTCTTAGCACCCACAGTGGCTGGCAAGACAGGATTCAGGAAATAGCAGCTGTGTCATCATCATCTTCATCTTCACCCCGAGATGTGGGGTGAGTTCAGACCCCAGAGGGTCAGATGGGATCGGGTATAAGCAGGCGGTGACTTGTGTTTGTGTATAGGGTCGTCTGGGACCTGTGTGGTGGAAAGGTCCCCAGGTTGAGGGGACATGCTCTGGTCCTTGCCTCCTCTGCAGGAGCTGGAACGGCTGGAGGTGGAGAGGGTGGAGATGATCCGGCAACACCTGTGCCAGTACACACAGCTGCGGCACGAGACGGACATGTTCAACCAAAGCGTGAGTTCCCGCCCTCGGGCTGAGGCCAGCAGGGCCCCTGGGGCACCCGGGACCAGGCGGAGCCAAGGTGCTGTGCTGTGGCAGGTTACGTGGTCACTACAAATGAGTCTGCCCTGAAGGCGGGCAGTGGGCAGGTGCTTGGGCCTGCGGGTGCCTCTTGGGATGGACTGGTAGATTATCCTGGATATCCATGCGAATTCATCCCAATACACACATGAAACAGATATGCACATGAGCCGTTACCCTGAGGGGGAGAGGCTCGTGACAGTTAAAATAGCTAAAGATGTTATTGCCTCCCCCGGTAAATTTCTTACCAAAAAAAAAAAAAAATTCTAGAAATATTCCAACTCTCTAAAGCTAAAGTTCCATTTGACCTGTTCTCAGTTGGTCAGTGTGGGGACAAATGGAGGAAGAGCTCACAGACCTCGAGCCTTTGAGGCCACCCTGCCCTTTTATACAGCCCTTCAGTCTGGAGGGGAAAGAGCACTGAGTGAGGAGCAGAATAGGGATGAGAGTTCCGGGCTCCCTGCTCTCACAGCCGTCTGTGCATCTGTCCCTCACCTGGGCCTCCGTGGGGCCCCACAACCCTCTAGAGAGGCTGCTCTGACAGGCACAGAGGCGCAAGTAGCCTGGCTCAGAGGAAGCATCCCCGGCTCGGCTGCCACCTCTGACGGTGTCCCTCTTCTCTGTCCCTTGCAGACAGTCGAGCCTGTGGACCAACTGCTTCGAAAAGTGGACCCAGCCAAAGACAGGGAGCTGTGGGTCAGAGAGCACAAGACGGGCAACATCCGCCCCGTGGACATGGAGATCTAGACGGGCACACGCGGCCCGGGGGTCCTGCTGAGGAGAGGGGCTGGGGGTCCCATGGAGATGTGGTGGCGGCTCCGGCTGTGGGGCCTGCTACCAAGTGGAGCCGCCCTCCCACCCGCTCTCCTGGTCCACAGAGGAAAGGGGAGAGTGTGGGTCACAGCTGGTGATTCTAGAAGGGCAGCCTGGACGGCCCCGCTGGGAGCTCTCCACTGTTCCCAGGCCAAGAAGACAGATCCATGGTCCTGCCCTGTCTCCGAGGCCGAAGCCCCCAACTCCCGTGCTGTGCTTGCCACTCCGAGAACAAACCGAGGCTAGAACTTGTGGTCCCTGCTGAGCACTGTAGGGGTTGCCTCCCCATCCAGAGCCAGCTGTGTCACACACTTGTGCCCCTGGAAGCCCTAAGGCCCTTCCTCCAGCTGGCCCCCTTGTCTCTAGGGCTTTGGATGGTCAGGGGAGGGAGGTCTCTGTCTCCAAGCCCAGTGTGAGGATCAGAATCGTGGATAGAAGGCACCATTCAGCTCAACAGCCTGCACCCAGAATCCTTTACAACCCTCTGTCTTTTATGTTCCCTGTTGCATTCTGGGAGCCCGCACCCTGGCTCTTCTCTGCCACTTTTCATCATCAGGAGTCTTAGGAAGAAGGCCTGGCTCCTGTCTTCCCAGACTGGCCCCGCCTGGAGAGGTCAGGATGGAACTACCTCATTCAGCAAATTAGCCCCGAGCCTGAGCGTTGAGTCGTGCTTCCTATGAGATCAGGCATCTTCTGTAAAGTCTCCTCTCTGGAAATACCCATCGACCCAACCCTCAGCCGCTTCCTCAGGGAAGCTCCCTCCTCCCACCCCCACCCCCTTTCCGGCTCTTAATGGGGCCCGTCAGTCCCACGTGGGAGATGGGTTGGGGCAAGTCTTTGTCATCCCGCAGATGGCTCCACCTGCTTGTGCAGGGCAGGGTTGAGACCGCTGTCCCTTGTCCGGCTTTCTCGCACTGGTGGGCACTATACAGGCATTGCAGACTCTTATGGTCACAGTAGGTTGTAGCCTTCCAGGGCAGTGTCCCGCCGCCTTGGCCTCTCAGCTCCTGCGTGTTCCAGAGCCCTGCACGGAGTCCGTGCTTGGTGCTGGTACCACCCTCCCCATCTCCCGATTCCTGGGAAAGCCTGGTCTGAGTGTGACTTGGGAAGCTTCAGCACTGCCATTGGGTCCTTGCTCACCACCTTCTCCCTTTATAGAACCACAGCAAACGTGTTCTCCACCATGTTGAGTCTTGAGAATCAGCTCGTGGGGATCAGAAGAAGAAATGGGACCTGAAGGAGTTCACACAGCTAGCAAGGGGCAGATTCTAGCCCGGAACCCACGCCCTGAGAACCCACCTTTCTTAGTTAATCTATCCCATTGATGACTTTGGGTTTACAGGACCTACAGTTCGCCCACAAGGGCAGAATTCTAACAGCACAACTCACTCCTCTTGCTCTCAGTCTTACATGCTGGTCACTGATGATTATTAATCTTGAATCTTTGGTCACCTCTTTTATTGAGTCAGAATTGCTCTCTCATAGTTTATAGAAGAAAGATGCCAAATATCCTAAAGCAAACCAAACTTTGTCATTTTTCTCTCCTTATTGAAACATCCCAACCAAAAAGGTCAATGTGAAGGCCTTCACCAACATGAAGGCCATCAGGATGGATCTGTCCCCGGCATTGAGAACCACTGTTTCTGGATCTGGGGTTGAGCCTTGACACCAGCTACCGATTTTAGGATATTATTTCTTGGTTTCTTTATTAAAAACAGGTGCTAGTAGTAATTGCTTTGTGGCTTAGTAAACTAATTTGTGGATGATTTTCAAATGTCCAAAGCCAATAGCCTTGTTATTGACACAGATATTTTGAGTGTAATATGGCTCATTGATTTTGTTTTCTCATTCCCATCTGAGGATTCCAGAGTCTTCTGTTTCTCCCTGGGACAGAGGAGGCTCTCTTGCCTCTTCCAGGGTAGCCCGAGTTGGGCCAGTCTATTTTCTGAAGTCATTCTTTCCCCCTCATCCCTTCACCTCAGTCTCATTAGCCTCTTCACATACTATTTTTTTTTTCTTCCCTCCTTTATTCATTCATCAAGCATTTAGCTAAGACTGAGTAATATGCTAAGATCTGGGGATAAGATATGGCCCTGTCCTCAGGGAAGCCCATGATCTCTTATTCTGTATAGACATCTCTCTCCTCCAGGGGTCTTGAAGGGCAATAACCTTGGCATTCACATACAGGTACTCTGCAGAATTTAGGTTTTCAGAGATTCTCTCTGTTGTGCTGGTAGATCTGCATTCATTCATTCACTCATTCATTCGTTTATTCCACAGATACTTGGGACAAGCCAGGCATTGTGTGGGGTACTGGAAATGTAGCTACATACAAGACAGGCACTCCCCCATCCCCTCTATTTTCCACGTAGACAAAAGGATGTTTAGACCTTTCTGGAGAATGAGAACATTGTACCCCTCTGGGAGCCTGTAATTATAATACAAACTGTAGCCATGCGGCATTTGCCCACTGGATGGAAGGTAGACAGCAACAAGAGTTTAATTACCTGGTCACCAGGCCCTCACAGCCCACACCCAACTCGAATTTCAGAGATTTCTTTTGTTTGTTTTCAATAACTCTGCTTGCTTTACAAAGAGGAAGAATGAAGCCCAAGGATGGCCAGTGGGTGCCGTGAAACGAACACGGAGAATTGAGAGCTGGAGGCAAGAGTCTAGGCCCCCTGTCCCTGTTCACAGGGCTCCCCTTGTGGGTGAATCAAGATTAGGACAAAGTCTAGAATATCTAAAAGTGCACTTTGGAGAAGCGCTCTATCTGGGTTGTTGTTTTGTTTATGTTTTGGTGTTTAGGTTATAAGAGGATTTGCCTGGGTTCAGAGTGAGTGAATTTAGGTTATTCTTGAGCACATCCATCATTCCATTTCTGAGAACAGATGAGCCCCTTCTACTTCCCTCCACCTGGGAGATACGGATACACTTAGTTTTGCCTGTGAAAACCTGATTTTTTAACAAATATCTCTGAGACGAGTGGTGTTCAAAGTGAGTTGGTTGCCCTGATAACCTCCAGGAAAAGCCACTGATTCCTCTCCATTTTTCTGTTGCTTTTGATCAGTGTTGCAGAGCTCTGGCCGACTGAACCACAGGCACCACAGTGGGCCTCCCTTCTACCTCCACCCAACGCCACTGGCGGGGAGGATTCGGGCAGTAGGAGGTGCTTCTTGGCCCTTCGGGGCTGATTAGTGACTGAAGCAGACAGAAACAGTGTCCACATTCGTGAACCAGGGGTTTGTTTCTATTCCCTTTGTGAAAACCAATCAATTACTAGGTTCATGGATCGGTGCATAAAAATCTTGGCTGAGCCAAAGTCCCTTCTTGGAAATACAAGCCATAAAATTCAAGGGTGTCAAAGACCTTGGCTTGTTTAAGCGATTTTACTTCCAGTGGTGAGTGGTTTTGATAAGGAGAGTTTAAACAGGATTCTCCAGACCTGCTGGCTATTATGTAGGTAGGGAACACACTTCACGAATGTTAAGTGGGGTGCAGATCAGCAGCATGCTTGTTTCGCCAGCACACCATCTTATTCCCATAATCCTTCCCACCCCTACAAGACCTGCTGCCCTTTGTTTCTCCAGGTTTACTGAGGTATTTGACATACAGTATTGGGGTTTATTGACATACAGTAAAATTCACCCTTTTGAAGTATATGGTTTGGTAAATTTTGACAAGCTTTTACGGTCTTGTAACCACCACCAAAATCAACATAATATTTCCATCACTCCAAAAAATTCCCTCAGGCTCATTTGTGGTCAATCCACCTCTCCCACCCCCCAGCCCCTGGCAACCGCTGATCGATTTTCTGGCCCTATAGGTTTCCTTTCTCTAGAATGTTGTATACACGGAGTTGCGCTGATGTAGCCTTTGAGTCTGGCTTCTTTCCCTCGCTTAATGCTTTTGCATCGCCCACGTTGTTGTACGTGTCAGTAGTCTATTCCTGTGCATCGCCGAGTGGTGGTCCGTTGCATGGGTCTACCATTGCTTCCTTGCTTTTAAAATGAGTTGTTTGCCCTGGAAGTTCCTGGCCCGGGGTCTTCAGCTTTTTGCACATCTGCTGCCAGCCTGCTGCTTCCTACAGCTTCCAAGGCTCCTTCTCCAAATGCCAGCTGTGCCCACAAGTGGTTCTTGGGGCTCACACTTGCCTTTTTGGTTCATTTTAGGTTTTGACAATGCAGAAAGCTGCCAGGGATTGGGGGGAAGGGGCGGGCGGGGTCTCACTTGCCTTCCACTTCTGCTGAACCCTGAAGCTTGCCTCTCAGAGAGCAGATCCACTCCCTCCTGGGGACCCTCACTTCAACTCGCACTCATTGACGTTTGTTGAGCATTAGGGGGTGTGGAAGGTGAATGGACGTAGCGTGGATGAGAAGGCAGGGGGCTGGCCTTGGGCTCATCACGACCCTTTTGTGGATCTCTGTTGCTTCATCTGTGAACTGAAGGTATTTGTTCTAGGTGGTCTCTCAGCCCTCCTCCAGCTACTGCATTCTGTCTCCTCCTCATTTCCAATTTTGTACCCTACGCACATGGTCGTGCCTAATCTGGATCCCGTCAGCACAGCCCATCAGTTGTGCATGGTGTTGCCTGAAATCCTCATGACAGGGATGCTCTGGCACTGCTCTGTTAGAGGCAAATGGAACTAAAATTAAGAGTTTCATGTGTTGTTGAGAATGAGGTAGTTCCTCCTACGACCCCTAAAGAAAGCGGAAGTCCTTACCTTTTGGGTCTCGCCCACTGATCTTTGAGAGCATGTCCTGAAGTCTACTTCCAACGAGCCAGGACAGGGGTTCCGACCTCCCGTCGGGTTCTTGTCGTTGCTGGAGGCTTGCTCAGCTGACAGTCATGCTGCACCTGGCCTGTGCCTACACCCCACTGGGTGGTGGCAGATGGTGGCAGAGATAGGACCAAACCCAGCTCATGCCGGGCAGGCTATGGGTGTGAGCCCCAAGGTAACCACTCCATCAAGCCATGTCTTGATCATGCCATGATCAGTGAAAAGTGAGCCCTGGAAGGCAACTGGGCACCTCTCCAAGCAAACTGAAGACGTTCTTGTATGCTGATGAAGATCAGGGCTGGGGAGGCCAAGCCCACAGGGTCTCATGCTGCCAGAATGCTTCTAGGTTGAATTTTGCCAGAGAGGACTTGCAACATTTCCCCCCTCAGGAGCATTATTTCTGTAGGGCCTTTCCTGTTGCCGCAGGTTTGGTGAGAATAAGACAGAGAGATGACAAAAACCAATGTTCCATTTTCCCTAACCCTCTAGATGCTGGGGTGTGGCTCTTTTAGGAGCCTTTCTCAGGAGGTGCCTCTGAGGGAGAGGGGTTGTGATGACCTTTGGCCCGTCTCTGTGCACTGCTTGGGGGGCATTGACCCTTTGTGTTTGAGGGAAATTCCTAATGGGATTGCAGCGGTGGAACGCAAGGGGTCCCGGCACATGTGCGCTCTGATGGGGATGGTGTGACATGGGGACGGAGAGGGAAAGCAGATGGTACCTGGCCTGCTCTGCTGTCTCATTTATCCCGTAACCTTAAGTCACGTCCCCTCTTGGGACCCCTGTGTACTCCTCTGTCGAGTGGAGGTGCACCCCCTCCAGCGTCACACGCAGCAGACTGGCTCTCAGGAGCTGCAGCCTCTAGGCAGTCATGTGGACCCAGGGACAGACATTCAAAGGGACACCAGCCATCCTTGGTGACAGGGGCCCCACGTTTGCATCTCTGCCCTTCCCTTAGGAAGGAGATGTTGGGGGGTAGCCCTTTCACAGATACGAGCACATCAGCAAACCCTATGAAAGTGGAATTTTCTAACAAAATAAACTTGCTTGTTTGGTCTGTTTTCTGTAACTTTTGCTAAATACTTTATACATTTTTAATGTTAAAAAGCTGTGTCTCTTGCCAGCATTCCTCATCCCGGTATGAATGTGTTTACTCCACATTGTATATCCTCCCATCCTCTGGCTGCCTAGATCAGTAAATAAAATTGATGTACTATAATTTATAAGTAACACTGTTGAAACTCTGATCCCTATGGAGGCTGTAATCTGCCCTTCCCACCCGCCCCTGTAATAGCATTTGTGTGTATTAATGCTGAAGAATTAAATGTTTAAAGGGTTTAAATTTTGAAGGCGTTTGCTATATATAATTGTTCTGCATTATTATAAAGCGTTTTCGGGAAGTTAAATGCGCTCTCATTTTTTTCTTGGGCTCTGTGTTTGCACTTGAGATGCTTAGATTCATCCCATGTAGGATAAACCGTCCAGAGACACTGGGTCCCACTGGGCGACCCTCCTTCCTGGAGGGCTGCCACACTCTCCTTTGTATGTGTGCTCTCAGTGCTCCTCCCTGGCTCCCAGGCTTGGTGATAATTTTACTCCTGATGACTTAGCAGGGGGACAAAGGGCACCTGGGCAATGACCCCCAGGTGGGTACCATGCTGCAAGACCCACATACCTGGCCCGGCCTCAGTCCCCTCCCCTGGTGACTTCTGTCCCTGTGAACAGAAGGGGCTCCTGACAATTGTCTCTTTTCTCATCCATCCATTCATTAGTTCATGCAATAATTATTGAGCACCTGCTGTATGCCAGACACTGCTCTAGTTACTGGGAACACATCAGTGGATGAAACAAAGAGCCTTGCCCTAAAGGAGCTTCCTTTCTAGCAGGGAGGGACAGACAAACAACAGACATAGTAAGGAAATTATAGAGCACGGATGTGGAAGGTGTTGAGTGTTATGGAGAAAGATAAACAGGGCGGGGTGAGAGGGATTGGTGGTTCCAGGGGTGAGCGTGGGGAAGTTGCCATGTTAAATAGTGTAGTTGGGGTGGCCTTATTGAGAAGGTGGCATTTGGTCAAAGACTAGGAGACCTGGGAGGGTGCCCGGAAGGTAGCTGGGGGAGGAGTGTTCCAGGCCCAGTTAAAGGCTGAGGGTCACCTACTTGTTTGAGGCCAGTGTGGCTGAGCAGAGGGATGGAGGGGAGGGAGCAGCTTCTGCAGGGCTTTGCTGGCCATTGAAGGCCTTTGACGTTTATTCTGGGGGGGTCCAAGCTGAGGAGCACACGGCGTGACTTGATTGCTGTAGGGCTCGCTGTCCGACTCTAGGGGACAAGGACAGAAGCAGAGAGACACAGAAGTTGGACCACAGGGAGAGGTGATGGTCCTGCAGGAGGCAGTCACGGTGGAAGTGGGGAGAACAGTCAGGTCTGGATGGACTGAAGGCAGAGTCAACACGGTTTCTTGACAGATTGGAGTGGGGTATGACAGAAAGAGAGGCGCTGAGGGTGACTCAAGGATTTCCGTCCAAGCAACCAAAAGGATGGATTGCCGTTTACTGTGATGGGACAGCTGTGGGAGGAGCGTTCTTTCCCATTCTCTGCCTCCCACCCACCCTCTCCCTACCTGCTTTTCCCTCTCAGCACAGACTTGGGTGCAGGCTCTGGTTCCAGGCCTGGGGAGGAGGGTCCTCTGGTCCCTCATCTCATAGCAGTGGAAGGTAGAGGAGTGGGGTGAAGGCTGGGGTGTTGGGCCCCAGCTGATAGCCAAGGCAGAGCTCCTGGGTCAGCCTCTGGGAAGAGCCTGCTTCTTTCAGACAAGGCAAGGCCGGGAGAGGGAGACACAAACAGATTCTCTGACCGGAGACGAGGCCTTCTCCCCAGCAGGCTTTGGGGTTTGGGGAGAGTTTACGGTCCCAGCTCAGACTTAACAAATCCATTCACGATACATCATCTCCAACAACTTGTTTGACTAAGGAGTATAAACTCTCCCTCTGATAGAAGATGTTTATGCAGGTTTTCAAACAAACCTCCAGGTCATGACCCCTCTCTCAGCAGCATCAACACAGCTGCCTGTGGTCCCCGCCCGCGGTTGGGCCCCTCCCGGGCACAGCAACCTGAAGAATGTGGACAGTGCCAGGCTGCTTCCAACCCGGTTCCAGTGCCTTCCTCCTTGCTCTTGGAAAGGGCAGAAGAGATTGCGGGGCTCTGGCTTCTGTGTTAACCCAGGGCCCTGTCCCCCTGCCGATGGCCTCTTCCATTGTCATGGCAACCCCAGCTCCTCGCCTACTGACATGGAGCTGCTTGACCCCCAGCTCAGGTCTCCTTGAGAAAGGAGGCAGCTGTAATGCAGTGCGAAGAACCCTGAACGGGGCGCCTGGCAGGCCTGGGCTTGCGTCCTGGCTTTGCCATTTAGTAACTGTGTGACCCAGGCAGGCGACATGCCTTTTGGAATTCCTTTTCTTCTCTGTAGCATCAACCTCACCTTATCTGCAGGCTTGGTGTGCACAGGCCTGGCACCTGGGAGGCACTTCTCATTGCCCCCCACACCTGGTTCGGAGGCAAGTGTTCTGGCCTCACTTTCATGGCCTGGGTTTTGTTTTGTTTTTTTTGAGTTCGGTGACTGTCCTATTTCTATCTCCTCTTGAGAACAAATGCCTGCTACAGGATAGTGAAAGTCTAGAAAAAGAGAAAGGGCTCCTGTTAAGAAATAAGATGTTGTCACAAACTGATGGGAAAAAATACTAAGTACACACACACATACACACGCACATACCTATCATTAAGGCTTCCTGAGACATACTCTGGAACCTCAGGGGGTGGGGTGGGCGGGAGGGAGAGGTGGGTCAGCACATCAGTGCCTGAACTCCTCAGTCCCGCCTAAGCAAGATCAGGGTGGGCCTGGCAGGTGGCTTTCTCTCAGCAGTGGGAACCTACTGTCCCCTGCCATGATCCTGTTATGAAATAGGGTACAAACCCCAAGTCATCTGCCTAGAGATTGTGGGATTTATTCTTTGTGGTTACCACCCCCGGGCAAAGAGGAGACATCTCTCCCATGCAACTGGAAATACTGGGGTTCCACGTGCATTCTCCTCCAGCACTATGCTCAGCCAAGCCAGGGCACCACCGACCTTTCCTTTGGGAGATGAGAATTTAGGTACAAAACATACTTACTAGGGTTTCTTCTTGTGTCCTGTACTTGTTCCTGAGCTGACGGCAGGAATGTGAAGGCTTCCCTTGCAGAGCTCCCTGTGGCCTATGTATCCATTCGCCACTCAACAAGCGTGTATTATTGTCTGCTAGCTCCAGGCACCAGGCTTGGTTGCAAACTAACAACCCACAGGCTGAAACTGAGCCACAGATATGTTATATTTGGCCCACACTATGTTTTTGAAAATTTTGAATCAACTTTCAAAGTTGAAAAGTTTGGAAATTGTATCTGAAAATCTGATTTCTGGATTTCTCTTGGATAATTGAAAAATCTAATAACACTGGGCTGTAATCCTATATGACCACTTCAAATGGCAGCCCCTTCCTTGTAGGACACAGGCCTCACCACTCCCTATTGCCTCCCTGATCCGCCTGCTTCACTCACTGCCCTCGCTGGCCCCTGTAGACAGCTTAGTTTTTGATCCCTATTGTAGATGAATAATAACAAAAGCTAACATCTAGCACTGACTATGTGCCAGGCTCTATTCTAAGTGCATTGCACATATTAACTCATCTAAGCCTCACAATAACAATAAGCTAGACGCTATTACTATGCCCGTTCACTTAAGGTATATTCACTGAGGGCCCAAAGCTGCCAGGCAGCATTCTGGCAGTGGAGATGCAGCGAGGAACAAAGATAGCATCCTGCCTTCATGGAGCTTTCGTTCTGGTGAGGGCACAGACAGCACTCGGAATGAACAAACAGTGAGTCAGAAGATGCATGTTCGAGGGAGAAAAATAAAACAGGATAGACAATTTGGGGCATCCTGATGATCAGGGTGGAGTGTGCTATTGTAAATAGAGTGGGGAGGCAGGCCTTCCTGAGAAGGTGACGGTTAAGGAAAGCCGTGAAGGAGTGAAGGATTCGGAGAAGAGCATTCCAGGCAGAGAGAGGTTAAGGAGCTGCCTGGCATCACACAGCTAGTAAATTGCAAAGCTGGGATTTGAAGCCGACTGGCTCCGGAGCCTGGCTCCTAACCACTGCATTATAGGGCTCAGTAAAAGACGCCATCCCTGCCCCTGAGACCCTCAGAGTTAAGGCGAAACCCAGACCGTGGACTCTGAGGGTCCACTTACTCCACTCTTTGAGTCTCTTAGTTGCTCATAGAGAGGTAGCATTGGGGGTGGAGGAGGGGTGGACGAGGGACAGTGGGGAAGGCCTTGGCCCAAGGCTCCCGCTCTGAAGGTTCTGACCTCCTGTCTTGTCCTCCCAGAAGGCCACGATGGATTGACTGCCTGCTGTCAGCTCTTTATTTTAATCTCAGAGGGGTTCTGGGAGCTTGCCCCACCCCCAGCTCCTGACTCCTCCTCCCTCCAAGTACTGGGGTGAACCGGTGGCAAATCCCACTAATCTGCCAGCATCTCAGCATCCGTCTCCAGCAGCACCCAGCCCCTGCTGCCAGGAGACCACGTCGCTCCCGCTCACCCACCCAGCGGCGACTGCCCGGCTGGGCCCACGCTGCCACACCCATGGGGAACAGCAAAAGCGGGGCCCTGTCCAAGGAGATCCTGGAGGAGCTGCAGCTGAACACCAAGTTCACGGAGGAGGAGCTGTGTGCCTGGTACCAGTCCTTCCTGAAGGAGTGCCCCAGCGGCCTCATCACCAAGCAGGAGTTCCAGAGCATCTACTCCAAGTTCTTCCCCGAGGCCGACCCCAAGGCCTACGCCCAGCACGTGTTCCGCAGCTTCGACGCCAACAGCGATGGCACCCTGGACTTCAAGGAGTACGTCATCGCCCTGCACATGACCACCTCGGGCAAGACCAACCAGAAGCTGGAGTGGGCCTTCTCCCTCTACGATGTGGACGGCAACGGCACCATCAGCAAGAACGAAGTGCTAGAGATCGTCACGGTCAGTCTCAGCCCGCCCCCTTCTGGCTGCACAGGACTGGGGTCACCCAGGGTCAGGGCCGCTGCTGCTGCACGGGAGGCGGCAGCTGGTGGGGGGAGGGCTGGAGGGTGGAGTGGGGATCCAGGCTTTGAGACTCAGTGGCTCTGAGAGCAAGGTGAGGAGGGGTCTCTAATACACTGATATTAACAGAGGGCTGCACACGTTCCCATTGTTTCATTTTCCTCCTCAAGAAGAATCTGGGTATTTCCTACTATTGACACTTTTTATTTCCTTCTCTTCTTTCTTCCTTCACTCCCTCCTTCCTTCCTCCTCTCCCTCCTTTGTTCCTTCCCTCTTTTCTTCCTTCCCACCTTCCTTCCTTCTTCTCTTCATTAAAATGTCCTTCAAAACCTTCAACACTACACATTCAGATTCTTTCACAATTAATTTGTAACACACAACACGTTTCAAATATCCAGTGGAAAGAGGCCAAAGTCGGGGGGCCTGAAATCTGTGTTCTAGTCCTGACCGCCTTCATAACGTGGAGCAGGTCACCTCGCCCTGTGGCCCTGAGCTTTCTCATCCGTCACGTGTTCTAGAAGGAACCACTGGACCCTCAGGCTCCTTGCAGGCCAGTGCTGCCCAGCATGCATTCTCCTCTCTGTCCATACTGGCCCGGTGTCAGAGCATTTATTGTGATGATTTTAGGCGTCTTGAAAATAGTTTTATTTAACATATAAGCAATTCATGAAATTTAGAAATGTGCAAAAGAATTAGAATTGACTTTCAGTCCATCATGCAGAGAAGACTGTTGTCAATATATTGGTATAATCCTTTCCAGTCTTTTATCTGTATATTTTTAAATAATTTTAGAACCATGATATATTCATACATGATTTTTTTTTTTTTTTGAGGAAGATTAGCCCTGAGCTAACATCTATTGCAATCCTCTTTTTGCTGAGGAAGACTGGCCCTGGGCTAACATCCCTGCCCATCTTCCTCTACTTTATATGGGATGCTTGGCTTGACAAGCATGGCTTGACAAGTGGTGCCTCAGTGTGCGCCCAGGATCCGAACCTGCAATCCCCAGGCCACCACAGTGGAGCACATGCACTTAACCACTACGCCACTTGGCCAGCCCCCCTCATACATGATTTTTATCATACTTTTTTCAGTAACTATTTTATTATGGATGTTTTCCATATCAATAGATATTCCTCAAAACCATTTTTTTTTTTTTGGTGAGGAAGATTGGCCATGTGCTAACATCTGTTGCCAATCTTCCTCTTTTTACTTGAGGAAGACTGTCACTGAGCCAACATCTGTGCCAATCTTCCTCCAATTTGTATGTGGGATGCCGCCACAGCGTGGCTTGACGAATGGTGTGTAGGTCTGTGCCTGGGATCCAAACCTGTGAACCCCAGGCCGCCGAAGCGGAGCACATGAACTTAACCACTATGCCACTGGGCCCACCCCCGAAAACCATTTTTAATAGCTGCTGAGAATTCCTTCTCATGGAAATGCCATAAAATTATTGCCCTATATTCTCGTATTTTTAGACAGTTAGGATGTTTCTGTTTTTTCCTATTATATCATTTGTATTTCCCTTCATTTAGCATCTTCTTACTCGATCTTTTTTTATCCCCCTAATGCATGCCACTTGCTTTATTTCTCTAATTCCATTCCTGTTAAGAGGGAGAAAACTTTTCATATTTTATATAATTTTTGATGCATTTGTAATCCTGCTTTCATTTGCACTATTCTTCTATCCTTATTAGGAGAAGCCATAGATCAGGTAGCCAAGCATGCAGCTTGTGGTCGGTGGACTCTGCTTGGGCCTCCTGTTAAGGGCGGGTGTGTTTGGGAACCTCATTGGCATCCGGGCGTGGCCATCCAGCAGAACAAGCTCCCCTGGATTGGCAGGTGGCCTGGGACGGGGACCATGTCCTCTGAACCACCTAAAGGATGCCAGCCCAGAGGAGACCTACAAGTTGGTGTTCCTTGAGGAAAAGGAGGAGGAAGAGAAAGGGAAGGAAGGAAGGGAGAGAGAGGGAGGGGAGGGAAAGGAGAAAGAGAGAGAGAGAGGGGAGCATCCATGGCTGAGGCTGTGCAAGTTGGTGCCAAGGTTCTCCTGTTCACCAGATCACAAGGTCATGGCCTGGGGGTCAGAAGTTATGGGTTCTAGTCCCAGCTACACCACCAACTAGCTGCATGGCCTTGGGAAAACCATGTAACCTCCCAGGGCCCAGGGTGAGGATTTGATGGTTCTTGCTCGGTTCTTTCACCGAGGCCCCGCCAGTCTGTCGTTGGGGGTAGAAGCGGCTGGGGCAGGCAGCCAGCCTTTAGCCGTGGGACCTGCGTGTCGTTCCCACGGCTCAGGACAGAGAGAGGAGCTAAGGGAGCCACTTACACTTCAGTTGCTGGCCACCTCCCGGCTCTGAGCACCACCAGCAGAGGCTGCGGCCCTGAGCTGCTGGGTTTGATTTCCTTGCTCCTCTTCTTGTAGTGTGAGGGGCTGAAAGAGAACTTCTCCCAGCGTTGACCTTCCCTCCAGGCTAATTTCACAGGCCTTACTGCTCCGGCCTGGCTGTGCTCCCAGGTATCTCCAAGGTGCCTCCCAACTTCCACCCAGCACTCCTGCCTGCACCCGGAGCCTGCCCCAACGCTGAGGGCGCAGGCTGGGACAGGCCCGGGAGCCACGAGCTGGAGTGTCCACACTGGGCCTGGAGCCCTGGAGTTACTGAGCTGGTGGAATCCGGTAACCTGGGGCTGGAAGGGCACATGGAGACCTTGTCCCTGTCCCTGATCACGGGTCTGGAGGCACTCCTGGCTTTGCCCTACATCGCCATCCGGCTGCTTTATTAGTGAGAGTAGAGGGAGGTGATGAGGATCCTTGAGCATAAAGCTAACCCTTTCTCTGGACCCCTCTCTGAGTGGAGGGTAAATGAAGGGCTTTCTGTTTTCCAAAGGGAGACCTCTGGAAAGTTCTTATTGTCACCTCCCCTCTCCCTTCCCCAGTCCCTGGAACGCTCTCCAAGGCATTCCAGGAATAAGGAAGTGAGTGATGTAATGCAAGTATGGAGGTTCTAGAACCCAACTACATGGGTTAGAATCTCCACTCTTCTAGCTTCTAGCTGGGTGACTTTTAGCAAGTTAGTTGTCTCAGTTTCTTCATATATAAACTGGGGCCATTAGTGCCCACCTGATAAGGTTGTTGTAAAGATTACACGTAAAAATGTTTAGATAAGTGGCACCTGTTAAGTACTCGACAAACGTTAGCCGTCATTACCGTAAGCCAACTCAGCCTGGCAACCACAGTACCCCATGGGCCCACAAGAAGCCATTTCATATTCTAGAACCTCTGGGAAGTGGGGTTCCAGGTAGCAGTTCTCAAACTGCAAGCTCGGGCCTGCTGTGGGATTATTATCAGGAAGCTTTTTATTTATTTTCATGTTTTTGTAAAATGAAAGTAGTATGTCTACTTGGTCAGGAAATTCGAACAGTACAGAAAGGGACAAAATAAGAAGTGAAAGCCTTCCTCACCCCTCCCCCACATTCCCTGTCCCACTCGAGGATCTCAAAAATACAGATGCCTTGGCCCCACTCTCAGGAACTTTTATTCAGTTGGGCAGGCTGAGACCTGGGCATCTGCATTTTGACATCTGCCAAAGAGGGTGCCTGGTCAGCCATGTGGTTTCCCCAGGGTTTCCAACCCCTACCGCTCCTTCTGACCAGTTCTTCCTCTTGATTTGGTGTAGGCCATTTTCAAAATGATCAATCCTGAAGACGTGAAGCACCTTCCAGAAGATGAAAACACCCCGGAGAAGCGAGCTGAGAAGATCTGGGGGTTCTTTGGAAAGAAAGATGATGGTGAATTCCTTCTCCTTCATAGCCTTTGATTTTACAGTCACCAGCTGTTTCCTGGAGGTTTATCCTGAGTCCAGTGCCCAGGCAGGACAGGGGACACCTCATCCCATAATGCACTGCAGGGCTGTCTGACGGCCTCTGCAGGGAACGAGGAGGAGGGTCAGCAGGGCCCATTTCTGCTGCCACTCTGGAGCTGACGCTGCGGTGGGAAATGGCGCCACATCCCCACGGCTTATAAAACTCCATCACTGCCCGAGATTCTCTAGGGGAGGAGTGCTCTATATTACGCAGTGCTTCTGAAGAAAAGCATCTTTGTTATAACAGAGTCAGCCCACAGTGAAGGAAGGAATAGTAAAAACCACAGGCAACAGCTCTTTAGCAGTTTGTTTGCAAATGGCAAGTTTAGAGGAATTGAAAACAGCTTTCTCTTTAAATGGAGTGCCCATTTTTTAGACACATTGGTTTACTTTACTTGTTTTTTTTTTTTTTTTTTTTGTGAGGAAGGTCAGCCCTGAGCTAACATCCATACCAATCCTCCTCTTTTTTGCTGAGGAAGACTGGCCCTGAGCTAACATCCATGCCCATCTTTCTCCACTTTTTTTTTTTTTTTTTTTTATGTGGAACGCCGCCACAGCATGGCCTGACAAGCGGTGCCTCAGTGTGCGCTCGGGATCCGAACCCGGGCCGCCAGCAGCGGAGCGCGCACGCTTAACCACTATGCCAGGGGCCGGCCCTACTTTACTTGTTTTTAAAAATGTTTTCTGCACGGTTAGGACAGGGCCAACTTCAGCTCAGGCTACGTCTGAGTTAGCATCATGTCCCAAGTAAGTGGGATATCAATTTACATGGTTTTACTTAGGAAGTTAATTTGGGTCCCTGAGAAGCACCCCCAGATGGGATTAGATTTAAATCAGATTGCAAGAGATTTACTGGGGGAAAGACCTGCGAGGGAAAATGGGGAGGGAACTAGAGGAGGCTGGGAAAGGCATCAGACTGCAAAGCAGATCGGACCCCTGTGGGCAGAGAGGCAAAGAAGGAAGGTTGGGTAAGAAAAGTCTTAGGCTGCAGTACCATTCTAAGAAAGTTTTGGCAAAGCCAATGGGGCGTCTTCGAGCCCCCTTCTTCCAGGAGCTGGCCTGTCTTGGTACCCTGCCCTGCTCAGCCTTTGGCTGGGAGCAGCCGTGGGGAGTGTGGTCCTGCATTGAAAGAGTGACAGAGTCCAGACCTGGGCCGCTGGGGCTGCTGTGCGTGAGGCTCACGGCCACCTCGGGGAGGATGCGGTAGAGGAGCTGGTGTCAGGGGGGCTGCAGACTCACATGGCCAAGGTGGCGGATGATGAGAGTGAGAGAGGTGGACAGTAGCCCTACTAAGTGAGAGGGACTGGTAAATAGTGGAGAGTGGATGTCTGGTCTGATGGCCTGCAGTTGATTGTCGCCATGTGTGAATACGGAGCCCTCTGAGCCTCAGCATCTGATTTTTGTGTGTGAGGAAGATTAGCCCTGAGCTAATATCCATGCCCATCTTCCTCTATTTTGTATATGGGATGCCGCCACAGCCTGGCTTGATGAGCCATGCGTAGGTCCACACCCAGGATCTGAACCTGTGAACCCCGGGCTGCCAAAGCGGAGTGCGTGAACTTAACCACTATGCCACCAGGCTGGCCCCCTCATCATCTGATTTTTAAGAGAAGCCAGCAATTGAGATTTTTAAAATCTGGAGTGTCTTGATTGATGAAACATTACATGGCCCAAACACATCAGAGGGGCCAGTATCGGCCCCTTTTGTGATCTCTGGGGCAGTCTCTCACCGGGGTCCCAGGGGACAGGCCTGAGCAGGATGTTAAATAAGGGCAGGTAGAGATGACCCTGGCTCCACTGATCTGCAGCCCAGGAAGAAGTCAGAGAAGTGCGAAGGTCATTGGCACTAGGGCCAGAACTAGGGTGAGGCAAGTGAGGTGCCAGGGCACAAAATTTAAGGAGGCCCTCATTCTCAGGTGCCAACCCTGGGCTCGCACCACCCTGAAAGTGAGCGCCTCCTTAAATTTTGCAGGGTGGCCTGTCACTTGCCTTACCCTAGTCCAGCCCTGATGTCACCTCCCCTTTGAGCACCTTCTCCTCCTTGTTTGCATGGGTCCTGGCTCTTAAATGCCTCCCCGTGGCACCTCAGCCCGGTGGCTCTTTAACCCCCTTCATGACATCCCTCTGGGTCTGCCACATGCTGAGTCCCCATTCAGCTACTTGCTACCCTGAAAACTGACCCAGGTGAACGTCACAGGAGGCGGCGTTGTCAGAGGGCTGACGTGTGACTCCTGCCAGGTGACGTGTGTGTGTTCACATGGGCCCACCTGGAGACAATGCCTCCCTCCAGAATTGGGCTCTGGGGGCGGAGCTTCAAGCTCTGCGTGAGGCTTGTAAGGCAGCTGGGACTTTAAAACCCAAATGTCACCACCCAGACCCACTCAGGGAACCAAGCTGGATCCTAACCCAGGAGGGACTGAGGATGCCCGAAAGGCCCAGAACATAAGCCAACGGAACCCAGTTCCGTTCAGCCAAGCTTTGCTGAGCACCTACTGCGTGCAGGGACTATGAGCAGAACCACGAGCAGAAAGGAGCCCCCGTCTCATTCTAGAGTCATTTCTACATGGGACCCTCTTCTCGGTCAGACCAAGAGTTTCCTGGGGCCTGGGACTTACCTCACTCCCTTCTATGCCACATCCTGCCCTCTGCCCCCTGCAGTGACCTTACCCCATGCGCGGTGGCTCTGGCACAGAGGAAGGGCTCTGTGAGGTGCACTTAACTGAATGGAACAGAATATAATAGCTGGGGGCAAGACTGTCTCTCGGTCCCAAGTGAGGAGGTAGATCGGGGATGCAGAACCGCACAGGAAAGAGTAACGCAGGAGCTGTCGGCCGAGGATCACGAGAATCACAGGGCTACCTGTGTGCTGGGAGGGCGGGGGCAGAGCGACCTCTCCACAAGCCAGGCTCTTCCTGGCAGCAGCTAGACCCCTCATTTTTCACTCCCTCCTCCCTGGGTGGATGCTGTTCCCTACTTCTCAACTGAGACTCTGTTTGCTTTGCTTAGTCCCCAAAGTTCCCCCTGAACTTGAGGCTTGAGATCTGGGGTCATATTCAAAATATTTAACAACCAGCAAGGCAGAGGCACCAACCAGTCAGAAGAGAGACACAGCACTAGACTGCATCCTGGAGGCTCTGGGCAGGGCCAGTCATTAACCCTCTCGTTGCTGGTTCAGGGGAGGGCCAGGGGTCCTGGGGAGTTGCTGGTTCGTGGGGAGGGCCAGGGGTCCTGGGGAGGAGGTGGGTATCGGTGGGGGGGGGGGAGCTGGAGGTGCCCTCGGGGGCACTGAGACTCAGTATTTTCACAATAGAGGCATCTGTCGGGGGCATGCTGGCCAATGTCAGCCTCGTGGCAGCTTGAAACAGCCAGTCCTGACTGTAGTATTTTTTCCCATGCACAGATAAACTCACAGAGAAAGAGTTCATCGAGGGGACCCTGGCCAATAAGGAAATTCTGCGACTGATCCAATTTGAGCCTCAAAAAGTGAAGGAAAAGATAAAGGAAAAGAAACCCTGATGCCAACAGCTCGACTGTCCTCCTTCCCCTCACCACTCACAGATACACAGACACACACACACACACACACACAGATGCATGCGCGCACACATGCACACACCCCAGGGGCCGAGAGAGGCCTCTACATCCACAGCACATTAACCCACAGCACAGCTCCCTGCCAATTGGAAGCATCTTTAGCAATCCACCAGTTCCTTCTTCCTTCTGTCTTCACGTCTTCACAGTGTCTTCTTCCCGCCCCTTATACCCAACGCCTCCCCACCCCCTTCCCGCCAGCTCTTGCCTCTGAGATAATCCCAGGATTAGGTCACCAGAGTCCTAAATGTCACCCCATGTAAGCTCCTTTGAGGATTGCCGGGTAAGCAGGTTCCAATAAACACAGAGGAGCTGGCACACAGCTGGCTGGTCGTTCTTGAACTGGAAAAGAAGGGATTTCTGTCGGCTCAGCCTCCAAGATGAGGAGGCATTGCCATTGCCGTCACAGGCCAGAGTGCTGGGACGGCGGTAGTGAAGGAGACAGACACGGCCCTGCTCCCACGGAGCTCAGGGTGCAGAGGGGACTAGAGACCTTGACGAAGCCATTACACGTGGGGAGGTTACCATGGAGACATGCAAAACACTGTGAGAAGATATAACGGGAGGGGCTGACTTGTCCAGAGCCTCAGAAAGGGTGTTCCTGAGGAAGGGACATGTAAATTAAGACCCAGTGGACTGTGGCCAGGGAGGGGGTGGAGCACCACATCTGAGAGAGCAGCCCATGCGGACCTGAGGCAGGAATGAGCATGTCAAGTTCCAGGACTGTGAGACGGCCGGAGTAGTGGAGAGCAGAGGGAGGAGGGAGAGCAAGCTGTGAGTTAAGCCTGAAATGTAGACAGGGGTCAGACCACGCAAAGCCTTCCCTGCAGCTCGTGGGAAGACCTGGGGCTTCACCGTAGGGGTAGTGAGTACCATTGTGGGGTTTGAAGAAGGATGGATTTATGTTTGTAAGAGAACCCTCTGGCAGTGTAGAAATAAATCAGAAGGGCAAGACTGGGGGCAAGGAGCCTAGAAATTACACTTTTATAGTCACTTGTGTGGCCTGGGCCAGGGGAACAGCAGTGGGGTGGAGAGAACAGACTGCTTTGGAGGAATTTAGAAGGTAGAATCCACCTGACTGGTGGTGGGAGGAGGATGGAGGGGCAAGGATGGCAGCCAGGTTTGTGGCTTGAGGTCTGGATGAATAGTGATGCCATCTACTAAGATAGGAAACACAGGGAGAGTCGCTGGATTCAGGGATAATGACATGTTCAGTTTGGGTAGGGTGAGAGGTGAAGACAGAGCCACTGATGTCCCTGTGGCCTCTCATTTTAGAGACGAGGAAAAGGAGGCCCAGAGACAGGAGGCATCTTGCCCAGGGTCAGCCAACTAATGAGCAGAGGCCAGGCCAGGGCTGCCCCCTGGCCCACACTGTCTTATCAGATCTCCAGGACCTGGGACACCTCAGAACTCACTCCATCAGTGGGTTCTCCAGGATCATCAGATTCATTGTTTTGAGGGTCCATTTATTCTCCAGACTTAAGTTCCAAGATGAGGTGAGAAAAACATACAGACGTCCTGGACACTTGACCAACCTGTGTGTAACCCCCTGAGGCAGAGGAGTCTCCATTTGCTGGTGTTGAGGTTGACTCCCCACCACCAGCTTTAGCCACAGCCATGGCACAGTCACCACCGCTAGAGAGCAGTGCTCTTTATGGAGGGTGAGCTTGAGAGTAATCCTAACACTTACATATGGAGCATTTCCTGTGACCCGGGCATCCTGCTAGATGCTCCACATTATTTCATTGATGGAAACATTGTTATCCCCATGATGTAGATGGGGACACTGAGGCCACGAAGTAAAAGTAGGCTTTGGTACTTAAATCAGAGTCCCTTTGACACCAGGTTGCCCTCATAGTTTTGACCTGTTCACGACAGGACAGAGAATTCTAGATTGCATGACATTGGAGCTGGAAGTGGGAGGGGAATCTGGTCAGAGGTTCTGGGAGGAGGACAGTTATTATTGGAATCACCAGCCCAGGAAACTCCTCCAGGGTCAGACATGGCGGGCCAGCCAGGAGGCAGCTCAGGGGGAGAAGAGGGACCTTGGGCCCAGCCCAGAGTGGTCTAGGGATAGAAACAAAGGGCTCAATGCCTCACCCCAGTGCTCTTCCCAGCACCCTACACTCTGCCTTTCATGAGTGAGTCTGGTTGGTTGGGGCATGAGGTTGGGGGCTTTTCACTTCTCTTTAAAGTCAGGGCATCCATGTCACTTGAGTCTAAAAGGATAGACACTGCATAATAACCTTGTTGGTCTGTGGTTCAGTGAGAGACATAAAGGGGCCACTGGACTTCTACTGGCCAATGGATAACCAAAGAGTGATAATCTAATTCACACGTCTTTTGTTAGCTGGGGATAGCAGAGCCTCTTGGGCTGGGGTCCTGGACAGCTCTAGGCCACTCTGCAGGAAGATGCTGAGAGAACATAAAAGCAGTGTAGAGTCCCACTTGACTGAAGAGAAGAGAAGGAAGTAGAAGTGGTGATGAGCCATGTCACCAAGACTCTTCCAGATGCAAGGGACAGAAGACCCAACATGAATTGTTGTGGCACAAATAGCAATTTATTGACTCATGTAACTGAAATTCCAGGAGTAGCACTAGCTCTAGGTCTGGCTTCATCCGGGGGCTCCAACAATGTCTCAGGGCTCTTTCTCCATCTCCTGGTCTGCTTTCTGCTGTGGTGGCTCCCTTCTCAGGTAGACTTTTCCCTATGCTGGCAAGATGGTCACCAGCAGATCCAGGCTGACTTCTTCATGGTTCCAATTTTCCGCAGAAAAGAGAAAATGCTTTTCTGTTGAGAGTCCCAGCCAAAGTCCCATGCTTGTCTCTCCATTGGCTCTGACTGGTTTTATGCCCATTTCTGACACAATATCTGGTGCCAGGAGGATGTCGTGCTTGGATTGGCCAAGGAGATTTTCATGTCCTTCCCTGCAGCTGAAGATGGAGTTGAGCCAACTCAAACATCGTGGACTGAAAGTGGGAGATGTGTGGTTTCCAAGAGGAAAATCTGGGTGCTATTAGTATAAGAGGGGTCGATTGTAAAAATAGATGTCCACTATAGAGACTCTGGGAAGTCACTCCACATCTCTGAATTTCTGCTGCTTCATCACATGTAAACTCAATGGCAGAAACGAGTCTCATCAAGAACAATAATCCAATCTGCTCTCACAGGATCCCAGCCTCTTGTGCAGTGCCCCTCAGGTATTCCTTAGCATCCCCAGGAGGTGTCCCCCACAGATTCACCAATAGGTGCCATAGTGCCAGGTGCCATTGCTGCCACCAGGCACCACATTCCCACCACAACCAAGACTACAGTGTTCCTGATGTCCCCAAACTGTGTGCTGGGCTGCTGGTGTGACTTCTGGGTTAGGATCTGTTAGAGAGACACCATGGGGACTGGAATTCATCGTGGAAACAGCTATTGTCATTGCTTCCTGGGAACAGCTCTTTTACGTTTTGTCTGCACCTTCTGTTTGCTCACCAGGGCTCAGACACTGTCCATGGAGCCAGATGCGGACAGACACCATGCTGCCCACTCCACCTCCATTTCTGTGTATTGCTGGTCACACAAACTTATCAGATGAGCCAAGATAGGTCGGTGTCTCATTTTAGGCCCCAGCTGGGATGCCCATCCCTCAAAAAAACACAAAACTGGACCAATCACACCTACACTGATTATCACTTAGGGTTGTGAGGGTCAGTTGGGTCTGTTCTTATGGAAGAATTTCTAAGCTCTAAATGCTACACAGGTAGAAGGCCTGGTTATTAGGACTTCAGCAAGATAGTGTCCGTTTCCAGAGGAATATTTACCTCCTCCCCTTCTGCTGCAACTAGTTTTCTCAACCTTGGTCACATATTAAAACCACTCAGGTGATATGACCAAAGCAAAAGCAACAAAAGAAAAAATAGATAAATTAGACTTCATCAAAATTAAAAACTTTTGTACATCAAGGGACATTGTCAAGAGAGTGAAAAGACAACCCACAGAATGGGAGAAAATATTTGCAAATTATATATCTCATAAGGGCTTAATATCCACAGTATATAAAGAACTCCTACAACTCAACAAAAAACCAAACAACCTGACTAAAAAATGGGCAAAGGGCTTGAATAGACATTTCTCCAAAGACAAAAAAGACAAATAGTAAGTAAGCACGTGAAAAGATGCTCAACATCTTTAGCCATTAGGGAAATGCAAATCAAAACCACAGTGACCTATCACTTCATACCCATTAGAATGGAGATTATCAAAAAAATGGCAAGGATGTGGATAAAATGGAACCCTCTTGCACTGCTGCTGGGAATATAAAATGGTGCAGTTGTTGTGGAAAACAGTTTGGTGGTTCCTCAAATTGTTAAACAGAATTACCATATGATCCAGCAATTCCATTCCTAGGTATATACCCCAAAGACTTGAAAACAGGGACTCAGATATTTGTACATGCATGTTCATAGCAGCATTATTCACAATAGCTAAAATGTAGAAGCAACCCAGGTGTCCATCAATAGATGAATGGATTGAAAAAAAATGTAATGTATACATACAATGGAATATTATTCTTATAAAAAGGAAGGAGATTCTGCCACATGCTGCAGCATGGATGAACCTTGAAGACATTATGCGAAGTGAAATAACCCAGTCACGAAAAGACAAATACCGTGTGATTCCACTTACATGAGGTACCTAGATTGGTCAAATTCATAGAGACAGAAAGTAGAATGGTGGTTGCCGGGGGCTGAGGGGAGGAGACTAGGGAGTTGTTAACAATAATGGGTATAGAGTTTCTGTTTGGGGTGATGAAAAAGTTCTGGAGATGATGGTGGTGATGGTTGCACAGCAATGTGAATGCACTTAATCCCACAGAACTGTGCACTTAAAAATGGTTAAAATGGTAAATTTTATGTTTTGTGTATTTTACTACAATAAGAAAAAATCAGGAATTTCTAAAAATACCTATGTCCAGGTCCATTCAGACCAATTCACTCAGAGTCTCTGGGGTTGGGCCCAGCCACCCAGTTTTGTCTCTTCTGACGAGTGTGTACTGAGCAACTGCTCTGAACCAGCTGTGCTGGGGGCAAGCTGGGGACATGACATGGCCCCAGCTTTCTAGGAGCTAATAGGCTGACGAGAAAAGGCAGGGATATTCGCAGAAAGGAAAAATTAGAAGTATGTATATTTTAGTGATTGAACCATGGATAATCTGGAAGCCAAAAAATAAATATTTGCTTTGTATGCACTTGCCTAACATCTCTGGTTCACTTTCCGCTTTTGCAAAGCAGAGGGGTACTAGGGTGAGGGCAAGACGGCCACTCACCTCCAGTGCAAAATTTAAGGGGGGCCCCAAAAAACTCAGAAATCCAGATAAATAATATTTTGATGCAATCATTTAAAAATAAAAATTAATGTTAAAAACTCCATGATGAGCAAAATATCCAAAATTTTAAATAAAGCCAGGATCACACTCTGCACTTTCCATGAGGTGCCTCATGGGACTCACCCTCATTCTAGCCCTGGTTCTAATAAAATGTGATTTTTATAAACGGCCCATGGGCTGTAGTTTGCAGATTTGGTTTTTTCCAAATATTGCATTAAAATATTACTTATCTTGACAATTGAGGTTTTTTAGTACTCTCAAATTTTGCATCCAAACTGAGTTCCTCTCTTGCCTCACCCTCGTCCCTGCCCTGCTGCAAAGTATCCTTGACAATGGAGTTGCCAGGTAAATACGGGATGCACAATTAAACTTGAATTTCGGATAAAGTATATCCCATGGGATATACTTATACAATAAGATTATTCATTTATCTGAAATTCAAATTTAATCGAGCATTATGTATTTTTAATCGCTAAATCTGGCAACCCTACTTGATAAGTATCATATCGCCCCTCCCCCTAATATAAGGAGGTATTTAGTCCCATGGCTACATGCCCCACCCACATACACTTGCATTTTACACACCACAAAAGTGACACTCCTGGGCCTTAACACTTTATTTCCATAGAATGTTCCTCCCTTGATCTTCCTTCAGCCTGTCGCCAGGTAGTTTCAGTCAATGAGCCCGACCCTAATAGCCTGGGCCCTCCTGAACCTCCAGAAGCAACTTCCACTTAGGGTCTGGAGCACAACTCAGATACCCCACCGGCAGCACGGGTCCCACAGGCCTGGTTCTCCCAGCACCCCCCTCGGCGTGTCCAGATCAGCCACGGTCCTATCACTTTACCTGGGCCCCCTCCAGCTTTCGGCGTCCCTTTCCATATGAGGAGTGGAATTCCTATCGGCGGGGACTCAGATCAGGGAGAGCAGTGGGCAGACCGCCCAGAGCAGGAGGTACAGCCATCAATGTGTCAATGGCAAACCGAAAATGGTGGAGAATGGTAGGGCAAATAAGGCTTGAAGAAGCCCAGCTCAGAAAGGCGGGTGCAGCCAGAAAGGAGAGGAAAGGATCAATGGCAACTTTCAGAGGGGCCTGGAAGCTGGGGCCAACCCCTCGAGGAAGGACGGGGTTGTTATGGATCGAACAGAATTTCTGCTGACCATGGAGGAAGAATTGAGATGGAGAAAGGGTGGAAAGCCTTGAAAAGAGAGGAGGAGGAGAGAAGAAGGTGTGGGGATCCGGTGGGCGGCATGGGGCTCCACACTGTCTGAGGAGGGCATGCGTGTCACAGCTGAACTGCTGCAGGCAGAACACCGCTGACTTCATGCCGCCACTGGCCGGCTCAGGTGGGCTTCTAGCTCCCCCACACCCTGCCCAGGGTTTTCAAAGCGTGGTCTTGTATCAGAATTTCCTGGGATGCTTGTTACACGATTCTCATCGCTGGCCATCATCCCAGACTCACTCTCTTAGACTCTCCGCCATGAGTCAGACTCTGCATTTAAAACACTTCCCAAGTGGTCCTTTTACACCTTAAAGCCAACCTCAGATAGAAACCTTGTACCACGAGGGGTAAAGGAAGAGACACTGGCTGGCCTCTATTTCATAGCAGACATCTATCTGTATAATAAGGCTCTGTTCACCTGAATTTAGGGCCAGCCCCAGAGATCATTCTGGAAAACACATTGGTGGGGGTTATTAGGATGACAAGGGCAGAAAAGCAGTGAATGTTTATGCAGCTTGTTTCCTACAGAGCATGAAAAACCTTGAGGCAGACTTCATGTCAAAGTGGGCGTGGTGCATGGGAAGAGTAATGACTGCTCCCCACAACATCCTTTGGCGTGGCCTCCTCCTCCCTCTCCCTTCTCAGGAGGCTCCAAGGAGCAGAGCTGGAGCGGTGGGCCTCCTCCTAGATCTCGCTCTCCTCGAGAATTTCCTCCATGGTGTGGGCCGGGGTGAAGTCGCCCTCGCTGCTCTCGGACAGGCTGCTGCCCCGGGGCCAGCCCGCATGGCCCCGGTGGGGCCCGCCGCCCAGCACCCCCAGGCCCTGCACCGCCAGGTGCAGGAGCTGCCCGCTGCCAGGCGAGGGCCGCAGCTTCTGCAGCGTCCCAGCACTGTCTCCCTCAGAGAGCTTCTTGGGCCCTTTCCCCAGGAATCGGAAGTTCTTCTCCAGGACCCAGGCTCTGCAGCCCGAGTGGCGGGCTAGCAAGAAGCGGACCCAGTGCTTCCGCAGCTCGGCCTTCACCTGCCGGGTGAGAAGAGGGCGGGGTTACTGTCCTGGAGTCGTTTAGTCGTGTGTCCACTGGGCAAATATTTATGGAGTGGCTACTCTGTGCCACCCTTGGGAAACTTACCTTCTAATTGGAGGAGACGAACAAAGAGAAGCAAACAGATACACGCGGGCAGAGCAGATGGTCGTGACACTGTGAGACCATTAAGAAGGACAGTGGGGTAAGGAGGCAAAAATTTGAGATATGGTGTTCAAGAAAGGACTGTGTCGAGCTGGCATTTGAGACCTGCTGATGGATAAGGAGCCCCCACGTGAAGATATAGAAGAAGCAGCAGTGAGCAAGATGGAGGAAGGTTTTGCTGTCAAGAAGCTTACATTCTAGTGGGAGGAGACAGAAATAAATGTTAACTGGGATAGGGGAAGGGGGCTGGAAATCTCCCCACCTCCTGAAGTCAGGAGAAAACTGTTATGGCCTCTGCCCCTCTCCCTTTCAAGCCTTTTTCCCGGGGAGCAGAGAGCTGGTTGGGGCTATGCAATAATATTAATAATAAAAATAATCATAGTTACCAGGTATTGGGCTTTACCATGAGCTCACCATGCCCAGAGCAACACTATAGGGTAGGGATAGTTGTTATTCCCATTTTACAGATGAGGAAACCGAGGCTCAAAGAGCCGCAGTGACCTGACAAACTCAGAGCTCCAGAGTAGGTGAGTCATGGCTTGAATCCAGATTTTTGGACTCTGAAGTTCAAGCTTGTTCCCTCTATCATGCTTTACTACTCCCAGCACATCTCCAGCAGGGCCACGGCTGGCTTCTGACCTTCGTCCCAACACCTTTTCCCATTCATCTGAGCTCCCCCCTGCTCCCTCCACTGGATGCTCACAAGAGAAATTTGTCCCAGTTCATGCTGGTCACTGCCCATGCGCCCATGGCACTGTCACATAGACAGAGACCTCCGGGGGCAGTAGGATGCCAGCCTAGCCTCACAGGAAGCTAGCATGGCAGCATGGAAAACGTACCTCTCCATTGGCAAAGCAATACTGCAAGGCCACAAGTAATCCCTGGAACGAAAGGAAGAGGTGGCATGAAGTTTGACTTGGTAGATGTGTTCGAGAGTTACGTGGAAAGTCCAAAGGCCGGCCCTCGTCCTAGTAGCCCCCAGAAGAGGCTGGCAACTACATTGCTTACACTAGCTAGAGTTAGTCATCTCGGTTACATTAACTTGGATTTCCATGAGGTCTCTTCTTACTTTGACACCCACCACCCATATCAGCCTAGGTGTTTGCCTAGGTGCTCATAGGTCAATGATGATTAAATCCCAAAAACCCTATATCATTCATTCAATTATACAAATACCATAGAAGGCCACTGCCCCATTTCTACTTGTCCACAGTGGGCATTGGCTAATTTTTTTTGCCTGACTTGCCTCCTTTCCTTTTGGAAACTGACCCTCCCCTACTCCCTGGGCCTCTGGCAAGGCTGTCAATCATGTGGTCCCCATGTTCTAGGATGGCCATCACCACCATAATCAGCCCAAGTGGGCATGTGACCCAAGCAGGGCCAATCTGAGTTCTTTTCACTGGGAAAGAAGAGAGGGTTGCACTCTCTTCCCTGCATTTGCCAGCTTGATAGTCAAAGAAGCCTGGAGATGCTCATGGGCAGCTTCCCAGCTACATGGAGAGAGCCCATCAGAGGATGAAGCCTACAGAGAGAAAGCAGAGGCTGGAGATGGTGACAGACAGATTTCTGGTGGTATTGTTTGAGTGCCTGGATCCAGCTATGCCTGATCCTGAAACTTTTATTTATGTGAGATAATAAATGCCCCTTTCTCTTGTCTTTTTTGAAAAGATAGATCATTTCACAGCAGTGGTTTCTCAACACACTTAGATTTAAATAAAATCTAACCACAGAAGGGGCTAAGGTGATGCGGGCTCTGTGTCTATGTCACTGACTTCGTCTTGTCCTGTGCTTCCCTTCAGCCACTATATTCCAGCCACATGGGCCTTTCGGCTTCCTCCAGCATCTCAACCTCATGTACTAGTTATCTGTTGCTATATAACTTAGTGGACTTAAACAGTAAACATTTATCATCTCACATACTCTCAATGGGCCAAGAATCTGGCAGTGGCTTAGTTGGGTATTCTGGGTCAGGGTCATTCCTCAGGTTGTAGTGAAGATGGTGGCTGGAACTTCAGTCATCTGAAGACTTGATTTGCTTCCAAGAAGCTCACATGGCTGGCAAGTTGGTGCCGGTTGCTGGCTGTTGAAGACTGAGGCCTCCCTCCATAGAGTTGCTTGAGTGTCCTCATGACATGGCAGCTGGCTTCCCCAGGGGGTGATCCAAAGTAGCAAGGCAGTAGCCACAACCCCTTTTATGACCTAGCTTCAAAAGTCGTACTCCTTCATGTCCACAATACCTTAATGGTCACACAGGCAACCCTACTCAGTGTGAGAGGGGACAACACAAGGCCATGAATACCAGGAGGCGAAGATCATTGAGGGCCATATTGCAGACTGGCTACCACAGCTCATTTCTTCATCAGGTCCCTTCACACTTTCTGTTTTCTGGACCATTCTTCCCTCAAATCTCTGTCTAACTGGGTTCTCAAAGTTCAGATCTTAGCTCAAACATCACCTAAAAGAGAAGTCTTTCCCAACCACTCAATTTTTGGTAGTCACTCCAGTCACCATCACAGTTCTCTATTTTACATTCTTCATAATACAAAAATTATATTGTTATTTATTTTTCAAGTTGGTTATTATGTCCCTTCCCTCCCCCGCCCCCCACAAGACTAGCATCTTTATCTAGTCTTTTCACTGCCAGATCCCCAGCACCTGGAAAAATGCCTACACATCATAGGAGCTCAACAATATTTGTTGAATGAATAAGTGTGTGAGTGAATGAATGAATGAGTTGGGTTTCTGTCACTTACAACTATAAGAGTCTTGCCTTGTACCATATCAGACCATTTCTAAAATATGACAGGACAGTTTCCTTTCTGTTCTCTTCCTAGTCATTTAGAATTGTGGATACAAGGATCACGATGAAAACAATAGGCCACCTTTATATGGCACTTCCGTTTACAAAGCATCTATGTTGCGTGAGCTTCAGTAAAGGGATAATCTCTTGATGCTGTTGGAAAAATTTTCTGGATTTGCTGCTTAACTGCCAGAGGTCTGGAATCAAAGGTGCTTTAGTTACTGTTTGTTTCCATTGTTTCTCCAGACTCTGTTTCCTGATTTGTTAAACAGCCACCTGTGAAAAACTGCAAGCCTGGCTTTCCCTGGGATGTGAGGGTCTGTGAGACTTGGGCTGTGTGTCTGATATCGGAGCTGGATATGTGTGCAGGACCCAAGCACTTGAGTGTTTAGGGGAAGAATCTCATAAAATGATGAGACTCACAAGGAAAGGACACATTTCCAGCTAAAGAGTGAAGGTCGCAGTGCAGGTTGACTCTCCCATTTCTCTTGATAACATTTCTCTCACCCTCTGTTGCTAGTAAGGGAGGTTTGGTACTGGGAAAGGAGCTGAAATTGAAAATGGGTTATAAAATGTTGCCTTGGGGGAATATTTTTATGCTCTTCCTTGTGGAAGCCAGAAATCTCCACGCTGGCTGTCAGGACATCAGTCACACGTTTGGATTCTGCCCACCAGTGTGGGACTTCCCTTCTCTTATGCCATATTCCCTGGCCATAGCTTCTAAATGGGGGCATGGTGGTACCAGTTTATCATTCTCATACACGCAATCTCATTGGAGCTTCCCAGCTGCCCTGTACAGTTGGCAGGGCAGGTAATATTTGCCTCCAGGCTAATGATATTAGAAGCAGTGGCTTTCAGTGTGCCAGAATTCTCACGAATGAGTTGGCTAAAACAGGATTGCACATCATAAACACGTCTTTCCCTTCTTCAGGTTCTCGATTCACTGTTTTAGGAACATCCTGGAATCTGGTTAACTCTCATTCAAGATAAAGCAAGTGTGAGGGAGCGGTCCCACAAAACATATGGCTCTCACTTCATATGTCACCACCACTTGGCAGTCTCTCCAAAGATCCCTTGATAGCAGGAGGCTGGGGAAACTCTCTAAGCAATAAGCCCTTGGAAGCGTGAAGGACCGTCCAAAGTAGCAAGGAAAGGAAGCTGTTAGGTCCAATGCCGGTTCCTGCTGAGTCACTAAGATGTGACCCATCGAATGTCTGCACCCACACATCTGCCCACCCAGGCTCTCCCCTCCGCCTGGTGGGATGGAAGAGTATTCAGAGGGCAGGAGGCCTCTGCCCACATTTTCTGGCTCAGTCTGCAGAGCCACTCTGACTCCTCGCATTCCTCAGTGGTGCTCGGTGGTGAGCAGAGCTCTAGCTGGCTGCAGGACCAAATGATCCAGTGTGGTAGCTAGTCTCCAGAGATGGTCCCAAGGATTTCTCCCCTCTCTGAGGCATATGCTACTCCTCACATCAAGAAGTGGACCTTATTTTCCCTCCCCTTGAATCTGGGATGCCCCTGTGACTCCTACCAGTACAATGTGGTAGAAGTGACATTCTAGGACTTTCTACTTCCTCCCTCTCAGAACATTTGCTCTTGGGATGCTCCAGGAGTCCAGTTTTCACGCTGTGAGATGCCCAAGATACATGGAGAGGCCACACGGCAGAGAACTGAGGCTCCCTAATTGATAACCTCTGCTGAGTGCCCAGCCAACATTCCAGGTCAATGTCTAGCCATGTGAATCAGCCATCTTGGATGTTCCAACCCAATCGAGCCCTCAGATGTTTGCACCCCATTCAAAAATTACATGTATCAAAAGGATCACCCTGCTGAGTCCAGATAACCCAGCTCATGGAATCATTAAAGATAATAACATGGTAACTGCTTTAAGCCATGAAGTTTTGGGGTACTTTGTTACATAGTAATAGACAACCAAAACATGCTCCCTTGCCAGAGGAGTCTGATAGGCTAGGATTCTTTCTCAAAAATCTGTCCCACATAGCACCTCATGAGTGTCTGGTCTTCACCTGGCCTTTGGGGTGTGAGATCAGCTGCTCAAGGGTTCACATGACCCATCAAGCCCTCAGAGGAAAAAAGCCCAGCAAATACTGCTGACATAACAGCTATAGCTTTTTCTTGTTGTTGTTGTTTTTCTAATTTGAGATTACCTTTTAAAGAAGATTAAGACTAAACAACATAGGAAACCCAAATTACTAAACCTTAGCCTTGTGAAATCCCCCGAAAGGTTGAAATCAATCAACATGGTTTCATAATGAAAAAAAGTTACCAATGGATCCTCTGTCTCAGTTCAAAGCCACACGCTATTCAGCTCTAAAAGATGGAAAAAGAGCCATTGACCAACTGCCCAGACCATACCTCAGGCTCTGTCTCCTTGGCCTTTGGTGAGTGAGCAGTGGGCAGACACATTCTCTCCACTCTGTCCACAGAATCTCAGCACCTGACACTGTCTGGTGGCAGTGGCTTTAAGACTCTGATATAGGGAACTCCGTGTCTCCTGGTTCTGATCCTCACAGGGCCCCTGAGAAGCACTACAGCTGGTTTTAAGCAAGGGCTTAACCTCTGCATACAAATCTCACCTCTGCCACTTATTAACATATTCGTGTCTTCCTCTGCACCTCAGGTCAATCATCTTTAAAATGGTATAATAATTTCTCCCTCACAGTGATAATGTGGATTTCAACGAGATTGAAAGTGTTTTGGGGTAAACAGATATTTTCTAGAGTACCATTTTAATTCCTCTGCTGGTACTCTAACTATATTTTTTAAGCTATTTTCTTAGTGTTTGTTCCAGAGATTACAACGTGCATTTTAACTTATCACAATCTATTTCATATTAATACTAACTTAATTCTGGCAAAATATAGAAACTTTCCTCCAATATAGCTCCATTTTTTCTTTCCTCTTTTGGCTATTATTGTCATAATATATTAGATCTTTATACAATACAATTTATAACAATAATACAGTTTATAATAATTATTTTATACAATCTTATGTCTTTAAAAATCAGTGAAAAGAAGAAAAGAGAAAACATATATATATTTATAGACTTTCATATTTCCCTATATGCTTACCATTTCTAATGCATTTTATTTCTTCATGTGGATTTGAGCTACCAACTGTTGTCATTTTCTTCCATCCTGAAGGACTTCCTTTGATTTTTCTTGTAAGAAAGGTGTGCTAACAATGAATTTTCTCAGTCTTGGTTTATCTGAGTATATCTTTATTTCACCTTCATCTTGAAAATAATTTTGCTAGATATAGAATCCTTGACTGAATTATTTTTTCTTTCAGCATTTTAATTATGTCATACCACTGCCTTGTGGCCTCCGTTGTTTCTGGTTGCAGTCAGGTGTTAACTGTATTGCTAGTCCCTGGATGTAATGAGTCATTTTTCTCTTGTTATTTTCAAGATTCTCCCTTTGTGTTTGGCTTTCAACAGTTTGGCTGTAATGTTTCTAAGTGTGCATCTCTTTGTTTTATCCCTTTTGGGGTTCACTGAGCTTCCTGGTTGCAGAGATTAATGTTTTTCATCAAATTTGAGAAGTTTTCAACCATTATTTCTCCAAATGATTTTTCTACCCCTTTCTATCTTTCTTTTCCTCATGAGACTCCCATGTGTGTATGTTGGTATGCCTGATGGCATTCCACAGGTCTCTGAAACCGTTATTTTTTTTTTCTGTTTCTCATACTGAATAATCTCAGTTGACCTATCTTCAAGTTCATTGATTTTCTTCTGCCACCTTAATCTATTTTGAGCCTCTCTAGTGAAATTTTAATTTCAGTTATTGTGCTTCTCAACTCCAGCATTTTTCAAATTGGTTCTTATTTTATAATTTCTCTCTCTGTATTGAGATTCTCTAATTGATGAATCATTGTCATCATACTTTCCTTTAATTCTTTAAGCATGATTTTCTTTAATTTTTTGAACATATTTATAGTAGCTTCTTTGAAGTCTTTGTCTGCTAAGTCCAACATCTGGACCCCTCAGAGAATTTCTATCAACTTTTTTTTTTTCCTGAGTATGGGTCACACTTTCCTGTTTCTTTGCATCTCATAATTTTTTGTTTAAAACTGAAAGTTTTAGATAATATATTGTAGCAACTCAGGAATCTGATTCCCTACTTCCTCCCCTTGGGATGGTTTGTTTTTTTAGTAACTTGTCGGGACTACTAGTTCTATGGAATCTCTCTCCTGTGGGGTACAGCTGCTGATGTCTGTGCTCATTTTTAAAATTTTGGCTTTTGTGTTTAAGTCTGGTCTCCCACCCCTGTTTATAATAGCTTAATAATCAGCCAGTGATTGGTCAGAAGTTGTGCTCAAACATCTTGAGCCAGTAAGGCTTCCACACCATTTGCCAATGGATCTGTGCGTGGCTTGGGGAACATGCTCAAAGTTCAGACAGTTTACAAGTCTTCCCTGGCTTTTACTTTCCACCTCCCACGTCTCCTCTGTTTGTGTGCAGGAACTCATGTTCAGCCAGGGAATGTGGATATCTTCTTGGTTTCTCCTGAGTATATATTGCAACCTTGCATGTGTGCACAAGCTTCCAGTCCACCAGAGAGCTATGTGGGAGCTTATTGAAGCCCATGATGGCTGTCTCGCTCCTCAAATCTCCCTGTTAAATTTCTGGCTAGCTCACCAGTCTGTTTCTTGCCCCAACTAGAATCACGACCTCAGACTGTGGCACTGTCTTTCCTTGTTCCTTTGCCACTAAGATCACTACTGTATCTGACAATGCCCAGAGGTGTGGGCTTTTTCTCCTCTCTGATCTATATCAAGTCAGCCTCCTTCTGCAGTGAAGCTGCTAGTTTTCACTACAATTTCCTCATTGATGGAGAAGGGGTTGGAGGACCAGAGCAATCCCACGCAAAAATAACACAGACTCCCACTGTTCTTACTCAAGCTCAATAATTTTTTTTGAATAAACTCTTCTCAATCTTTTGTATACCTTTGGTTGCTTTCCAGCGTCCTCTAATGGTTGCTATTGACAATTTTGTCCAATTTTATTGTTGCTTTTTGGGAGAGCATTTTCCAAGCTCCTCTCTCCTCCATTCCAGAAGTCCTGCCCCTATACTTGCATTTTAAGATTATCAGTTCCAAGATCACTACTGTGTGGGGCCTTTGCTGTGTCCACACTGTTTGTGGTAGTCTTTTGTGTTAGTGGCCTTTGCTAATGAGCCATGCCTCTCAGTATTCACACCTTTGTGCAGTCCCCTCCTCTTCAATCAAGGCTGGGTCTGTGACTTGCTTTAATTAGCAGAATGCAGCAGAAGTATCACTGTGTGAGTTCCAGGCCCCAGCATTTAGAAGGTCTGGCAACTCCTGTTTTGTGCTCCTGGGAGCCCTGAACTGCCATCTAAGAAGTTCAGCTACCCTGCTAGAGAGACCATGAGAAGAGAACATGCAGCAAGTGAGAGGCCCTAAGACTGTATGGAACTGATAAACATAGCTGACAGTGAGAAATGAAGCCCCAGAAATTTGACCCAAATAAAGCCACTCCAGCCGGCCCCACTCATTCGAGACTTCCCAGCCTAGGCATCAGACATTCGAGTGGGGAAGCCATCTTGGAAGTTCCAGCCCCAGCAGGCATCACGTGGAGAAGAGGTGAGCCATCCCTACAATGTCCTGCCTGGATTCCTGACTCCGAGAATCATGAGAAATAATAAAAATTATTGCCCTTTTAAGCTACTGAGTAATTGATGACAATTTAAGCAATGGCTAACGAAAATACCCAGGTACATTAACCACAGCTGGCCTCCTGTTTCTAGTTTCAGCCTCCACACATCCGTCGGGGTTCAAGAGCCTCCTGGTCTTGACTCACTGGTCCCCACCCCAGTTGTCTTGTTCTCTGAGTACACCACCTAAAGCATAGGCAATGTTCATTTTGCACAATGGTCTGCTGAGGACCCAGCAAAAATAGGCACTTAATAAAAGGCTTCATGTTGACACTCACAGTTAATATGATCGTGAGTCACACCAACTATTACAGCCAAGGAGATAGACCACTTTTCCCTTCTTAGTCACTGAGTCACGCTGGCGCCATCAAGGCAACATTTCCATCCACACACCCTTTTAATACTAAAGCCCCTCACTGGTGAAGCCTGCTGATACCAGAACTCTATTTCCATCTGGGGGCTCTCTCAATTCTGAGCCTGTTTGGATCAAGGGCATTTGTTTTCTTCAAAGCCGAGGCATCCTGGTTCAGATGCTTACTTACATGGAAGGAGCTCAGAGTCAACTGGATGAAGAGTCTTATAAGTTTTGAAAATCCTTCAACTTGATCATCAGTGATGAAGGTGAAGAGAATCTCGTGAACACCCAATAAAGGAATGAGGACCAGCGTTGATTTTGCCAATCTGTACACGACACAACCAAATTACTGTCATCAGGGTGATAAATAGTTGATTTTCCAGTTTGTCTCCTTGGCTACACATTGAATGCCTTAAGGGCCAGTGTGGCCTTGTTCACTGACACATCCCTACACCTGACTCATGGCAGATGCTCAGAAAAATGAACTGAATGAATGAATGAATTCTCCCGTATAGATTACCATATATCTACAGATATTAACGTTTTGCCCAGTGAATAGATTTCCACGCATGTGACTGTCACCCTGGGACACTACGCCCCTACCAGATTTGACAAGTTTCCTATTACCTGGCTAGCAGGTGCCTCTATCTCTTTCTCTATTCAGGACTTTCAATGTCAGGGTTTTACTGAGCCTGAGAGGGGAAAGAAAATGACTGCCCAGGGTCACACAGCCACTAAGCAGCAAATCCAGGCCAGGAAGTGGGGCTTCTGACTTCACACTCTATGCAGTGCTTCCCCATCAGCCCCATGCTCCCTCAACTCTAATGACAGCGAGGGCTGCAGGAAATGAGAAACTGATCCTCCTCATAAAAAGTGCGGTGTCAGAACTCGCTGTTGTATACACCCTACCCAAAAAGGACAAACATTCCTTTGTACCACCCACGTGCAAAGTGCACAGCTGTGGCCCAAACGTTCCATACCGCACACCGGTGGTTCCCAAACTCGGGTGACTGCTAGAATTCCTTACGGAGCTTTTAAAAAAATTATGTGTCTATTGCTTCCTGGGCCCCAGTATCAACCCCCTGAATCAAAACCTCTGGAGGTTGGGTCCTGGGAATGTGAATTTTTAGGGAATTCCCCCATGGGATTCTGATTAGCAGCCACATTTGGGAATGACTGCTTTCTACCATTGAGCTGCCCTTTTTTTTTTTTTTTTTTTGTGAGGAAGATCAGCCTTGAGCTAACATCCATGCCAATCCTCCTCTTTTAGCTGAGAGAGACTGGCCCTGGGCTAACATCCGTGCCCATCTTCCTCCACTTTATATGGGACGCCGCCACAGCACTGCCTGACAAGCGGTGCATCGGTGCGCGCCTGGGATCCGAACCTGGGCCGCCAGCAGCGGAGTGCGAGCACTTAACTGCTACGCCACGGGGCCGGCCCCTGAGCTGCTTCTTAATTTAAAACTAACTGTATTAGCAAAGGTGACTCATATTCAGGGCACAAACGTAGATACTGTCTTATACACATTGGGAAAAAAGAGCTTAATTGTAATGTGTTTTTAGCCAGGTCACTGTCTTAAAGGCCCAGACTAGGAGAAGTTTTCCCCACAAACCCCAGGGAGTTAAAGATGTAGAAACATGGAGGGTCATCAGCAGCTCATGGACGTTTCTTCAGGAGGGTTTAACTCCATCCAACAGAAAGTGCTTGCTATGAATCTCGTGTCTGTGAGAGCCATTCAAATGCAACGTTATCCAGGAAACAAGAAACCTCACCTTTGTGCCCTAAAAGGACCTAGCGCCAGTAAGAGGAGAGCAGGAGTCACCATGGAGAGGCTCCACCTGGGCACGTGGGCTGTGTGTCCCAGGGCCTTGACCGCCAAGGGGAGGCGGAGGAGTGGGAGACTGAGACACAGCCCCGGTTATGTGGTTCCCCTGAGCCAAGCTCACATCTACTCCCACCCCACGCCCCCCCATGCAGCAGTCTTAGTTAAGCACAGTTAAGGTGCTCCCGAGGAGACACTATTTCAAGAGGTTGTTTTTTTTTTTAATTTCCAGGAGTGTTTTTAAAACCCACTGGCTCAGACGTTGCAACGTGGCGACCACAGTTGCATTTGTCCTGCTGACAGTTTTTGCTTATGCTATGAAGTAATTTTTGTTACTGGAGCCATCTTTAAATAATAATGAGTTTTCGAGCAAAGATGTCGAGATTTCTAGCTTCTTTTGAAAAATGGTGAGATCTGACAATACTGGGCCAAATTCCTGCTTGACAGTCATTGGCTGCAGCCTGATAGTGGCCGTCTCTTTAGAGGGAACGTGTGCTCTCCAGCCCCTAGCCAGCCTGCCCTAATCATTCACGTTACTTGCTCGGCCCCTGCAAGGTTCAAGTTTGTGCCTCTTGCTCTGGGTTACCTGGGTTTTAAAGACACATACTTACGTTCTTACCTGCAGACCCATCTTACCATCAACTTATTCTTGGGGCCATGCTATGGTGTTATGTTTTTCAAATAAAATTTTTATTCTGGAATAATTTTAGATCTATAGAAAAGTAGCAAAGATAAGTCAGAAAGTTCCCACGTATCCTTCACTCAGTTTCCCCTGATGTTGAAACCTTATATAACTGTGGGACATTTGTCAAAACCAAGAAACCAACATTGGTACACGACTAATAACTGTACTCCAGACTTTATTCAGATTCCACCAGTTTTCCACTAACGTCCTTTTCATGTTCCAGGATCCAATCCAAGATCCCACAATTAGTATGGATGATTTTTAAAGAATGAACATCTTTTTATGAAGTTTTGGCCCATTTTAGTAACTACCACCTCTCTGGATGGATGTCAGAAGGGATTTCCCACTCCTCATCTCATTCTAACTTCTCCTGAGACCAAGTACTGTTTGTGTCCCTGTTCAAATGAAAATCCAGAAATATCTATAGCAGTTTATTCTTATGATCTGTGTTTATGCTTATTTTTCATCTATAATCACTTGTTTATTTAAATGGGTTAGTTTTTGCAGTCATTCAGCTATCCACAAATATTTATCGAGCATCTGCTCTGCGGACATGAGTGAGTACAGTGGGAGAGGAGGAGCTGGGGCCAAAGGCAGTGAGCGCAGGGTCAGTCCCTGGGGCCTGGGTTCAAATCCCAGGGCTGCCAATTACTAATGATGTGGTCTTAGGCAAATTATTTAACTTCTCTATCTATAAAAATGAGGATTATAATAATAATATAATACAAATATTAAAATAATAATAATAAAATATGATTAATAATAATACTCAACAGTGTCACTGTAAGGATTAAATAATATATGGCAAACCCTCAGTATAAATGGCATCTAATACGCGATGAATGACCAATAAAATTCAGCTATCTCTATTTTAAAGAAGCCATCCTTGCCCTCAGGTTGCTTATAGTCTCAATGACTTTGATCAATTTTACTTTCGTGACATTTATCATTTTTGGTTGCCCACCAGAAAGTCCTTTCAGAAAGGGCTCTGGGGTTTAGCACATTAAGAAATGATTCTCCCTTATAAATTCATTAAGAGCTCTGCCCTACGCTTCACATGGAAAGTTGAGACCATTTATGCAGGGGAAGCGAGCCTCCTCCGTGCTGGGAACCACAAAGAACCGAGAGCTCCGGCCATGCTGAGGGTCTGCATTCCCAGGGCCTTTCTCTCCCTCCAGGCTGGGCTCAGCTCTCCCTTCCCAGGCCAGACAGATGGGCCGGTTATAGTTTCCTCTGCCTAAATGGTGGAAGCCCAGGGACAAGGGCTGGGACTTCAGAAGGTTCTCCAACTCCTAGCAACTGGCCTCTTTGGCAAGGCTTAAACGTGTTTAATAAAACTTTCCTAAAATATACCTCTGGAGGGGAGCCAAATCTTGAGAGCTACGTTCTGCATATTCTCAAAAGCTGAGACAGTTGGAGGCAGGCCTGTTCCTACCCGAGTTTGGACAAAATGCACTGAGCCCCGTGGCCTCTCCTACTTACCCTAGAAGATGGCACTATCGGAAAACAGACATGGAGAGGGGGCGGGGAAGAGGAGAACCTTCCATTGTGGAAGAGGGCGGTGAGAACAGGGGGGTGCTGATGACCCACTGGGGTGACGGGAAGCAGCCCTCCCAGAACTTGGAAATGAAGGAGTTAGCACTGCCTGGAGAGAAAAATGGGCAAATGTGCTCATTGATGCTGTATGAGTCATCAGCCCAGGGAGTGAAATAGGGTGGCCTGGGTGTGTCCTGAGAGACAGGGCCCTGACTTTTTGCTAATTAATGAGCATAAGCTAATCAATTGTACTGTCCTCTGTGTGGAGAAAGAGTAAGTAAACAGAAAGCAGATGGCCACCCAAAATGGTGGGAAGAAGCACAAAGAGGCAGACAGTCCTCAGTTACTCAGTCTTGTCTGTGGAGACTCGGGGAGTGGCCCTCCCTCTCCCCAGGCGGGTGGTGCTGCAGGGCATGATGGCTGTCAGGCCACCAGCAGCGATCCTTCAACACCAACCGCTCTACTGTGACAACATGATCATGACCGCTTCGGATTTCTGGATCTTCTGGTGCCAGCTTTACAAAGAGGGCAGGCATTAGAAGGAAACTCCACGCCACTCGCACCTTCCACAGACTCTAGGAATGAATAACTGTCTAGTCTGGTTTACATATCAGTCTCTTGTGAGTTCAGTTGGCATCCGTCATCCCTCAAAGTCTCAGCCACTTGGGAATGCTAATAGGTCCCCAGTACAGTCCCCAGGTGATGGCAAACTCGCCAAGGTGAGTTGCCTCACCCTGGGAGGCCTCCAGGTGGGCATGCCCCCAGGTTCCTCTTTTCAAGCTTTTTCCTCAAACAAGGGTGGGGGAAAGGAAAAAAAAGTTTCCAGACAGATTGTATATGTTGGGCAGGGTTGTTCTTTCTCCCCCCGAAATAGCCATCCTGAATTGTTACTCAGGCATGAGGGTCTCCCCAGTATCTTGATTTACGCTTCCCTAGATCATTGGCTCCCAGTCGCGTGTGGACATTTCAGGGCTGTGCAAGGCAATCCATTTGGTATTGAAAGAGAAGATAATAGAAGTTCTATGTATACTAATTTTTATCTATCCTTTGTAATTTTCTATATTTTGGCATATCTTGTAACATATATATTAGTTCAATAGACCATGTGTATGTATGATGAGAGTCATGCTCAAAATTTCTTTATTGATAAAGATGCATGATTAGAAAAGTTTGGAAACCACTCTCTTGGATAAGTCGAAAGGAGACCTTGAAAATGGGGATCTCAAGGCTGCTTAGAAACACATTTGCCATGGCCCCACCAGAAAATTCAATGCCTTATTTCACTGGAACATCTGATCCGGTGGTCCCCCACTCCGGCCATGTGTCAAAATCTCCTGGGGAACTCTACTGTAGGAAGTCCACATGGTGGGGCTCCATCCCGCACTCACTGAGTCAGAATACCCAGTGGAGGGGCTCTTGAGTCTGTGTTTTTGGCTGGCAGTCAGGAGACGCTCAGGAGCCACCAGGATGGAAAGTTATTGTAGGGGCCGCTGTGGGTCTGGCACATGGGAAGACCTCAGTGGTACATGGTGGGCTTTGGAGGAACAAAATAGCAGGGTTTAGGATTTCAGTCTGTGTGGAAAGTGGTGCCTCGGGATTTGTCTTCTCCCTGTTTCTGTCTTTGGGAGTGCCGTCCTCTGTCGGGTTTCTGGGGTGCCCAGGTGTCCCCTGCGTCTGGTTAGTGAGAGGAATGCCCTCCCCGAATAGACCCCCATAGGGTAGACTAGAGCAGCTCTGCTCTTGGCCTTGGACCTCCACCCTCAGAGAGTGGTGAGAGAGGCTGAGCCTTGGGAAAAGGGCCAAAGAAAGTGTCAGCCACTTGGAGGCTTGACCAGAGGCGCCAAGAAAGACGGTGTGGCTCTGTGTGGTCCAGGCCAGCCCAACTGCCCCAGGGCTAGGAGTATTTGCAAAATATTTGGGCCAACTACAGTTTATATTTGCCCAGCTCTCCATCATGTGTGTCTATCCTTCTGTATCTCCTGGAGGAGGGGTTTTAGGTAGATAAGACTTGGGGTACAGATCCTGGGCAAATACCACTGACCACATTGATTAGATGGGACACCTGTATTGATGGCCTCCTTTAATCCTCATAACAAGCAGATGGGTCTGGTGCTCTCCCATTATACATACCAGCAAGCAGGCCCAGGGAGGCCAAGCGACTTGCTCAAAGTCAGTCAGCGAGTCTGGGGTCACGGCCAGCGTCAGCCCTCCTGACTCGTGTTCCACCCCGACATCCCAGTCCTAGGCGAGTTAGAACGTGTGCCCCTCGCAGACGGGGTCCACATTGTATTTACCTTTTGTTCCAAGCACAGTGCCAGGCACATTGTGGGTATCCATTATATGTTTGTCAGCTCAATGGGAAACTATCTTCCCAGCACTCCTGGGTCAGGCCCCGTGGTAGCCTTAGAGAAACAGCTACCTGCATCCTCACTCACGGTGCTGCCTCTGCCAGCCATGTGGACTACAATCCTTATCCTCAGAGCTACACCCTTGAGTTAAAACTCTCCCTCCCTGAGAGCCCTGCTGAAGTGCTCATGTACCATAGAAGGTAGGGAATGACTCCCGGGGAAAAGAGAAAGGGAGCCCGTATCTCTCATTCATTCATTCATTCATTTGTATTTACAGCAATGCGGATCTCAATAAATACCTATGATCTGACCTACTGTGAACTGGGACTGCTGTCACTGTGGAAAGTAGAAGGTGGGACACAGCAAAGACAAGTCACAAAGAAATGGTGACTGTATGAAGAATGTATTTCCTTGGACTCCAAAAGTTTGTGGTCTTATTTCTCAAGGTCTGAAAACTACCCAAATATTCTCTTCTGAGTTATGAATATGTCTTTTATCATTACCTCAAATCCTTCCCAAAGGAAGGTACCTGTCAAACTTCCCTTAGTGTGACTCTTATTTTCCCCATCAACTACCCATTCTTAGGAGCATTTTAACAGTTTCCTGTTGGGCAATGTGTGTGCCCTTGACTACTCACCACTTACTTCATTTTCCTGGGCCCAGAGATCCTCATCGTTGGCAAGAGCCCTACATGACCCCATGACACCTCTCTCAGAGGGACTCTCCCCATTACCTTGTCTGAGAGGATAAACACACTCATGCAGCAACGTCCCCCTTCCTGGGACATGAGCCAGAAGAGCCAGAAAGGGTCAAGACAAGCTTGGTCTGTTGGGTACTGACTCAGGCCACTTACCTGTATTTATAATCTCTGAAGCACATTTGATGGGCTTTGAGCTTAGAAATGAGAAGCTTGAGAATTTTCAGGAAGATGAAGAAATTGACCTTGAAAAAAAAGCAGATATAGGTAAATAAGTGATGGACTCCATATGGCTAGAATATAGAGGTCATCCTGGGCCCGGCCATCAGATCCTTGTCCCTATACACAGGGGCAATTTGGCAGTCATCTGGTCAGGTAGTAAGTGCTTGTGGTCATCCCCATTCCCCTGAGGTCATCTCAACTGAAAATCTAGGAAGGAGCCTCAAAAGTCATGGAGGCCCACCTACTACAGCCATCTGAGAAAGGCAGATGGACATTTACAGTATTATTATCAACTAACATTTACTGAGTACTTACCATGCCAGGCACTTGGCTAATTTCCCATATATTATTTTCTTTAATCCTCACAACAAGCCTCTGAGGAAGTCATGGTATATTTATGCCACGATACAATGAGAAAACAGAGGCACAGAGGAGACAAGTATAATTTCCCAGGTTGCACAGCTAGTAAGTGACTGAGCTGTAATTAAATCCAGATTTATCTGATTACAACCCTCCCTTCACTTAAACAGAATGCCACACTGCCTCTTTTCTGTAAGGAACTCCAGCCCTATGGGGCCTAACTTGAGGTCCTGTTGCTGCCACGGAATTCACTGGAAAGGACATGTTCTCCACTCCCTAGACTACTGTCTACAGCTGTCATGGACTGGGAAAATTCAGCTCTTCACTGGTAGCTTTGGTAGAAATTTTAAAATACGTCTGCAAATTCTTTGACACTTCTCCCTTTAAAAGGCAGAGCCTAATTTCCCCCTTCCCTCTGGAATGTGAGCTAGCTTTAGTTATTTGTATCTAATGAAAAGAATATGGTGGAGGTGATGTTATATGACTTCTGAGGTTAGGTCCTCGAAAGAATGGTTCCATCTGGTTCTCTCTCTCACTCTCTCAGATTTCTCACCCTGAGGAAAGCCAGGTGCCATGTTGTGAGGACACTTAAGCAGCCTGGGGAGCGACCCACACTGGGGAATTGAGTCCTCCTACCAACAACCAGCACCACTTGCTGTGTGTGGCTTGTGAGCCATTTTGGAAGCTGATCCTCCAGCCCCCGTCAAGCCTTCAGATGGCTGCAGCCCTGGCTGACACCTTGACAGCAACCTCATGAGAGATCATGAGCCTCCTGGAGAGGCAGAAGAACAAGTGGTTGAGTGTGAGTAGAGCGTGGGGAATGAGAGCAAAGTTTGTGAAAAGTGATACTGGAGAGAGAGAGAGGGCCAGTTCCTACAGGGCCTTTCACGGTCATACTAAGGAGTTTGGGTTTTCTCCAGAAAGCCAGTGATGAATTTTAAGCAGTCAAGTGATCTGATCAGATTTTGATTTCGGCATTTCAGAAAGATCATTTTAGCAGCGGTGTGGAGAAAAGAGTGGATGAGGGCAAGACTGGAGGAGAGGAGACCAGTTGGGAGGCATTTTCAGAGTTCCAGGGGAATGTTGATGGAGAGGAGGAGAAGGATTAGAAATTATTAAGGAATCTGAGTCAAATGACATTTGTTACTGGCTGGACGTGAGATCAAAGGTGACTCCAAAGTTTCACAGTAGATCTTAAATGGGTGGTAGTGTCATTCACCAAGAGAGTGACCATATGGAGGAGGAAGAGCATTGGATGGAGAAGGGGTAGAAATCCAGTAGTTTTGGACCCAAGGGATGTCCCAAGGCAGTGAGATACTTACGTCTAGACCTCAGCAGAGAGGTCCCAGCCAGAATATAGAGCCATTGGAGTAGGCGAGATTGTTCAGGGAGACTGTGTAGACTGGGAGAAAAAAAAGGTTAAGAGAATCAGCTTGTAAGGAAGGGAGAGGTAGAGGAAGTAGAGACAGCAAAGGAGACTGAGAAAGAGTAGCTAGGGCAGTTGGAGTGAACCACAAGGAAGTGGTTTCCTGGAAGCGCATGACGGGAAGAATTTTAAGAAGGTTTAAATGGTACATGGAATTTGAGCAAAATAAAACTGCACTTAGCAACAAGGAGCTCACTAAGAGAAGCTGCAGTTCGCAGGTGGGAGCACGAGCCAGACTGCGATGCTTTGCTTTGTGAACAAATCATGAAGAGGAAGGACAGCCAGTGTAGACAACATTTAAGAGGCTTGGCTGTGAAGGGAAGCAGATAGATAGAATAGTAGTTGACAAGGGATGCAGGGCTGGAAGGGGTTTTGGGTGCAGTTGTTTTTGAAATTGAAAAGACTTAAGAATGTCTCTACATAGTGGAAAAAAGCCAATAGAGATGGTGATTGGGAGACAATCAATGGAGTAAAGTCTCTGCAGACACTGAGCTAGCACAGGACTAATGTCCTTGTCCAGAAACAAAACCCTTTGACTACGTAATGAAACACAAGCTACGGGATCCACATGTACCTGTTAAGACTTTCCTTATTGGCCTCTGGAGAATCAGTGCTCAAAGCTAAAAGCCTAGAGTTTCATGCAAGAGGCTATTTATCCAATCCACAAGCCAACAGGAATGATGGAGATTCCCAGCCAAAGAATATTTAGTAACAGAACACTTAAATACAAACTAAACGTAACCAAGTAATTTATCCCTTTTAATGGGATATCTGCTTTTCATCACAAAGAGAAAACGTTGTGTCCTTGGCTTAGCAATTTGTTGAACTCATGCATTTTTCTTACAAAGTAAGCTTCACAGGGGAAAGGCACATATTTCAGCAAATTAATTTCAAACAGGACTGTCTCCTAGGAAATGAAAGGTTGTAATGAGGAGCATGTTGATTCACTGTTCTTTGTGTCTTCCAGAGACCAGACACGAGAAAATGGGCATCAACCAATGGGCCATATGGAAAAAGCACTTCCTCATTGCCATGGAATGCAACCCCAGCCTCGTTGACTATGGAGCTTCCATTCATCTAGGCTTCCCAGAGGACTAGAGTCAGCAATCACATTTAGATGGTGTTGTTCATCATTTGTGCATAAGCAGGAAAGGGGCTGAACGAAGAAATTTTTCAAGAACTCAGCCAATTCTTCTTGGATTCTGTGATCAGTTGGGGGGCATATAGGACCCCAAACATAAGGCTCCCTTTCAGGTCCTAGACAGTACAGAAGGCATTATCAGATGCAACATTCTTTGTGACACTTCTTTGGCACCCCAGCTCCTGTGCTCAGATCTGTGCCTACAGGTTGACAGAGGTGGGGGCTCAGAGGTGGGCCTCATCTACCCCTAAACTCCTCCACCTACCCCTAAACCCCTCTTACTCAGGCCTGCTGTGTGGACTAAAATGACTACCATTAGAACTACACCTTTGGGTTAAAATACTCCATTCCTAAGAGTCCTGCTGAAGTGCACATTCCTTACCCCCATAGAAGGTAAGGAATGACTGGGAGAGAAGGGAGGGAGCCCTTTCTCTATCTCTCATTTGTTCATTTTTACAATGAAGAATCAATAAACACCTATAATCTGACTTACTTTCACCACAGAAAGCAGAAAATGGGATGCAGCAAAGGTTAAGTTTTGAGGGGGTGGAAAAACCCAGGGTACAGTTCCCACTGTAACTCTTCAGAGGAGGGGAGTAGGGGAGTGAGGGAATGTCTTAGGAAACCTGGAGCGACAGAAGGGCCTTGGGTTCCTGGTAAGGAAGGGGACCTAAAGAGAGACAAGGCCAGTGAAGACTAGTTTTACTAATTTCTCAGCTTTGCCAAGTCTTGAGGCTATCAGAGAAGATTCAATAAGAGTGGATGAAAGCATTTGACTTTATAACTTCATAAAGTCAATAGATGGTTCGTTCAATTCATTGGCTCAAAAAGCCATTCAACTGGATGTTCAATCTAGTTGATCTGTTAACTGGAGGAATCAGGATATGGATAGAACAATCTTGCACATTTTAGTTATTTTGTAAGGCTGTCCTTGAAGTGTTGGATTAATCAAGGCTCTATGGATTTCTTACCAGGAACAGGAGAGACTAGAATACAAGAATATACCATGTTCTAATATGGTTCTATTCTAAATGTACACTCCAGGGTAACCAGTTAATTTAAGTAGTGAAGTCTCATATCCTGAAGGAGATGGAAGTTCTCCAATTTCTATGCCTGGTGAAAGACTGAAAGAGCATCTGGATTCTTCAGGTTGTTACATATGGTCATTTCTGAAACATAGGGAATCAAGAGAGCAGTAGATGGAGGCAGCTGATATGTCTGGAAATCCAGCACAGCGTACATTCACATCAACCCAGATGCTGATCAGCAAATGCAGACCCGGTCTGGGCAGTGGGAGAAGCCCAGCTTTGATAACTGGGGATGCTCACCAGCGAGCCTGACTTTTGGATGAGAGACTCGCCTTGTTCCCATTGCTCTGTTCACCATGCATAACTGTCATTTCCTGGAAGCCTCAGCTCCAAACTCCAGAAAATAGGCCCCGCCCTCAAATTTGGCCAAGATGAAAGAAGATTGTGAAATGCCCTCAAATGCCAAATGCTACCAGCAAGATTTTGACTATTTTGTTACTTCTTAGTACTTCAATTTAACTAGAAAATATGTGAGGTCAGGAAATTCCTTTTTTTTTCCTTAACACAATAAAGGCTTATTTTTTGCTTATGAAATAATCTAGTGCAGTAGAGGGAGCTCTGCTCCATGCAGTCATTCAGGGACCCAGGCTCCTTCCACGCTGTGGTTCAAGGAATTCTATTTTGGAGTTGGGGTTATATCTACTCAGATCAGTGCAGCTGGGTATATTTATTACAATGTGTGGTCATGACCAAACCTGAAGGCAGATATTGGCTCAGTCATGGTCTGAGGAGTCTCAGAATGATAACTATTAGACTCTGAATTCCCTCAGGGCAGAAGCTATGGGGATATGTGCCATTTTTTCCCCTGAAAGAACCAAGGCAAGCACAAAGAATGTGCTCAATAACTGTTAAATGAAAGTGGAAGAGAGCGAATGAATACGATTCCAGTGCTGAGGAAGCCCGACATGGCAGAAGTTCCGTTTCCATCAATCAGGGGTGGAGTCCAGGCTGGCTTTTTAAATTTTTCTTAAATCTCCCTAGTTGCTCTTCTGTGCAGCCACTGTCTAGTCCAGGGTTCCTCAACCTCAGCACTACTGACATTTGAGATGGGATAATTCTTTGTTGTGGAGGCTGTTCTGTGCATTGTAGGATGTTGAGCAGCATCTCCGGCCTCTACCCACTAGATGCCAGTAGCACCCCCACCCCAGCTGTGACAATTAAAAATGTTTCCAGACATGGCCAAATGTCCCCGGGGGCAGAGTCACCGTCAGTTGAGAGCCACTGGTCTAGTCCAACTCTGATTTTACAGATGAGCAAACAGAAGCCCAGAGAGGTCAACTTGCTTGGCTCGAGGGCACACCACAAGCTAGTGATGAAGCCCAGGCTCCTGACTCCCAGGTGGACTCCCTCCATGTCACTGCACGTTTGTTCCCTTTCATGTCTGGTAGGACACATAACTCTCACTCTCCAGGGAGCCCTGAGACCAGTGGACAGAATCCTAGAATCCTAGAGCTGGGCGGGTTGTGAAGGCAACAGGTTCCATTCCCCATTCTTCAGGACAGATTCCTCTTTTGGAAATTGATCGAGGTGGACAATCCAAAGCCTTTCTCTGTGGTCCATGTCAATGTTTTACCAGTTCAGAGTCAGATGTTCTTCCTTGTGACCTAGGGAATTTTTCTCACTTCTATTCAAGCCCATTTCCTCTTGTCCATTCCCCTGTAGACACAGACAACAATAGTTCACCAATGTCCTCAGTAAGACCTTCATGAGGATGATTGTGAAATTGTCCCTTCCAGGCATGCCTGTTGACTTTCCTTAATTTGAGGGATAGAGAGATTACCAAAGGCTCAGTCTTCAAGGAGGAAGAGAGTTCACCAGGCAGATGTGGGGCCACGAGATGGGCATTCCAGGCAGAGGGACTGTGTGCAAAGGCATGGAAAGAGTGAAACACCAGGATGGATTTGGGGAACTGTGTGTTTCTCCATATAAATAGAGCATGGCGTGCTTGTGGTTGGATGGGCAGGAGGGGAATGATGATCCTTACCATACTGAGGAGTTTGGAAACAAGCCGGAGGGCAATAGTGACCCATTAAAGAGTCACATGTAGAAGAGAGACATAATCAAATTTTGCTCAAGGAAGACCACTCTGGCTACGATACAGAGGATGGATTGCCGGGGGCAAGAATGAAAAAAGCCGACCAAATAGGAGGCTTTTGTAGAAGTTTGCACAAGAAACCCCAGAAGGCTGAAGATCAGTGACAGTGGATTAGGGAGAAGGAGACGGCTTGGAGAGATCTTCAGAGAAAGTCCGAACAAGACTCGAAGTCTGAGTGGATGTTGCAGGGAGGAAGAGGACAGAAGCTAGGAGGGCACCCAGGTTTCTGGCTTGGGCACCTGGTAGATGGATGGTGGTGTCATCTGGTGGGTGGGGCGAGCAAGAGGAAGAGAAGGTGTGGATGGAAGGATGAAGAGCCACTGTGAGCTAAGGTGACTCTGGCCATTTCTGTGTAGCTGGCCACAACTGGAGTTGTAGAAGCAACAGCACGTAAGGTCATTTTATCCAAAATGAGAAGATAAAGCACATTGTCTTGTCCTGGTAGGAGAAAATGTGGCTCCAGGAACTAGGAAGCACCAGGAGAAACTAGCGCATAGGTCTGCCAGCCGTGGACAGCCAAGGAACAAGGTCCAGGGCAGTGGCTCCAGCCCTGGCTGTCCATTTGAATCTCTTAGGAGCTTTTAAAGTTACAACTGTCCAGCCCCATCTCCAGAACTCCTGATGCAATCCTCTGGGGTATGAGCCACCACGATGTTTCTAATGCACAGCCAGCTTTGAGACCCACTGGTGTGTGGGCAAAGAGCTTCATGAACTTTAACGTGCACCCAAAACTTGAGAATCCTGTTACAATGCAGGCTCTGATTCAGCAGGTCTGGAATGGGGCCTGAGAAACTGAATTTATAGCAAGCGTTAAGGTGACCACACTTGGAGCAGCGAGGAGAGAGTGTAGCAAAATGCTCTTCAACCCTGGCTCACATTAGAATCCGGAGGCCACACTTGAGATCAGTGAAATACAATCTCTCGGTGTGAGACTCATGCAAAAAGAATTTTTAAAGATATCCAGGTGATTCCAAGAGCAACCAAGATTGAGAACCATTGATGTAGCCTCTAGAAAACTGCAGAGTACACAGTAGGGATCCAGCTGCATTGAGCCTGAACTCCACCCGAGGGAAGGCCTGCTGGCCTCCATCCCGCTTTATTCTGCCAGGTCAGCCAGAACCTTCCAGTGCCGGAAGTGTGGGTCACAAGCGTTCATTGAGTAAGTTTATGCAGGGCCCACCATATGCTTGGGCTGGCTGCCAGGACGATTAAAGCATAGGGTTACAGCGGCAGCAGTCAGGTTTTAGACAAATACTTGCAATAAAATATTGCTGGGGCTGTAGCTGTACAGGATCTGGGAAGGACACAAAGGCTGGTGTGACCATTTCTACTTCACAGGGTGGGTGTTCAGGTACAGCGGACAGGGGGATAAGATGGCGGAGGGAGGGGTTTCAAACCTGAGAGGGTCCGAAGCAAAGTACTAATGCATGAAAAGCCCGTGGCAGTCAGTACTCCAGGCAGGTGGGCTGGAGGCAATAAACATTTTTGGGGGCAGCAGCACGGTGCTGTGGCTACGAGTGCTAGTGTCACACAATCAGACTCTTTGGGCTGAGATCCAGCACCCCCACTTATTGGCTCTGGGACTTTTGGCAAGTAACTTCTCATCGTCTCAGTGTCCTCACCAATAAAGGAAACATAATAATAACACCTACCTCATGGGCGTCTTGGGAAGATTAAATGAGTTAACATACAGAAAGCGCTTGGAATGGAGCTGTATGCAAGAGGTGCTGAATAAATATTACGGGGCAATAGTGGAGATGCCGAGCCAGGAGGCAGGTGCTGGGATCACAGCGGGCAGTGGGGAGAGCGAGGACTGTGGAGATGTGAGAGATGGGGTGGGGTAAGGCAGAGCTTATGATGCCCCACTTGGGATGTGTGTGGTCAGACTTCATGGAGTACTCGCTCTCAGCTGTGTGTGGAAGGACTGGAGGGGAGGTAACCAGCAGCACGCATGCCGCCGTCCAGGCTAGACGTGACACAGGCCTCGGAATCATCAAGAGCATCTCCACAGTCGTGGTTTTCCCACCAATTTTGTGAATGTTTTTCCCTCCTGGTCACACTCAGGTCTGGGCAGAGAGTTGCCTTCTATTATTGACAAATATTGACATTCTTCTATTAAAAACAAGCTTTAGTCTTTCATGAAACCACAAACGCCAGATTATTTACACAAAGTAGCAAAAAAGGAATGCCCAGCAACCCCTTGGGAAGAGAGAGGGCAGAGCACAGAGCACAGTGCCTGGTTGGTGGGCACCCAAAGATGATGGCCCTATGTCTAGGGAGGAAGACTTTCTGCCTCCTTCCGGGATCTTGCTAACCCTTCCAACTGTTGGCTAACTCCCTGTCCCTTCCCTCGAGCTTCCTTGGCAGATTTCATTTTCACACAGTATCATCTAAAAGAGCTTTATGACTCTGGGGCAGGCAGTCCCTCCTCAGCCCAAAAATTCTGGGCCACGAGGAATAAGGGCCCTTCCTCCCCAAGGTCTCAGGGTAGCATCATCTCCTGACTCTAAGCCCCATCTCAGCTTTGGGTTAATATTGATTATACGTTTTCCTCCTCTAAAAGAAGCTTCCTTAGTCTCCCGTCCCTCCTGCTAATCGTGTTAAAATCCAAGCCAATGGCTTTGCTATCCCTGGGTTCGTCCATGACTGAAGACACTTCTACCCCCAGGGTCTTGTGCACATTGCAGCCGTTCCGTACGGGGCCACTGAGATGACTACAGATTTCTACACATAGTTTGAAGACCCAGAGAGAAGGCGGATTGTGGTACAAGCCTGAATTTAGGTCTTGAACGAGCACAAGGAGAAGTTTCTTACTTGTTTCTTCTCATTCAACAGGTCCTACTCACAGCTCAGCACCTCCTTCTCAAGGGATCTGAGCCATAGAATTTGGTGGGTGGCAGGGAAGGGGGCGGGGTCCTCCACAACAGCTCAGCTCAGAGAGGAAAACGGGTGGGTGGGATGGCCCTTACCATTACACAGAGCAGCATAGGTCCTCGGATGATCCACCAGATTTTCTTATTCCCATTGGTTCCCCAGCACCTACGGCAGAGAGCAGGCAGTAGAAGACTTAAACATGATACGAGGTTAAATGTAAAAGTTTCATGCCCTCTGGAAGAAGGATACTTGCACTCAAGACTTACTTTCCACCCATCATTCTCCTGAAGAGTGGGAGAGGGCAAGAGAAGACTCAGATCCCTTCCTAGCAGTATGGTACTGTTTACTTTTCTTACCAGTAAGGTGCTCTTCAATGCTAACAGCTTGGTGTGTATCCTTCCACATTTGTCTCCTTGTTCATACGAACATAAATTCTTAATTATATAGGGGATTTTTTGGTGATGACTATTTGGAGGAAAAAAATGGGATCACACGATATATATTATTCAGCAACAGGCTTAACAACGTGCTGTCAAGATTCACTTCCTGGAAGTCAAAAGACATAAAACTAACTTGTTTTTTTAAGAGTCTCATTGTATTCCACAATACAGGTATGCCACAATTTGTTTCATGATTCCCATATTGATGGATGTTCAGGGTGTTTTCTGTTTGTTTTTGCACCCACCCCCACAGTGACCGATGATGCAATAACCATTCTTGTACCTATATCCTTACATACCCAGGGTCTCTGATAACCTATTCAGCCAATTTTTGTACTACATTGTGCTAATTTGCATGTGTAACTCAATTAATAAACTAATTACTATAAAAAAGATTTTTGATTATTTTATCTACCTTCTTAAGTATATTCTAGATGGCCAAAATGGAAGGGGAGGTGGATATTCTCTTTGGGAAAGTGATGTGTTTCCTTATATTTGGGCATATCTAGGGATTACTGGCTCATGGAAGTGTAAAAACAGGTGAATTACCTACCCTGTGTTCTCCAGCTGTGCACGGGCGATACTCCAAGGTACAACAAACAGCACTGGGAAGGCTGGGAGAAAATAGGGAATTGTAGTTAGGAGCTGGGTTGCCAAACCTGCCTGCCTCCCACCCCAGCCTGATAGGCCAAGCATAGCTGGGCAAAACTTATAAAAACCCAAACAACACAGCTTGTGGACTGTGAGAGCTGGGATGAACTAGGGTGGCACAGAACCCATCCATTGTCTTACTGTCAGAGAAACCAAGAAGCAGAGAGGACAACCAACTTGCTCCAGGTTGCAAAGCAGCTTAGAGTAAATCCAAAGACATTGACCGAAACCTCTTGAATTGCAGGCCAAGGTTATTTCCTCTGAATCCTGCAGCCTCAAATTCTCCAGACCTCGCAAACAGGGGTTCCAGATCTCATCTTGAAGATTTACTTGGCGTTATGGACTAAATGTTTGTGTCCCCTCAAAATTCATAGATTTAAGCTCTAACTCCAATGAGATGGTATTTGGAGATGGGACCTTTGGAGGTAATTAGGTTTGGATGAGGTGGGGTGGGGTCATCATGATGGGATTAGTGCCCTTATAAGAAGAGACTAGAGATCTTGCTGTCTCTTTCTCTCTCTTCACCCTGTGAGGTTACAGCAGGAAGGCAGCAGTCTGCAAGCCAGGAAGAGGGTCCTCACCAGAAGGTGACCATGCTGGCACCCTGATCTCACATGCTGGCACCCTGATCTCAAACTTCTCAGCCTCCAGAAATGTGAGAAATAAATGTCTGTTGTTTAAGCCGCACAGTCTATGGTATTTTGTTATGGCAGCCTAAGCTGACTAATACAGTTGAGGACAGGGTAGGAGGAACGTCACCTGATTCTACCAAAAACCTTCTCAATTTTTGAATGTGTGCATTGAGTCTACAGCACTTGTGCATATGTGTGCACACATAAGTGCACACACACACACACACACACACACACACCCCTCTCTTCAGTCTTTTGTCATTGAGGAATTATCTGTTCCAGAAGCCTCTCACTAGTTGGGTCTCCAATCAAAGGCTCTCTTGGGCTCCCACATTCTGATGGGTCCCCAGGAGAAAAGGCTGGGGGTTCAGTTCACTCACCCCAACCCACCAGCAGGTATCTAGGCCACAGCCGCCTTTCAGAAAGCACCGTGGGCTCCAGAAGCGTGTGGAGGTAAAGGCCTTCAACTAGCAGCCATGAGTAATTGGCACCCACGAAGTAGTGCAGGAGAACCTGGGCTGAGCGGCAGGAGGTGGATATCTGCAGAGGACAGAGCACCCGAGGGTGAGTCCAGGCTTTCCCAGGGTCTTGACCCCAGGAGGGTGGAGAAGGGCCTCCCCATGCACAACCCCTCTCTCCTTACTTTCCTCTCTCCCGAACCCTTGCTGATCATCTCAGAAAAGTTGGCAACAATATCAAAACGTGAATCAGGGCTTCATGTAGGGCTTAAAGCCTGGCCTCTTCCTTGACATTAAGACATTTTTAGACAAAAACAGAGAGAATTCATCATCAGCAACTTCCATAAAGGAAACACTAAATGGTGTGTTCTCTGATCTCAGTTCAATTCAGCTAGAAATCAATAACTAAAAAATCTTCATAAGATTGGAAATGAGGAAATAAACTTCTAAATAATTCATGAATCAAAGAAGAAATGATATCAGAAATTAGAATTTTTTTCTGAATTGAATGTAAGGAATATACTGCATATCAAAACTTGTGGTATCCAGCTAGTACCATGCCTAGAATGAAATTTACAGCCTTACATGCACTTTTTTAAAGAGAAAAATGCATAAAATCAATTATCTTAAATATATCAAGAATGTTAGAAAAAGAACAGCAAATTAAACCCAAAGAAAGTACTTGGGAGGAAATAATAAAGATAAAAGCAGGTATTAATGAAATAGAGAACATAAAATAAAGAGAATCAACAATGCCAAAAGTTTGTTCTTTGAAAAGTCCAATAAAATTGAGAAACTTTAGCAAGGATGATCAAGGGAAGAAAATAGAGAGTGAAGATACAAATAATCAATATCATGAATGAAAAAAGGAATACCACTCTAGATGCAATAGACCTTAAAAAGATCTTAAAAGAATATGAGCAATATTATGCCAATAATTTTAAAAGTTAGATGAAGTAGACAAATTCCTAGAAAAACACATTACTACAGCTGACACCAGAAGAAATAGAAAATCTGAATAAGAGTTATCATGAATCTATAAATAAAAGCCTTCCAATAAAGAAAGCTCTGGGCCCAAATGGCTTGACTGGTGTAATCTGTCAAACATTTGAGGAAGAAATAATACCCATCTTAAATAAATTCTTCCAGAAAATAAAGAGAGAACAACTCTGGTTTGTTTTAAGAGGTCAGCATAAACTTTATCCCAAAACTTGACAAAGGCATTACGAGAAAAGAAAATTACTCACAAATGTGAAGGAGGAAATTTTAAAAGTATCCACAGTATTAGCAAACGGAATCCAGCAATATAGGAGCAAGAATAATATATCAGAACCTAGTTGGATTTATTCCAAGAATGCAAGGTTAGTTTAACAGGTTACTGCATTCATTATTAACAGGATAAAGGAAAAACCATCTCAACAGATGCAGATTTCAATGTGGAAAAGCTTTGCAGATTTAAAAAATAGTAATAATAAAAAAGATTGATCTGGTCCAGCTCTTTTATTTACAGATGAAGACATTTCCCAAGCAAGGGCTCCGGCAGAGAACTCTTCGGCTGCTGATTTCCTTCACCTGTCTCTCTCTCTGGAGGCTGTTTTTTTTAAGTTAGATGACACGTCTCTAACCAGAAAGCCTCTGACATCCCTTTCCCTCCCTCTTCCCCTCCCCAGCCCCACCTTCATGCCCTCTGATTCCCAGTCCTGACCCACCAGGTGGAAGGCAGATGGTAAGAAGAACATACTTCCGACACGTAGGACATCCACTCCTCCTCGTTGTTGGGCCTCCTGGAGTAAGAGTTGTGGAAGACGACATCCTTCACCAGCACGGCCAGGGCTCTCAGGATGAAAGAAGCAAACAAGTTCATGTGGATGTAGTTGCGTGTGCAGTGGAGTTTTCTGTGCAAGGAGAAAACCGAGCGCCTTCCCTCAGGAGAGAATGGCTCAGACCAACAGGTCTGTGCCTGAGGCACCTGTGTATCTGTCACTAAAGGGCAGAGGTTCATAGCATAGGCTCCAGAGCTGGATGGCTGGGTTTGTGATCTTACTTCTCTGTGCCTCACTTTCCTCACTGTAAAATGGGAACAACAGCAGCTAACACCTGTATAACACGTTTAACTCGACAGGCTCTGTTCCAAGCCATTTACCTGTGGATGTATTTACGGGCATCCTTACTCCTTACAACCACTGGAACGGTAGGTACTGTTATCGTCCTGATTTTACAAATGGGGGAGTTGAGGCGGAAAGGTTAGGTCAGCTGTCCAAAGCCCTTACTACTCTAAGTAGTAGAGCTGAGATTTGGACCCAGAAAGTCTGAAGCCAAAATATGGCTCTCCGAGGCTCTACTGCCTGTAAGAACAAGAGCACTCACCTCAAAGGGTTGCGGGAGGATTCAATCAGGTAATGGGTGAAAAGTGCTCACACAGCACCTGGCACACAACTGCCCAGAAAATGTCGGCTCTCACTACCTCTCCCTCACCCACCTGGAGCCTCCTGTAGGTTCTTTCTGTACTGGCTGATGTAAAACTGTGTGTCCTCGGTCTCTCTAGTCAAAAGGACCCTCTTCCATCACTGTACCCTCACAGCCCTGCCTGTGCCCCTATGCAGCACATACTCCGTCCTGCCTCCCTTTAGAGCTATTATTATTATTATTTTTTATTTCCAAAAAGGATTTGAGGCAGGTCCTTGTGTTTCATGATTTATGCATCCTTCTCCCTAACTAGACTGGGTGCTACTCAAGGGCTAGAACTGGGTCTTGCTCTTCCCAGCACCTAAGGCAAAATGGACACTTGGTTGACCCAGGCTCTGGTAAAGTTCTTTCCTGTAGGGCTGGGCAGCTGTTTTCTCCTGGTGTCGTTCTGGGACTTGGGGAGGTGAATGCTGGAAGTCACGGATAGTGGTGCGCTCAGGCTGTAGAACTCTCCCGTTGCTTAAGAATTGCTCTCCCAGTTGGGTAGATGGTCAAGACTCTGGTCCAGGAGCCATAGGACATCCTAGGACTGAGGGATCAGACAGGGCCAGACCTGGAGCTAGCAGAGCCTCGGTGGGAAGCTGCTCTGGACCTAGCATCCACATCCCCAGGGTCCCCACCCAGGTTTCCCGCATCCACGTCAAATGCAAATTCTGCCACGTTATGCTCAGTTAAGTTCCTGAAGGGGCTGAGACCGGGAGACAGCCTTGGAGGGCTCCCTAGCAGGTCTATAAATATCTCACTTGGGTGATTTCTAAAAACGTGATTTAGTAAAATGCACTCAGGCTTGGATTCTGAAAGACAGCATCATATAAGGGAGTGAGAATGTTCAGGCTCTGGACTGCTTAGTTATGATCCTGGCTGTGTGATCCTGGGCAAGTTACTTCATCTCTCCATATTTCAGTTAACTCACTTATAAAATGGGGATAATCATAATAATGCTAATCTCCTGGGATTAGAATTAATCTTAATTCTTATTAGGATGAGACTTAAATGACCTAATGCATGTAACGTGCTTAGAACGGTGTCTTGCACAGAGGAAGCACTCAAATAATTGATAGCTAATTGGAGTTTGAGGGTCCTGGATTAAAATCCCAGCTCTACCACTCACTAATTTGTTTTAGGAAAGTTTCTTAAATCTCTTCTGTAAAAATAACGCCTTTGGTTGAGTTGTGGTGAGAATGGGCTGTAATCGTAATGTGTGTTATCTAATCCAATGAGATTAATCTATGGGAGGTTGTCTAATCCAAAAGAGGCAAGAGCAGGGTTAGGAGTCCCAGATTCCAGTTCTAGCTATGCTTTGTGACCCGGGGTGACTCCGTGCCTCTCACGGGACCTCTGATATCACCTTTCCCTTTCATCTGCAAAGTGGGATGGGTGGACTGGAGACTCTCTCAGATCCCTTCCAGCTCTGATGAGCCATGACATCATCCAGCTCAGTCTTCTACTGCCTTTTAGAGGTAGCCAATGAGCAAATTCCAGGGTACATGCCTCAACACTTGCCAGCAGAAGTTCCACTCACCGAAGAAACAAGAGGAGGGTGAGAGCCAGGAAGAGGGAGACAATGGAGAGGGAGTAACCCACGGTGTACAACAGCTGCAAGGTCGACAGCAAGGCATGGTGCTCCACCTGAACACAGAGGAAGAGCAGACATGACCACCAAGCCAGGCGGCTATGGTCTCCAACCCCCAGCTCCATGCCCAGGACCACTAATGGTGTAGGCATGCACCCTATTTTTGTTGACACCCGTGTAGGGTAGCTTAGACTGCTGTCTGGCACATCTCAGAGACCAGAGAGCGTTGATGAGTGAAGAACTCCCCGTGAGTCTCACCCCCAGGGCTGGTCCCACAGCCCAGCATTGATGCACCAAGATTCACAGTATCATAGAAGAATTGCGCCCAGGACAAGAGGGTGCTTTGGGAATTAGGCTAGGCTCTTTGCCCCTGGAGTGTTGTCCCTAGAGTATAGGGGTCCTTCTCTCTGGAAGATGGGGCAAGATTTCCATCTAGATGTCTCCTTCCTAAAGTAACTTTTCATAGATGATCCTTAGCAAAGACCCAATAAAATATTAGAATGTTTCCTCCAAGCCCCAGGATGGCCTGATCGTGAACAGAGGATAATTTACTGGGAATTCAAGTGTTATCAAGTGTGGTTTTCCAATGGAGTGCCACCTTCTTACTCAACTCATCATATCACTGTCAAAATCATGTTTCAAAATAGATTTTTGTACAAGAACCCACAGTAAATACTTATTACCTGCTTAATTACGTCTTAAACTTCTCTATATAATCCTTTTATCAGCTTTTTTGAAGTATAATTGATGTACAATAAACTGCACGTATTTAAAGTATAAACCTTGATGAATTTGTACTTGAACATATCTGTGATTTCATCACCACAATAAAGATAAAGAACATTTCCATCACCTCCCAGAAGTTTCCTCATGACCTTTGGTAATACATCTCCTCTCATTGCCCTCTGCCACCCTATGCCCAGGCAAACACTGGTCTGCTTTCTGTCCTTAAAGATTAGTTTGCCTTTTCTAAAAGTCTATATGAATAGAGTCTTACGATGTGTACTCTTTTTATGTCAGGCTTATTTCCACCAAAATAATTATTTCCAGATTCACCTATGCCACAGTATGTACCAATAGTCCATTACTTTTTTATTGCTGAGTATAATTTCACTCCAGTAGAACACAACACAATTTATTTATCCAATCACCTATTGATGGACATTTGGGGTGTTTTCAGAGTTTGGCTTTCACAAATAAAGTTTCTATGAAAATTTCTGCACAAGCTTTTGTGTGGACATAGGTTTTCATTTCTCTCTGATAAATATCCAGAAATAGAATGGTGGAGTAGTATGGTGTATGTTTTAATTCCTTAAGAAACTCCCAAACTGTTTTCTAAATAAGTTGCATCAATTTACATTCCCAAGAGAAGTATGTGACAGTTCCAGCTGCTCTGGATTCTAACACTTCATACAATCAATCTTTTAAATTTTAGCCATTCTAATGGGTGTGTAGTAGTAGCTTATTGTGGTTTTAATTTGCACTTCTCTAATGATTAATGATGTTGGGAATCGTTTCATGTGCTTATTTGTATATCTTATTTGGTAAAGTATCTGTTCAAATATTTGGCCATCTTTTAAACTGAATTGTTTGTATCCTTAATTTTGAATTGTAAATGTTCTTTAATCTAGATATAAATCTCTTGTCAGATATGTGTTTTGCAAGCATTTTCTCCCATTCTATGGCTTGCCTTTTTATTTTTTTTAACAGTGTCTTTAGAAGAGCGGAAGTTTTTTATCTTGATAAAGTTCAATTTATCAACTTTTTCTTTTATAGTTTGTGCTTTCTGTGTCCTATTTTAAAAATCTTTACCTAACCTAAGGGCCTTAACATTTTCATCTATGTTTTTTCCTAGAAGTTTAATAGATTGAGCTCCTGCATTTAGGTCTATGATCCCTTTCTAGTTAATTTTTATTCATGATGTGAGGCAAAAGTTGAAATTCAGTTTTTTTGCATCCAATTGTTCTGGCATCATTTGTTGGTAAGATTATTCTTTCCCCATTGAATTGCCTTGGCACTTCTGTCAAAATAGATTGCCTTTATATGTGTGGGTCTGTTTCTGGACTCTGTATTCTCTTTCATTATTCTGTACATTTATCATTATGCCAATACGGCACTGTCTTCATTAATATAGGTTTATAGTAAGTCTTGAAATCAGTTAGTGTTAGTCTTCCACTTTTGTTCTTTTTCAAGAAAGTTTTGACTATTCTAGGTCTTTTGTATTTTCGTATAAATTTTAGAATCAGCTTGTCAATTTCTACAAAAATTCTGCTGGGATTTTGATAGGGATTGCATCGAAACTATGAATCAATTTAGAGTTCATGAATATAGTATATCCCCCCATTTAGTTAGGTTTTCTTTAGTTTCTCTCCACAATGCTTTGTAGTTTTCAGTATATAGGTCCTGCTCATCTTTTGTCAAATTTATCCCTATATGTTTCATATTTTTAATGCTGTTGTAAATGATACTGCCGTCAATTTCAATTTTCAATCGTTCCTTGTTAGTGTACAAAAATATAATTGATTTTTGTATATTGACCTGTATCCTGAAACCTTGCTAAACTCATTTATTAGTACTAGTAGTGTTTTGTGTCGATTCCTTGGGATTTTTTCTATACATGATCATATTGTCTGTGAATAAAATTTTCACTTGTTCTTTTCCAAACTCTAAGTTTTTTATTCCTTTTTCTTGCCTTATTGCTCTGGCTAGGACCTCCAGTACAATGCTGAATAGAAGTGGATAGAGTGGATTTATTACCTTGTTAAAGATCTTAGGGGAAAGCATTCACTCCATGACCAATTAGTACGATGTTAGCTGCAAGTTCTTTAAAGATGCCCTTTTATATTAATTTCCTATGGCTGATATAACAAATTACCACAAATTTGATGGCTTAAAACAACATGATTTATTGTCTTACAGTTCTGGAGGTCAGAAGTCCAAAATCAGTTTCACTGGGGAAAATCAAAGTGTTGGCAGGCCAGCATTCCTTCTGAAGGCTCCAGGGAAGAATCTGTTGCCTTGCCTTTTCCAGCGTCTGCATTTCTTCACTCAGGGCTCCTTCCTCAGTCTTCAAAGCCAGCAGTGTAGCATCTTCTCTCCTCTATGACCTCTACTCCTATTCTTATATCTTTTCTCTCTGACCCTAACTCCTTTGCCTCCCTCTTCTAAGCTACATCTGATGACATTGGGCCCACCTGGATACTCCAGGATATTCTCCCCATCTCAAGATCCTTAACTTAGTCACACCTACAAAGTCCCTTTTGTTATATAAAGTAACATATTCATAGGTTCTGAGAATGAGGACATGGACATCTCTATGAGTGGGGAGGGGGGGGCATTATTCAACCTACCACACCTTTATCAGATTGAGGAAGTTCCCTTCTGTTCCAATAGGCTGAGAATTTTTATCATGAATGGAGGCTGAATTTTATCAAATGCTTTGTGTTCATCCATTGAGATGGTCACATATTTTTTCTTTCTCAGTCTGTTAATATGTTGAATTACATTGATTAATTTTCAGATGTTAAACAAACATTGCACTCTTGGTTTAGCCCCACTTGGTCATGATGTATTGTTCTTTTAACATATTGTTGGATTCGATTTGCTAAAATTTTGTCAAGAATTTTTCTTCTATGATCATGAAGAATATTGGTCTGTAGTTTTCTTTTCTTGTAACATCTTTGTCTGGTCTTGGTATCTATGTACTGACAGCTTCATGGACTGAGTTGGGAAGTATTTCCTCCTTTTCAATTTTCTGGAAAGTTTATGCAGAATTGGTAGGATTTTGTCCTTAAATATTTGGTAGAATTCACCATTGAAGCCAAATGGGTCTCAACTTTTTTCTGTTAGACTGTTTTTCACTATGATGCAATTTCATTAATAGAATAGGGCCATTCAGTTACCTATTTCTTTTTTAGTGAATTTAGGTAGTTTTCTTCTTTTAAGAAACTTGTCCATTTTATCCAATTTGTAAAAATTATTGGCAGAGAGGTGTTCACAGTAATCCCTTATTATCCTTTTAGTGTCTGTAGTATCAGTAGTGATGTCCCTTCTCTCACTCCTGATATGATCATTTATGTCCTCTCTCACTTTCTACCTTTCTCTTTCTCTTTGTTTTTCTCTCTGTTTCTCTCTCTCATCTCTAATTCTCTCTCTCTTTTCCAATGTCTTTCTAGAAGTTTACCAAATTAATTGTCTTCTTAAAGAACCAAGTTTGGGTTTCACTGATTTTTTTTCGATTTTTTTTCTGTTTTCTATTTAACTAATTTCCATTTCTTTTTTTATGCTTACTTTAGGTTCAATTTGCTCCTTTTCTTTTCCAGTTTCTTAAGGTGGAAGCTTAGTCATTGATTTGAGGGCTTCCTACTATAAGAATACTATAAATTTCTCTCTCTGACTGTTTTAGCTGCACCTCAGAAATTTTGATATATTGTACTTTCATTTTTATTTAGTTCAAAATATTTATTAATTTCTCTCTAATTTCTTATTTGACTTATAGGTTATTTGGAAGTATGTTGTTTAGTTCTAAGATATTTGGAGATTTTTCCAGATATATTTCTGTTATTCATTTCTAGCTTAATTCCATTTTGGCCAAAGAACATATTTTGTATGGTTTGGAATTTTTACATTTATTAAAATTTGTTTCATGGCCCAAATAATGTGAATTTTGGTAAATACTCCATGTATAGTTGAAAAGAATTTGTATTCTACTGGTTTTGGATGGGGTGTTCTATAACTGTTAATTAGGTCAATTTGATTAACATTGTTCAACTTTTCTATAGAATTACTGATTTTCTGTCTACTTGTTCTATTAATTTTTCAGAGAGACGTGTTGAAATCTCTGACTGTACTTGTGGCTTTGTCAATTTCTTCTTTAAAATTTAGCAGTTTTTGCCTTATAAGCTTTGGGAAGTGTTCTTAGGTATTAATATTTAGGATTGCTATGTTCTCCTGATGAACTTATGCCTTTAATAATAAGAAATGAACTTCTATATCCCTAGTAATATTCCTTGCTTTGAAATCTATTTTGTCTGATATCTATATACCTACTCCTTCT